TCCAAGCAAATACTGAGACTGCAGAGACTATGTGGACATGATTAAGAGCAAGATATATAGATTAAGATGAGCAAGAGACGAGCATTGCATACCTAGTATAAGATAGAACAGAAATAAGAAACATGGATACCGCTATGAACAGAATCTGCATCTGATGGGTAGGGTGACATTGGTCACCTTGATTAGCACCCGCGCATTCTATTACTGTGGCAAGGTGATGGTCTTTCGTGTCTCTGTTCCTGGATAAGTCAACCCTAATCTACCAGGTAGTATGTGCGATACTACTTCTGGCATTGGAGAGAGCTTCATCTCCCCAATTAGGAGCATTAGCTCCGGTGGGCGTGGTGTGATATCAGGGCGCTATTCAGGGTCCCTGCGGCTGGGCTTGGGCTGTAATAGAATAGAACTTTTGGCCGTGAGCAGCAAGATGGGAATAGCTTCCCCCACAAGCCTGAGCGAAAAAAAAAAACCCCGATCGCTAAAGAATTGTGGTTGCTATGCGTGTCTCTGTTACCTACCTAGGCACGCTCCTATGAAGGTACCTTGAAGTTTTTATAGTATGGTTCACCACGGGGAAGGCCTGCGATCTCTTGCGAAGATATACATTGTCAAGCTTATTACGGTAACCCTCTTCTTTTTCGTACCTTGTAACCATTGTTGGAGTTCAGTTAAGCTTTTCAAGGCACAAGTATCAATGCTAATTCTCCTGCGCTTAAACTAGGACAGGCCATTGCACAACCCTTGCAGATCGATCAGCAAGCAGGGTCGTGCAGATTCTACAGCCCAAAGCTAGTGGCAACGCGGCAACGGCAACGACAAGGAGAGAGTCGCCTCTTCCGCTCAGCCTTGCTATTGCAAGTTTCTCCACGAGAATAATAAGATAAGATCCAACGAATCGGTACTCTCTTGGCAAGGAGGCAGCTGAGCAGAGGACCCCCTGGGAACGAAACAAGGTGCGTTTCCTATTGGCACGCCCAACGATACTTTAAAGACGGAGTATGCATGTAGGCAAGCTCCGATTTGGGCTGTTGGTCCCGAGGCGGTCTCCCGACCTGAGCTAGCAGTGCAGGTTGGAGAGATCGAGGCGGCTTTCGCCCTGGGGGTGTGGATTGAATAAAAACTGCCCGAGACAACCGTGACAGGCGGTGCTGAGGCTGTGATACTGCGTGTGGATGGTGGTTTGGGTAGCATCAACGTAGAACGCCGTGAAAATGGAGGAGCTTAGATAGGGCTGCACCGTTTAATACTGCTAGGTATTATACAGAAACGGTAGAAGCAAAATAGAATTAGCATTGGCTGATACAACGGGAGATGGAAAAACATTGGCTTGTACACATGCTTGAAGAAGCCCGTGTTAACAAACACTTTTATATCACAGGAAGGAAGCCTTTGATTGCAATCAAAGAAGCCAAAGAAAAATAAGAGGACAGTGATTGCATTTACCGTCAACTTTTTCCCTTTCCTGAAGACTCGGCTTTTGAAAAAGCATGGAATCCAATATCTCCAACCATCGGTATCTTGTGCACTAGCGTACCTTGGAGTTGGAGTCTGAGTGGGGGCCGGTTCTCGGTGATTCCATCACGTGCCTAAGCAGTGCAGATCCAGGGCTCAGCAGCACGAGGCAAATGCGCAGATGTCATTGTGCCCATAAAGTTGGAGTGAAATGGCTGTGGGCAGGGAATCGGTGGAGTTTTGGAACTGTGATGTTGAGGGAATGAGGCCGATCCATGCCACTGCGGGGAAGCTCATCATGCATCTTGGCGTCACTGGCAAATCGTCGGCCAGGGGTCCCGTGTGAAGGATCTGTCTCTTTTCAAGACATTGTACGGAGTAGGGCAGTTACTGTTGAGATGCGGTAACAGCAGTGCATGGAATGTGACTGTGTGGAATAAGAGAAAACAGATGCATGACTCGCCGACAAGAAGCTGGAAATTCTCAAGTCGTGCAGCAGTAATATTCGTAAACGCAAAGTACTAAGAGTCCCATCACAGTCGTACCGGATCCCAGGCGAAGGAAGTCAAAGTGCTCGTACTAAATTGTTTCCAGTTTAGAGGGCCACTCACACACCCAGGCACACCAGCCCGCTCACACACCTCGCCGTTGCGAGACGGGCCCGTCTAGACCCATCGACAATCCTTGCGTGCAAACCGTTCTGGACTACCCATCTGTCTGAGGGCAGACGTCATAATCGCGCCACATTGTAGCCCGCCTGAACGGCTGGCCCCTGATTGAGATGCTGATTGCCCCGAGTCAAGGATGCCAACCGCTGGAGAGGGATGGCGCATCGTTGGATCCCTTGTTCGGGCTGACGACGCGACTCGATGGGCTTCAATAATTTCTGAGGACTTTGGGCCACATGACGGGTATGCGGAGGTACGTTAGCTCACATCAGTGCTCTGTAGGTGGTCTCGAAATCAGAGATTGTAAACGACTCACAACACGGAGATCTGGAAGCAGACAAAGTCGTACGTACAGTAGGAGTACGGTAACAGTGCAGCCAGTGTCGCGGATCAAGTTAGTTCCGAAGGCTGACCCTGGCCACCTATTTGGTCGATGCCAGCCAAAAACCAAGATCTACACCCTCCAAACCTTGCGACCTGCGTCCCCGCAAGGTGATGGTTGGCTAGGCCCACAGGTGGAGAGATGGCAGCCAAGGAGCTTCACACGCTGCCGAGCAAGGATCATGTGGGCGCGCAAGGCCGACAAGAGTCTAGTTGAAGGTCTAGTTGAAGCGAGGAGCATCTTCATGTACAGTACCTACTCGTACAGCCCTAGAGCTTCTCCTAACCAAGCCTTGACTGACGCAAATAGTGATACAGAAAACGGGATGCTGGACCGAAGCCCGCTGCTCTTGGGATCGGATAGACTGCAAGCGGTATTGAACTCTGTACGCTGTACTCCGTACTCCGTACTCCATATTACTGGCACAAAGTTGACGGCTTTGGCGCTTGTCAAGGCTTGATTCCTCTCCCTGGCACCGGCGACTAGCTCGCAGCCACGCTCGTGTTAGCGCTTCTGGGAGCCAAATGGCCTGTCAAGGCGCTGCCAGACGGGGCTGTTGCACATTGCCTCTCCGCCGAGCATCTGGGGGGCTGTATGGAAAGAGAAACGACATACGAGTGGTGGTTGTGCATACGAGTACCTAGCAGGATAAGCTGACCCTGCAATAGGTAGCGGCGGGAGCAGAACCATCGTTAGCAGAGGCCCAATAGCATCTCTCAAGCTTCCTCGGCTGAATTCTGCCATCGCCAGAGTGATAAGAGAGGCCCTGTGGATACACAAACCACATGCCGTCCACCTGTTGTTGTCCGATTTGCCCACGGTTCCGCACCGTGTGCTCGACTTACAACTCGTACACATACATACTTGGATGAGCATCTGATGGAAGCTCCTCGCTAACAACACCCCTCTGGAGTGAGACATGGCCTCGCTAGCTCCCAAACAAGACCCTGATTTCCATGGTTTGCGTTGATGCTCCTGCGATTGCCCCGATCGCAGCACCATGATTCCTGACCTGCCAATCGAAGCCTCACGGCGCCATCACGCTGGGGTTTGCCCACCGACTGGCTGCGGCGAAAACTCCGGGCTTGCCACTCAACATTCTGGCGACAGACTCACCATTGTCAGAGAAAATCTTTACCCAGTATCCATTTCTACTTGACCTGTTCTGTAGGGACTCATCTTTTTTCTCCATCGCCGTGAAGAGTCAAAGACGCCGGTCTGGAATAAGGCTGGTCTTTCAGGGTCATCGCGCATCCCTCCTATCTGCATACATCGTCAAGCCCTCAATTTTTTTTTTCGGTCCAAAATTTCCCTCCCCCTACCCAGCTGCCACACACACGCCCCTCCTTTTTTTTCTTCTTTCCCCTTCTACGACGAATACAGACCAGCCTCACCACGGCGATCAACCCCAAATCATACTTGTACCTCACCTAGCCCAGGCTGGTGTCGACGACGAGCTTCCTCCAACCCCACTGACCATCATCGCCCTTGTTATTCCCCGTCAGCTTCTTCATTTCCCCTCAGCACCACGACCTCTTGACCCCGTTGCATTCAAGCGCCCTCTTGGCACATTCGTGGATCCCTCAAACTCTGGCGACGAGCATCACCAAGTCGTAGATGTGATCTGGCCGCGGACATCCCTTCTGACAGTCGAACACGCATATTTAACGGGACGCGACTGAGTACCATTGAGAGAGACGGAGCTGTCTCCGAACCCGCGCGGCTGCCCTGCCATTTGAACCCCATCTGACAACGCAAACAGCCGCGAGGGGCTGGATTTGATTTGACCGGGAAAAACGACAAACTCAAGGCATTTGCTATTGAACAGCTGGTGTACACGATTTCTGGCAGCAAAGAAGGACGACGTGAATTGAAATACGGCGCCGTTACTGCCTTCGTGTGATCGATTCATCCTCGCCACCTAGTGCGAACTCGAGCTCCCTTTTCCGTTTCTGCACCGATCAAGACGTATACGAAGATCTTGGATCGCGCTGGCAATTTATTCATTCTTTCATTGCTCTTAAATCTTTTTTTTTAACCTCCCCTTAATATTCGACCTCCGCATCTGATTTTGTTAGCGAGATCTGTTTACAAGACTCGGTCTTTTCTGAGGTGAGTTGCCCGAGGTTGTTGCGGCCCTCTTTGCTTATCCAGTTCGATCGATCGATCGCACCCAGGTGCCACGGAAAAATGACACGCCGCTTTTGTGCTCGATTGACTGGCCCTTTACCCATTCCGTTCGCCAATCTCCTCGTCACAGGCACACAGTTTTGAAAGGAATATCCCGTTAACAATGCGTCTACAGAGTATAGGTGATTGACGAGTCGTGCTACGTCACAAGCCGTCATTTTGCTTGGACCCTTGAATACCCTCTTATTATTATCCCTTGCTCCCAATTCGGACTGAAGAAGCTTCGTCTGGCAACTAGAGAATGATTCATGATTAGCGTGATCAAAATACTGTTTGCCAACATCTGGATGCTTCTTACCTGAATTACAATGCAGCCAGCAGAGGATAGACCTCACGAACCACCCCTATCATCGACAGGCCACCCTCTCCCCCGACGATCTTCACCAGAAAACTCCATCACGCTGCGACACCACCAACTCGCCCACGATGCCTCCATGAAAGCAAACCGCGGCCCAGGTCCGCCGAATCAAGGCGGCCAAGATTCACCATCGCCTCGTCGGGCTTCATCGGGGGAGAGTCACGAAACTGGCCAGAGTGATGCCAAGAAGTGGTTCAACCAGTCCAACCAAAATCCAACGGCTACCTTTGACAGCAACGCCATGGATGGTAAGTACCCATGTCGTAGGTTGGTGAGCTAATGCATCAAAGTACTCACACTCAACACAGTTGATCCGCCATTCTTCCAAAAAGAATCAGACTCCTCCAACGAAGACAAGCCCTATCAATTTCAACCAGCCTTGCCTCGGCTCCAGTCTAAAGCCCGTAGTAGCAGTGCTGATGACTACCGAAGCGTCATCGACGATCTCACCGTGGAGATCCAAAAGTTGAAGGAAGAGTTGAAGCGCTACAGGCAGCACGGCCCTGATATGCTTCGGAAAGACAAACTATTTGAAATCAAGATACATGGGCTACCGAAGAGGAAAAAACGTGAACTGGAGGCCACGCTCCGAGACTTTACAGCGAGTTTGGGAGACTCGCCCGATACCTCTTCGTCTCAGCGTAACAAAAAATCGTCGAGGCATGCCACGCGCGATCGGATGTATGCTGGTTCAGGCTCAAAGTCACAGTCGAAGCATGCTTCGTCGTCGTCTGGATCGCATACAAGACCAGTTGACTCTGCCTACGCGTCCATGTCGACTGGTGCTGGCTCCTCTGGGACCTCGTTAAATAGACCTCAAGGAGGCTCGCGGTTCAAGACGAACGACCAGAAAGTAGAGAACTACTTGCGCGAAATCCCCGAGGGACTGTATCCCCGTTTTGTCGCTATGACAGAAAAAGAAAAAAAGAAACTAGTGGTCAGGCGTCTTGAGCAAATATTCACGGGGAAAATCGGAGGCAAGCATGTTCGTCGGAACCAGCCCCTTCGACCGCCTGCCATATCCACCATCCCACCACCAGTACAGGCGATATCGGGCAATCCGTCTCCCCAGAGGTCATCTCTGGTGCAGCAGCCAAAGCCTGGCCTGACTGCCAATACCAGTGGTAACTCCAATCCTGCACTGGAACCTATGCGCGAAGCTCGAATTCTTCCCCAGGAACATCAATCCGGACATACGGGGAAAAAGAGCAGATCTCAAGACATGGGCTCAGCGTCCAACTCTAACGAAGATCAAACCGAATCAGGGGGCAACGGCAACAGTAGTGGCAACGGCAACGGCAACGGCTCAGGGACGAATACGTCGCCGCCTATGCCGCCGCCTCCCGAGCAGCGACCCACGAGGCCCAGGGATCTCGATCCTGATCGCGTCCAGATCCCGTCCGAGAATATGGAGTACATAAGGCATTTGGGTCTTGTCCCTCCAGAGCTACTCTCCAGCCCTCCAGAACGGCTAAATGACGACGTTCACCCTGACGAGGAGGGCTGGGTGTATTTGAATCTCCTCTGCAACATGGCGCAATTGCACATTATGAATGTCACTCCGGACTTTGTACGGAATGCCGTCGTAGACATGAGCGCAAAGTTTCAGCTCTCGCCAGATGGCCGAAAAATAAGATGGCGCGGTGGTACAGACGGCACCAAATTCAGTAGCGATAGTTCAGGCGACCATTCTCAGCGGAGCCCAGAAACGGATGACACGGACACAAAAGCCGACCACCACAAGAGACAGAAGACCGGTTACTCAACCGGAGATTCTGGGAGCTCAGGCAATAACTTATCCAAATTTGGACCACAAGTTTCGGCCTCATCCGAGAGCTTCCACTACAAACCTCTGTTCCTTCATCAGCAGTCGCCCCAGGAGCAATCGTCGATGGAGGATGGCACGCTATCGTCTTTCGGTCCCATCGAGGAGAGTAATGCCGACTCGCGGTGGGGCCAGAGCGGCTCTGGTGCCTCAAATCGTCGTAAACGTCGTCGCGATGGTGCTATCATCTACTATAGTGGTGCTCCGTTTTGTACCGACTTATCTGGAGATCCAGGAGATATATCGCCAACAACGTACATGCTATCGAGCGGTAGGGAGCGGTTGGACCCTCAGGTGCAGTTTGTCCGGCCGATACCCTTTCGATCGGGATCAGGATCTTCGATGACTAGGCGGCCGTTGAGTGATGCTAATCTTGACCTTGGTTCCGTACCCAAATTGGATGTCAGCGATGAGGTTGGCGTGCCCGAACTGGTAACTGACTCAGGAGATGAATCTAGTGACCTCAGCATGGAGTTTCCTTGGAGTGATGCACAACAAATACTTGAAGTTCGCCCCCTTGAACCATGTGGTCTGGGTGGTGTGCTGCCAGAGGATCACTTCATGGTGGTGGTTACGACCAGGCGATCGAAGCTTGATGCATATGTCGGTCAGAGGAGTGTGGGTCAACCCAAGTTGTCCGAAGAAACGACAGATCACATCATCAATCGGCTAGCCACAATGTCAACTTCGTCGCCTCGCTTGTCTGTTCGCCGACTGCCGAAGATGGATGATCCGTCGAAAGTCAAGATTGAATACCTTTCGGGCCGCATCAAGCGCCTGAATCCAGTACCACTTCCTCCGCCTGTCATATTTTTCCCACCTTTTAGTGCAGGATCGTGGTCGGAGGACGAGTTTGGATCCGATGGAGATGATGAATTCAATTCCTCAGAAGGACTTATGAGCCGACGAGCAAACCCGCATGAGTCGGATGATTATCCCGACGGTGTAGACTTGAGCAGTGGCGATGAAGATGGAGAAGAGCCCGATGACGATATTGACATGACGAGGAATGAGGGGCGAGATAGCAGCTTGGATGACATTTCACAGCAGGGACTTGGTCGGGTCCCACTCGGATCACGGGGTAGCACCGAGGCAGTCCCAGGAACTATTCGTGGAAGAAGCAAAAGCGCTAGCGCCGAGGCAGTTCTCCGCGCAGGAGGCAGTTCTGCAGCCACTGCAGGAGGCGTCGAGAGCGATTATAGCAGCAGCTCCAAGAAGAGCGGCTGAACACACATAACTTGTGTTCGAAACAGTATCTGGGGAGTGGCATCTCCTCTTGACACGGCAAACCACAACCATTCCCAACGATTTACCAACAATAGCAATACTGGTCAAAGCAATACCAATTTGTGATGGACGAAAAGGGGCGACAAGTGAACCGCTGATACGATGTTGGGTACAAGCTGAGTTTTGACTTTTGGTATTTTTTTTTTTTTTTCATTATGCTTTTTTTTTCTTGGACAGCCATGGAATCTTAGGCGTTGTTTACGGCTGGATGTTGCGAAAGAAAAAAAGTACGATTCCCCCACGAGCGCTATTGATTTATTTTCAGTGTATAGCTTCGATGCGATACAGAGAGATTGTACAGATGCTTTTTCAATTCCCCTCAGCGAGGCCAACATGTATTTAGATGTTCGATATCCTGTATGTTTATATTTAGTTTAGTTATCAAGTGCTTTGATCATCAGCCGCAGCGGAGAGTCTATGGTGCATACTATTTTCTACTTTTGGTAAAGTTATGGCCACGAAGTATGGTGAGATATCTTGTCATAGCTAAGAAGTTATTGGTCTGGGTCTCGGCATATTCGAGTAGGGTCGTAGTTGGACCAGCCACTAAGTTGCAGCCGTAGACCCGGGAATATTTCACCATCTACCTCTTTAGAGTACTAGGTAGTCTCGTGCCATTAACAGATAACCTCAACTTGCTGGATGCTCGTCCAGAAATGTTATTTAAACAAGCGCAATCAGAGGTGAGATGCACGTGATATACAATCGCATCATCAACGGCAGCTTACATGGATGGTGTGGCTGTTGGTTGTTTTGTGGCTGGAGCATCCCGAGTCGATAGGGAGTACGGAGTACCCCGTACTGTATCTCACGCCGTCTTTAGTGCGGCATACGCAATCAGACCACACGCCTGCAGGATGCACGGAGCCCTTTTCTTTCATCATATCAGGCTGAGGCTATTGAGAGGGGCAGCCTGATTCATATAATACTGCCAACTTGCCGCTCGGAAGGCTGGGAAAGCTGAATCTATTTCCTTCTTCTCTACAATTGCCTTGCCTTGCTTTGACCTTCTCACTGTGTTGAACTGGACCTTGTTTGTTGATCAAGATGCGGCTGCAATTGGGTTCGGCCTTTGCGGCCTGGCTCGCGCTCGGCGGCGAGGTTGTGGCCTCCAAAGAAGAGGCGAAATCAAACGGAGTTAGAAACATTGCAATTATTGGTGAGTTGGCATTGGCTGAGGTTGATTTCTTTGCATACTGAGCCCCCTGGATTGAGAGTGGGGTTTGCACACGGAACGTCTATAAGAGAGATGGCACAAGAGGCAGCCTGGAACTAACCAGATACCACAGGAGCTGGAGCTGCCGGGTCTTCGGCTGCGTACCACCTGCGACAATATGCAGATGAAGCAGATGTCAAAGTCAACATCACCATCTTTGAGAAAACGGGACGGATTGGCGGCCGGACGCTGACCGTCAGTGCATTTGATGACCCGCTGCAGCCCATTGAGCTTGGCGCTTCAATTTTCGTGGCTGTTAATTATATCATGTATAACGGTACTAAGAACTTCAACCTGTCCATCGGCGCCAACTACCGCACGGCCAGTAGCCAGGACGATATCACTGCCATTTGGGACGGCGACAGCTTCGTCTACGAGACCACGGATGGCACGTCCTGGTGGTGGGATGCGGGCAAGCTCTGGTGGCGGTACGGCATGAGCCCGTACCGAGCTGTCAATCTGGTCAAGGAAGTGGTTGGCAAGTTCCTCAAGTTGTATGAGCCGCCATATTTCCCGTTTCGATCGCTGACGGCCAGGGCGTACGAGCTGGATCTGGTGAAGATTACAGCTGTGACGGGGGAGCAATTTCTCGCCCAGCATAAGGTTAGAATTGGCAGATCCTTTTACCCTATTGTCATGAAGTGGACCATGGTTTAAGCTGACAACTTCTGTTCTAGATTGATGAGTCGTTTTCGAGGCATATTATTCAGGCGGCTACGAGGGTCAATTATGCCTCCAACCTGGCATATCTTCATGGACTGGAAGCCATGGTAAGCATCCACCAGAACAAGACTCATAACTTTGGACTAGAATACTAATATACAACCCCCTAGGTCTCGTTTGCTACAGATGGCGCCATGTCTGTGAATGGTGGTAACTGGCGGATTTTTGACCAAATGGTCAAGACCAGCGGTGCTGCCATTTACCATGATACCGCCGTCTCTTCCATTGGCTTTGCCAAAGCCAAAACCTCAGCTTCAGCCCCCAGATATGAGATTTCAACAAGATCAGCCGAGGCCGATCCAGAAGTTGTTGGTACAATATTCGATGATGTAATCATTGCCTCTCCTTGGCAGTTCAGCAACATTGAAGCTGGCGAGGGCGTTATCAAGCATCATATTGAGGAAATCCCCTACACCAAGCTCCACGTCACGCTATTTGCCTCTCCATTTAAACTACACCCAGACTTCTTCAAGCTCCCACCGGGATCCAAGGCCCCAAGCAACGTCTACACGACTCTTGCCGAGGGTGAGGAGCCGAAAGAGGGCGCTGAAGGCGTTGGCAAGACAGGCTTCTACTCAGTCAGCACGCTCAGAACGGCAGTCAACCCAAAGACGAACAAGACCGAGTTTGTGTATAAGATATTTTCGCCCAAGCCCGTGACCCCGCAGTTTCTGTCGGATCTGCTTGGCGTTCAGGTGCCAGAGACGTTTACGGCTCCGACGGACGAGGACCGGGGCGGGGACAACCAGAACAGCGGTGTGGACCCGATCTCGTGGTATTACCCGCACTGGTTTTACTCCTACCCGATTGAGCTTCCACGGGTGACATTCCAGGATCCTATCCTGGGCAGCGGGCTCTACTACACATCTGGCATTGAGAGCTTCATCTCAACAATGGAGACGAGTGCCCTGATGGGGATGAATGTGGCGAGGCTCATTGTGGATGATGCAGCGGGCATTTCTCGGGCCGCAGTTCCCGGCTCTGTGAGCGAGGAGGACTTGGGGATGCACGAGGTCAAGGTAGACTTGGTTGTTGAGGAGCCCGGTGAGCTGTAGTTGGGGAGGGGGGATTGGAGAGACTGATTAGAGAGTTAGAGGGGATAAATGGTGGCTTTGGACGACTTTACATCGGCTTGGATGAGGTTGGGTTTTATTGAGCAAGCGGCACATTCCTTGATAGTTTCTGCTATTTGATGGAGGAGGTTTGGAATGAGAATAATTCACTCATTGTTTCTATGTTGTAACAACTGATCCATGGATACAACAAAACTCATGCATTCCACCACACTTGTGCTCTAGTTAAGAGATGGCGTAATCACATAATGATATGCACCGTTCAAATACATCTAAAGCCGTCGAATACCGGCTAATGCACCTCATCTATTTACCCATCTCGCAATTTGCATATACTACTAATACGAAATGTTGGGGAAGGCCTTAAAACGCCAGAGGCGCGACTTGCATTGTCGGTTCATATGCAGAGTATGGTTAGTTTCGTTCGTGTCGATATCGGAACCTTGTACATATCCATTTGCATGTTGTAAATCCCATGATCAGCAGAAAAAAAAAAGGCGAACTCGCATTTTGGTCTAGACAATGCCTTATGGAACGCCAAGCGTCGAAGCGAAAGTCCGGTAGATGCTGCTGCTTCCCCCTCGTTGTCCATTTTTATTATGCTTTTAACGGCAAATGAGTTTTTGGGCCTGCATTTCATGATGTTTTACGTGTATCGTATGTCATTGTTGGGGTTTGCTGTTGTGGCTTGCATTTAATGAAACCCCCTCCTTGTTGATGCGTGTCATCGGATATGGGGGAGATAAAAGGCTATACGCTTTCGAGATGATGATTATAATCTACTGCAATGGTGGTTATCTTGACTCCTCTCGTTGTGGTGGGAGGAGCATGCCATATGCCTCCATGTATGCCCGTATCTGTTATAGTAGGTGGTGATATTCGAAGCACTCGTACACCCAAATCGCCAAGTCTCCGAGTCTTGTCCGGCTCAAAAGGGGCCGAGAAGGGTCTTAGATAGCAACGGCTCGTCTTAGCTTCGTGGTTCGCTGATTAGGGATTTTGCTTGTCAACGTGGGGCCGTTGAAGCGACGATACTGGCCGCTGCTAGTGTAGGTTCTTTTTTTTTTTTTTCCCCTACGGAAATCCCCATCTTATCTCTGCCCATTTCTTCCGTTTGGTGAGGTGATGTGAGGGGCGATAGGGTGCTCCGGCGCCTCCTCGTCCTCCCTACTTCTTCGTGTCGTCGTTTCGTGCTTCAATTGGAAAACTGCAACGGTATCACTGCCTCTGTATCATCTGCATGACCACCACAATTACGATGTAGAGCACAAGCACAAGCAATTCCGCTTCACCAAACAGAATCCCGGGATCCCGCGTCCGATAGTCGGGATGTCTTTTGGCGGCCGGCCTGCGTCGGCATGTGCCGGGTAAGCCACTAGTGGCGCCGGCTCCGGCGGAGACTCTCTTTAGCTTCGCGTCCAGAGCCCATTGAACAACTTTAGCACGAGTAATAGCAATGGCGAGGCAAAGACGTGGAACCCTTTGAATTTTTTTCTCCGGGGCGCAAGTCGGAGTTTCGTAATGGATCAATTCTGCAGTGTTTTCCTTGCATTGCCAGGGGAGCATATTTCTAATCATGACACCCGTCTGTTATCATTAGCTAATTGGCAGGGGAGAGGCTCCGTAGATGCCCCAGTTGCCCGGGCGTATGTACAATTATCGTTGGGTTCCATGCCTTGCTCTTGCTTGTGTTCCTATCCTCTCTTTGTAAGACAGAGAGAAGCTGCTCTCCGCCTCTTCTTTCTTCCTTCACCATAAGCTGCTAGTTGTTTACTTTCCACATCATAGAGCTTCATCCAATATATCTATATCGTTCTTCGTTTAGATTCACCGGCTTAGACTCTTCTTTACGCAAACATACCTTGATCTTTCCAATTCCAGCATCAAAATCACAATGCCTGCCAGCGGTCCCGCATCGGCCAAGACAAAGTACAGCTTCACCGACGACTACAGCGAGGGAGCCCATCCCGACGTCCTCAATGCCCTGCTGCTGAGCAACAATACTCAAGAGGTTGGCTATGGCCGCGACACTTACAGCGAGACGGCCCGCGATCTGATCCGCCGCCACCTCGGCCGTGACGATGTTGGCATCTTCTTTGTGCCCAGCGGCACTTCGGCCAACGCAATCTCCATCGCCGCCTGTCTTCGACCCCATGAGGCCGTCATTGCCTGCAGCTCTGGACACATTGTGACCCGAGAGACGGGAGCCGTCGAGGCTAGCGGCCACAAAATCATCAATGTCGCTCCCGTGAACGGCAAGATGACTCCGGAAACCCTCACCAAGGCTCTCGACGACAACTGGCACTTCCCTCACATGGCAAAGCCCCGTCTCGTTTACATCTCCAACGCCACTGAGATTGGCACTATCTACACCAAGGCCGAACTGACTGCCTTGAAGCGCATCTGTGAGGCCAATGGTCTCCTGCTTTTTGCCGACGGTGCCCGTATCGGTGCTGCCCTCACGTCCAGTATCAATGACCTGACCCTGCGAGATATGCTCGAGCTTACCGACATCTTCTGGATTGGAGGCACCAAAAACGGTGCTCTACTGGGCGAGGCCATCGTGGTCAAGGACACCAAGCTGGCTGAGGACTTTGAGTTCTTTGTCAAGCAGCGTGGTTCTCTGCTCGCCAAGGGTCGTATCATGGGTGTACAATTTGCGGAACTCTTCCGAGAGGACGACTGTCTCTACTTTAATCTCGCTCGACGAGCAAATCTGGCAGCTGAGAAGCTCTCCCGCTCTATTACTGGAGCTGGATATGAGCTCAACGCCAAAACGGAGACCAACCAGGTCTTTGCCGTACTGCCTCTTACTCTTGTCCAAGCTCTTCAGCAGGATTTCTCATTCTATGTATGGGAGAAGTATGGAGAGTTCGCAGTGGTAAGACTACTGACTACCTGGGCTACCGACCTCTCTCAGCTGGAGAGGTTTAATCAGATGGTGCTTAGCTGGAAGCCAGACGCAGAGCAGAAGACACTTTAGGCATGTTTGACAAGTAGAGTATGGCGCAAACTTTCATCTTTTTTTTTCTGGGAAACGTTGGTGGGGTTGTAATGTTGGGCACGCGGATTGCAATTTCAGCGAGAATGTTGATGCACGGTTATGGCGTTAAGGGCTATTGGGTACATTGAATATAGAAAACTTGGATCAACAATAATGAATACACAGCGGCTGATGATTTTGAGTTCTTGATGTTTTATTACGTGTGCTATGTTGGCCATTAAGTTCATCTGTGTCGATCCGATCAAGGTATTGACCAGCTACACAAAACTCTACACAGACGTTTTGAGCCATCCTTTCAGCTACGACTTATCAAGTTCGAAACGGAGCCAAATGAATACTCTCATGCTGTCTTGATAGTATTATACCACCAGGATATATGGATAACACTGATATTAACTGCTCTCAAAACACCTCTCGTGGAAATGTTGGAGGCAATTACTCCTGTGCTTCGATGTTAGAATAGTAACAAATAGCAAACGCAACAATGTGAAACAACTGCCATGGGCCACTTTTCCCCTCCTCCGCATCCGTTCACCCGAATCCCCGTAAAACAACCCAATTTACGGAGTAGTCTATCGTGGGATATGGGACTGACGTGGGGAGGGAGAGGGAGAGGGAGAGGGAGAGGGAGATCTAACACGTGGCATAGAGTCTCCTCCCCCAGTCGTTGGTCCCACGAGTAATGTTAGGTGATTGCGGGAAACTTTGCGAGTGAATTTGGGCTTCTGAGTTATTTACGCTTGCAATTAGGATTTATTAATATAAGGGGCTTCTCTGAGGAGTGTATGAAGAATACATGAATTGCTTGTTTAAAATCTCCTTTGAAGGAGTCGCAAGCAAGCATGCGAATATCATGCCGCCGTCCAATAATTTCTCCACCTTTCTGCTCATACGGTGTTTGGGTGTTACAAAATCTCAGACATGCTGCAAAGAATTGTCTCAATCCATAGTGGGCCAAGGCTTCCAAAGCCTGACTGTCTCTGGATCGATCGGCCACAAAGATGAAGAGGAAGCCAATCACCACTGGTCCGGTCAGCGATCGCAAGCGTTTGGAACTTGTTGTTTGTCATTCGGCGTGCATGCTAGACCCGCCGTACCCCTGGTTTCGGAACGCTAAAAAGGAATAAAAAATGGATGCTGTAGGAACGTCATCTTTTCAGCTAACGGTTAAGACAGTGTAGAGACGCGACATGTGAAAATATGGGAGCTAGGCAGCTCATTGAACCAGCACCCTGCACATATTGAGAGTTTGGGCGAAATACATTATGATAACAAGGATAAGCACATATATTTGTCTCTATTGGACTGCAAACGCTAAGTAGGAGTAACTAAAAGCAAAGAGTGAATTTCCCCTCTGGGCCACCGTGGCACCAGATATATTCCTCTATAAACATTTATCCGTCTATTCACACCTTTTAGTGTTGATGGTTTGCGCCTCGCAACTCATCAAGAAGCATTTTTGAGGATGAGGTATCATGTCGTAGATTTAACTCCAGTTTAGAAAAGAAGAGGTTGAAAAAAAGTACCTCTTGATGCAAGATGAATGTTAAGGGTCGTATCTCATTTAATCGCTGGACTTGTGCATGCTGCCAGTGACATAGTTTTCAGCTCCAAGAGTGTTGATGGTTTCAACATCTTCCTCCGATAGTTCAAAGTCAAAGCTCTCGAGGTTGCTCTGGATCCGAGAAGGAGTCAAACTCTTTGGCAGCACCACGTTTCCGCGAGAAGCATTCCAGTTAAGGAGGATCTGAGCGGGAGTCTTGCCGTATTTCTTGGCAATTGCATTGATAACGGGGTCTTCGAGCTTGTTTCCCCGAGCCAGCGGAGAGTAAGCTTCAATCATAATACCATGCTTGTTGCAGAGCTCGACGAGAGCCTCGCGCTGGCAGAATGGGTGGACCTCGACCTGGTTGACGGCAGGGATCACTCGAGCATTCTCGAGCAAGTTCTCGATATGAGCGGCGCCAAAGTTGGAAACTCCAATGGACTTGACCTTGCCTAGCCGCTGAGCTGTCTCCAGGGCGCGCCAGCTCTCTAGACGCTTCACCTCATCTTCAGCGGGAGAGTGAATAAGATATAGATCCAAATACTCGAGGCCCATCTTGTCAAGAGAGGAACAGAGTGCGTTGAAAGTTGCTTCATAGCCGTGGTCGGAGTCCCAGAGCTTAGAACACACAAAGATTTCCTCACGAGGCGTACCGGTCTTCTTCATCCAGCGGCGGATGGCCCGGCCACAGGCTTCCTCGTTGGCATATCGAGCAGCAGAATCAATGTGACGGTATCCAGCATCAAGAGCGGCCGTAATGGCATCCTCAGTTTCCTGGCCATTGGGAGCCTTGTAAACACCAAGGGCAACCTGAGGTATCATATTGCCATCATTGAGGGTGATGGAAGCAACTGATGATACAGAGCTGCTGTGAGACCGGGTCTGGACGATGGATTTCTTGAGACTGGAGCGGCGCTCAGGAGAAGTCTCGGGGGTGATTGCAGAGGGAGCCATTGTGAATAAGGTTTAGGTTTTCTGAAGGAAAAACGTTTGATATGTATGAGAGATCTAACAGAAAGGTTATCGTCTAAGCTTGGAGAATGGCTGATGTTGAGAATGGAGAATCAAGGTGGGTTTGTGGAGGATTTACCAGCTCCTTAAATACTTGAGAAGCTGAGGATCATCTTGCTCCTTTCTTGTTGTACGTTGAACACACATCTCTTCAGCTTACTCCGGCTGAAAGACGCAGACTCGCTTGTTGCCGGCCATCTAGCATTCTGTGAACCCATCGGCGGCTTGGCAGCTCAGCAAGTACATGCGGTACATCTTCCTCTCCTGTCGATGCCAACACCGCCTCCGTCATGTCAAGACGGCTGTGGAGTTCAATATCCCCTGAAGAACGCCGTTTGCGAGTCGGCCCATTTGGAAACGAAGCTGAGCGGCGCCAAGATTCTCTGGAGGCATGTAACACGAGTAGATAGGTGGAGAGGACGCGATAACATTAACTGCGGCATTTTATCAGGTCTCCAGTGTTTTATTATCGTGTCTCCAGTAACTGTATAGAGGACGATATGATAGCCTCGTGGAATGGACGAGTTCCGAAGCGTTATGACGACGGCTGTGGAGGCTGCGATGGATATATATATGGGTCGTGATGGATCGAAGGTGGCAGGCTGATCCATCTACAGGTACGAGAATCCTTGTTGAGAGATTCCCAGATTCCATCGCTCGCATAGGAAATAACATTCGATGCCCCTAGGTTTCCACTTGATGTCTATCAAATCGCGCCCTAACTGTGCTGCCCACGGGGATTTTTCTGCTTGCAGCCAGAAGCACAAGCCAAAACAGCCACCGGGATAGCATCAAACTTTTCCGTCTCTCACCCACCCCGGGTGGAGCTTGGTATTGGGTTTGGTAGAACTGTATCAGCTTTTTCGGTATTTGAACCCCGAGATGACGCGAATTTGGGGATTCTTTTGTGATGAAAATACATGTTGTCTTCCAGGAGAGCAAATCCATGCCATTCACTCAAAATGGTGACCCGGTAACACGTTGGAAGGTTAACAAGATATCATCTTGTTTTGCTTGTTTTTTTTTTTTTTTCTCAACCATTTTCTTTCTTTTTTGCCTTGGTGTCTTATCAAGATCGGAACGAAAGATTCCCCGAACGACTGCTGCAATGTTGAAAGAATGAGCTACAGGCCAGAAGATGAAGCAGGAGTAGAGGTACATCGCGAGTGACAACTAACCTGGGAGGTGGAATGCCAAGATGCATGTACAGTATACCGCACAAGTCCACGGTTGATAGCATATTCACCGCTGAGATGAAATGATCGACAGTACCAGCTTCAACATCAATCGTGGACGGAGTGTACATGGCAAGTACTGCGGACAAACACACATGTAGAGGCCCCACCAGCAACGTAGCAGCCAGACCTTTCCACCGTTTATTATCGCAGGGATCGGCAGCTGAAAGCTTCCGCCCAACACCTCTGCGCGCGCAAGGGGGCATGTACGAGTGCGTACAGTACAACAAGGGGAAATGACAGAAATGCGGCGATTACGCTAACCGAGAGCTGGGCGCCGGTGGCTGCCGTGCCGCTTCGGTTGAGCCAAGCCGGAGACAGGCGCCGAAGCCACGGGCCTCAAGGGTGCCTGCCCCTGATACCTTGTTTAAGCCACTTGAGAAGATATGGAAGGCAGCTGCCAAGCAACACGTCGTTGCTTTGTGATTGTATCTTTCTCTACATAGTATCATTCTTCTCATTAAGCGTTTATTGCGATCAATGTCAGATAATGTGTACATCGATCCAGCTCTTACGGATCTTAAAGAACAAATAATTTGAGTCAAGACCGCACACAGTGCTCCATACAGCGCCGTGAACGAGTAGGTACAGCATCTGCTAGTGTGTCAATGTGTCTCCATTTCACCTCCCGCCATCACGTTAGCAGTCTTCTTTAGCAGATAACAAATCGTCAAATGGGATCCTCTCGCCGAATATGGATCTCCTTCTGACGTCATTTTACCGCCAGATGTCACAGACCCCGGCCCTAGAATATCCATTTCCAAAGTTGCCCATCAAACGGGGCTGACCGCTGAATCTGTCTGATTCGGATTGGTGAGTCCAGTCTCCTAATTGAATGGATCTGAATCGCCGACACGATGAGGGTGGTACGATTTTGTGTATACTTGATAGGCCTCCAATGTATAACTGAGGTACAAGCACATGCAATTTTCCCTGCCTGTCCTTTGCAGCTGGTCCCCTGATGATTTCGGGTAGCTTCTTCAACGATCGCTGCGTCATATTGCAGGTCCCCTTGTCTCTGATAATACCGCGTCTATTAGTGTTGTACATGTACGTACCTAATACCGCCTGTGTAAGATATAGAACTCACGCTAGGCACTGGAGATCTGATATGTTAGTATTGAGATCGGTGGCATCCAGTGGGCCGAGTACACATTTTTGCTGCAAATTTTCATCTCTTCTTACCCACCGCCCTCCACGTTTTCGAAATGAAGACAGTTAAAAGTCATTGTATCTTCAGTGGACTCCGCGATTCCACCCCCAGATTCATATCCCCAGATCAGCATGTCGATGAGATCAATTTTTCACTATGCCCCGGGGTAGTTGTTATTCTACACAACTGCCGCTGGTGAGGCCATCACAGGTATCACAGGTGTTCAGATGAAAAGATCAGCGAGTTCAAAGATACCGCCATAGATCAGCCGTAAATCACTCGGGCACTTTGAGAGAAAAATTTCCCTCTCCCCTGTTCAATCCAATGCCCTTGTGTGTACCAAGTACTGTATGTAGTATAGCTGTTTATACCGCCGCCAGGCTGATCTTGTGAGTCAAATGGGAACAAGATCTACAACATTCGCCGGGCTTGTGTCCGCCGTCACTTTCTGTGTGCCTTGGCAATCCCATAATTGACGACGTACGAGTACGGAGTACATAACAGGTATGGCGTCGGCCCCTAGTACTTCTTTCAGCCTGACAAGACAAGTGCAGGGGTTGGGTCCAGATAGAGACGGAGATGTGTGATTCTCTGCTTGCATGTCGCGACTTCATGATGGTGCCACGAGATAAGCAGGATGCCTGCCTGCCAAGGTTCGTATTGGGTACATGGAGGGCTAGTCGATGGTCCTCATTCTAGGTGTAGTTTATGCCGTCCAGAAGTCTCCAATACCTCTAGGTACAAACTTGGTGAGGGTACAGAAAGGAAAGAACAGAAAGGAAAGAAGAGGTGTCATCATCTGCTGCTGCGTTGAATCGTTCCTTCCGCTCAGACACGAGAGGGGCATGCGCGCGTTAATAACGAGCTAGGCTTCACGTAGAGACGTAAAAGATGCCACTGAACTTCTACAGATACCACATCTCCGAATATTCTCACCTAAGCAGAATGTGATGTATGCATATCTTCGACATGCTTGCACCGTTACAACAGCGTGAGAAAAAAACACCCTCCGCCTCGGGTGGATAGATATGGCGAGATTTGTTGCTTCACTCCTCTGTATATTGTGGAACTATTGCCGCTAGTCTTCCAACAAGTAGATGTCCGGCTACATTCGGTGACCGTAGTTGCGGCCATCTTGATGAATCCGACGGATCAATACTTCTCTTGACCAAGCGGAGAATAAGAGCAGACGCACGGCATTTACGACCCGAGTGCGTGTAGCATAAGGACGAAGAGGATTACTTGACTACATAAGCCAATAAGGCATAAATCCCTTCGTTCTATTGCAGGACTATCTTAGAAAGCCACGTTTCACAATGGCTCGGTCTTGTCACTCTTGGGTTATTGATCATCCCTTGGGTAAGGAAATATTGGGGCAAGTACCATACATTGTTTCTCAACCAGTTGATCCTTAGTAATGTCTGCTTATGTTACAAACACGGGTTGTTAATCGAGAGTAATATCTTGGTCAATATGGCTCTCTACAAAGAGCTCTTTTCTCATCGGCAAATACAGCTTTTAACCCGAGGTCACGCCGCCAGCGTCCACTCTCTTCAGCTCTTTTCCCCTGCCGCCGTGAATCAGACGGGCCCGTATGCCTTGTTGGTGAACTGTGGCATCAGATGCAAGTTCTTTGAAGAAGCGACGCGAGTGATGAAAGATGTCCAGAAATGGGGAAATCCAATAATGACTTCATCGAATACGCGTCCAATGACACTTGAGTAGATGATACCACAGCGGGTTGCTTGATTCCTTACATCGTTGCACACGAACAGTCGATGCTCATGAAATGATAGTATTAACTCTGAAAGGACGTGTGTCGCACTGAAATCAGGTTCGAGATTCACAGGTTGATATCGACGAAGCGTAGAGATGGAGGGGAAAGAGAGTGCGTGAAAGTTTGCTTAATCGTGAGATATATCTGAATCCTGCAGCTTATGTCGTGGAACAACGGCTTGGCCACGACGATTCAACAACTTAATTCTACTCTTCCAGCTACAGATAGGGTTGATGAACAAAATATGTCCAGGGATGGATCCTTGGCGACTTTCATCGAAGATTGACTTCGTTTCCATACACCGATCCTGTCTAACTCGACGCCTTCTAAGCATCGAAAACGATCATATTCAACGCGGAAATCGTCACATGGCTTTTTTGAGGCTCGCCTAGCGTCGGTGCGACCTTCTCCGGTCGCTTTGATGACTCCGACGATGGTCCTCTCTAGAAGTACTGGTTATACGTTGCAGATTAGCAATATACTCATTGGCAAAGGTTTCTGAAACGGGCGCCCGATGAAGCCTACCTCCGCGGGTTCCTTCTTCTCGTCTGTACGCGAATGCCATGCGTAGCAGATTTAAATCGTCTCCTAGTATCCCAGCTCAGAGGTGTTCCCTAGTCCTTTGGAGCTAGCATGACGACATATTCCCGTGTGCTGTGTCCAAACAAGATCATATCTTTGTCTCGAAGTTCGAGATACCTACTATCAGGCACTTTCCCGTCATTTAGGATAGTCCCATTGGCGCTCTCTAGATCGATCAAATAAGGCTTCACCTTGCCAATCTTATCGCCAAACTCGTTTCTTTTCTCGGTGTAGCGGAACTGTATCACGGCATGTTGTTTGCTAATGCTCGGGTGTTCCGCGGCGATGTCAACAACGGCCATTTCCCTCCCGACCAGCCAGCAACTCCTCGCGCTGAGCTCGATGGTATCAATAATGTCACCGCCCTTGAACACAAAGAGCTTCCATTGGTCGCGTGGGGGTGGCTTTCGGGCCTCTGCCGGCTCGTGGTACTTGAGTACGATTGAGGTGCCGTCCGCCTGAGCAACTGAGTTAGACATTGCAGCTAGCCGGCCAGTAGTTCCTATATTTGGCTTTTCTTTCGGCTTTTCGGGGTCTCCGCCTTCCTGCGTGATGACTGCAAACGAGGCTTCTTGGGACGGCAGCGGTCCCGACCTCCTCACAGGGCTCTCTCGATGACGAGCCAACGCGCGACTGTCACGCTCAGAATCTTCATCTCTCGACCGATGTCGGCGTGAGCGCCGATGGCTATCTAGCTCGCCAGGTGAACGTCTGTGCCGTCGATCGCGGTCGCTACTACGGTCTCTATGTCGATGCCTCCTGTCTCGGTCCCCATCACGGCTGCGTTGCCGCCGAGACGATTCTTCTGGCGTTTGCGACCGTCGTCGATCGCGATCTCTACGTCTTTCTCGGCCCTCGTCTCGGTCACGGCGGGATGCTTGTTGTTGATGTTAGCATCTGCAGTTCTTTGCATGCCTAGGAGCATCCTCACAATCGTCGTTCCTGTCTCGGTGTCGACGAGAAGAGCTGTATTCCTCCTTTGACGCCATGGCTGGGCGCAATGGATCGAAATAAGATCGGTGATATGCAGTAATTCAAGTAGGAGTTAAAGGAGAGGCTGCTAAGTAGGTCGAATGAAGATGAATAGCGATCGTAATCTAGCAAGGTGCAAGAAGGAGGTTGTTGAAAATGCGTCGCGTATCGATAGCACATGCAGTTGCAGGGGGGATGTCGCTGTAAGCCGGCGCAAGCCCTGTGGAGCCTCAGGATACATGAGCTTCAAAAGCATACTTCACTTTGGGGAGCGGCAACCCTGCCAATGCATCAGCTCCCCTTTAACTTATCAAATAATAAACACTTACTCACTGAGAAATAAAGAGATCAGTAGATGCAAAATAAGGCAGCGAAGCTAACAGATCAAGGGCAAGGTAGTGATTCTGAAAGAGCTCAAATACGAGTACATAGGCAGTATTAATTATCGATACATCAACTATTAACCTTGAATATCAGTCTCAATAATCTTCTTAACAGCTTCATCCACGCCCTTGACAATCACGGTCGGGTTCAAATCAAGTGCACCGCCCAAACCATCGATCCAGCCCAGATTGGGATTCCGGTTGACCCAGGCACTCCTCCAGCCCGCTGCCCTCGCACCAACAGCGTCAAAAGGATTAGAAGACACCAGCCATAAATTGCCGGGTTGAGATTCTAGATTCACCACCTTGGCAAAGTGCTCATACGTCCGTCGATCAGGCTTGAACGCTCTAAGAGGGTCAACGCTGACAATCCGCGACGTTGGTAAGACAGAGCTGGACCTGGCTAGCGACGGCGAAGTGCTCAGCGACGAAGCGATCATTGATTCAGTGCCATTGGAAAAGACGTATGCCTCCACGGTAGGGGCCTTTGAGATGAGGTTGAGCGCTGCTTCGACCTCGGGGAATGCGTCTAGACCGTTGTATGCATTCATGATCATCTCTTCTTGCTCTGGTGACAGCTTCTCGCCGACCTCTGCAGTAGCATGCCTGAATGACCATCGAGTCAATTCGCTAAACGACTGATACATGCCTTGAAACACCATCATCAATATTCATCAGCAAATAATGGCCTCGTGCCTGTTTGCAGCGAATCTCTCGGAGTAAGACTCACCCATGCCGTTTATCCGCCATGTGTACTCCAACTGATACCGCCGCGCTTGTGTCGCAATTGTCTTAGCTTTTTCATCTCCAAACAGGCTAGCCAATGCCTTGACAATCGAGTCAGTGGATAGTATAGTCCCATAGAGGTCAAATGCGATGATGGTTGGAGCCATGGCTTCAGCTGTCCGGGGTAATATGCAACTAGTAGATGAATGCCGATGAGTCAGGCGGCAACGGATCTAGTACGCAGCCTGCAACTATTCGACAATGGATGCAATTGGCGAGAACGACAAGAATTGTAGAATGAGAATTCGCGACAGGATTCTGTAAGATTCCATCACATATGCCACTGCGTATGAGGGCGATCTTTACGATGTTATATAAACTCTGTACCCCACGATTGCACCGCATCACCTGCAGAACAATTATCCGCAGTCCCAAACCGGCAACCGCCAATTCCCCAATCTATCTGGTGACCATCCAATCACGTCAGTATCTTGTGAACCACCAGCGCTTTTGCATAACCGAATTGCCGACCGATCCGACGACTGAGGAATCAATTTGAACAAAGCGACCATGTCTGACGAGGAAAGCCTCAACTACCCGCTCTTCCGTGATTGTCTCTCAGCCACCATTCTCCAGCCCGTCCCCACGCCGGAGCCGAAACGCAGGCGGCGAGCCAAGGCGGGGCGCACATCACCAACCCCGACTCCGGCCCCGGGTCCGGACCAGGATGCCGAAGAGCTCGCCGACTTCATTGATTACCTGGCCGATGGAATCTTTCAGAATCTCCCGCAGGATCTACAGGAGCTGGACTACCGCTCGTGGAGGGAATCTGAGGCACTACAGGCACAGTATTTCTTGCCATTGACACCAGACAGCCTGTCGAAGCTTGACTTGCCATCTTCCATCTGCGAGACTCTTATCACATACAGTCTCATAGCTCCGGACCCGGCTCAGCCTTCACATCTCCCACCCACACCCGAAGCGTTCCTGCTTCCCATCCTGACCGGATACCTCACCCCTCTTATTGAACCACCGCCAGCCACAACATCCACTCGCACAGACGCCTGTGAGCTTTGCGAGCGATCCTGGATCCCTCTGTCGTATCACCACCTCATTCCTCGATTTGTGCATGACAAAGCTGTAAAGCGCGGATGGCACCGCAAGGAAGATCTGCAAAACGTGGCATGGCTTTGTGGTGCGTGCCATAGGTTTGTGCACCGGTTCAAGAATCATGAGGATCTGGCGAGGTATTATTATACAGTGGAGCTTTTGCTGGAGGAAGAAGAAGTCAGAAAGTTTGCAGAGTGGGTTGGGAGGTTGCGCTGGAAGGGAGGTAAGACGAGAAGTAAGAGGTATTAGACGTGGCGGAGGAAGATGTGACTTTTGAAGGGTTCCGCGGCCTGCATCTATCCTGACCTCGAGGCAAGAGGTAGGATGGGCTTTTGATATGTGCGAGCGTTATTTTCACTGATAGCTCTCTTCTTTTAACTGACATTTGTCGAGCATTCAAGATGCAGCATCTTGGTCCGTATAACGTGCGAGTGAGAGAATGGAATAGTGTCGCTTATATGAGATTCGTGATGGGGTGTAGAGAAGACGTATGCTAGTCGTATCTTTAATCATTAAATTCGAACTCTCCTTTTTTTCTTATTTTGTCCTAACTGGAATGCTGCGACGTATGATCTCGCTCGTCGGGCAGTTTAATATAGTCGCCGCTTTTTCTGTACTCAGACACGATCACCTCCTTTGTCTGTATAATACCTCCAGTCGGTTTGCGCTTCGGGCCTCCGCTACTAGAAAACGTACTGCCGCCTATAGTTTCCATGGCAATTCGATCATCAGCCTTATCACTGTCACCCTGCGCTTGTTTACGAGGGGTGGATTTTTCTCGCCGCCTTTTATTCCAGAATGAGTAGAGTGTCGGCGCATTGACGACGATAGCAGCTGTCAGGAGCTCAGTGCTAGCCCAAGTCGTACGGTTGACTTGGCTATATGGATGCGAAGAGTTGATTGGTAGTCGGATGATGGTAATAGTAATGATGAATATACCAAGTGTGAACAGTGCAAATAGTTGGGCTTTTCGAGCTAGCGGCGCCTTGAGTTTGAGGATAACCGGAATCGGGAGGACGATGAGCATAAAGTCTGTTACGATATTGAGAACACCAAGCACAATAAGTTGCATCTGGGCTTGCGCACACGGGCCTGTATCAATGGTTAGATAAATTACAGGAGCCTGATCATGGAGAATAGGCCTCGTTCATACCTGGGTCAGGAAGGACCTGCCAGTAGAGGTGAAAGGGCTTGCACTCGCTAAAAGTAAAGACCTGAACGATCGTATAGGTGACGAAGAAGACAGAAAGATAGGACGAAAGAATCCATTTTTCATACGGTAAGTCGTGAATAAGTCGTCGATAGAGATCCAATAGCACAAGCTTCTGCAACCAAAGACTGTATTTGACCTCAATTGTTAATCCCCTTCAATCACACGCCAGGTCTGGTAAATGAGAGACTCCATGGAGCACACTGACTAGGAATTATAAAACACGCGATTAGCGATGGACAACTTGCTGCCGATCTCCCGCTGATAGATCTCCTTGGAGGTAAAGTGATGGTCCTGACGCTGGGCAGCAGTCATGTTATTCGTGCCCCAAGTCAAGACAACATGAATCATTCCAAGTCTGATCAGAGCGCACGCAGCAGCGGCCATGGTAAGGCGATCGCCTAGGTTGAAGTCTTGTCGAGCATTTTTCCTCCCCCAAAGCCTAATCCCCATGATGAGGAGTGCCAGGCAGCTGAACAGCCAGTGGATAAGAAGTGTAGGATCCATGACGAAGCTGGCGTCGTTGCAAGCATCCTATTTCGTCGACCAGCGATCACAATAATGCTTTGAGACGCAGCTTCTGCAAAATAAAAAAAAAATTACAATACTGTAAAGATTCAGATGGGTGAACCTGCCATGCAAAGATGTTGAGCACATGTCCATCAGTTGATCATCAGCCGGGAGCGGGCTGCGGCACATTAAAAGAGTGGAGTGTCTGGCGATCAACAAGGACTCCTTGAGCATAAGAGGAGAAATTGCCTTTTCAAAGGATGATACCCTTCATACTAGCATCGGCAGCTGAGGTTACAGTCCTGCAAGGATCTTGTGCGTTTGAAGCGAGGTTATGGAGTATAATCATATTGATATCGCCACAAAGGGGATGGCCCTTGAACCTTGGAATCACGTAACTGCAACCGGGGGGGAGAAGCGTATTTGGCAGCTGAGCAAAACTCTTCCTGCTGGGGGTGCAGCGACAAAAATACGGTGCGTGGAGATAATTCCCCCGTATAAGTGGCCTCGGAAGACTGGCATCAGCTTCCCCGCGATACCCAGACCCTAAGAGAAACTATCTCGACTAGTCAACAACTCTAAGCATAAAAGAGTTCAACCAACCTAAGACGGGCCGTAGCCGTCCGTGATGGGTCGACACAGTGTGTTTTGAAGCGTAGCCTCCATACTGGCTTCTCCGACTTGACGAAGCATGTAGTCGATGTTCATGACGAATCTTAGCCTATGCCGAGCCGAGTCAGTCGACTCAGTGCAAGTGATGATACGTTTAGTCAGCCTGAGATGTTTTGAATATACAAACAAGCTGGGTGTAGATGAATTCATGTTATTATGGTATACGGAGTAGGCAGGGTAGCAATTATGTGCGCATGCCGTATAGGAGAGGGCTAGTGCTAGCACTACAACCTTAGCATCACAGCTCGGCTTTTCAAAATGAGCCGGCCCCATATCTCGTGTTAGCTGCGAGGAAACGGAAATGCAGGTTTCAGGGATAAAACCAGCTGCGCGGAAGATTTCTCGGCGGGCAGGGTGCCTGCATTCGGGAATCAAGGAGATTTTGCGGGTGTTGGCTTCCAGGATCTTTGCGAAGTGCATTGATCACCAAGCGATTCTAATTTTGTAGCAAGGAGAGGAGCGCAAGTCCTCCTGTAGCAGCAATAGAGGCGGTACTCGATCTGTACCAGCATATTAGCAGCAGCTACAGCTTCGTACGAGTACAAGACGATATAGCACAGTACGAGGACGGTACTAACGTACGAAATAGTATAGGATGAACGCACTAAATAGGCGCGCTATTACCTAGGTAGTAAGAAGCCCGGTTGCACAAACTATCTCTTCGAAGTTTCCGCGGCATTGTAAAGTCGGTGTCGCAATTGTAAGCCCCGGGTCCTCATCCCGGCACTTGGCTTGACCTGGTTTAGGGATGGCTACAGTGGCTGTTTCATGGTCAAGCAATCCATCATTGAAACTGGAGCAATCAATATGAACTAACAATGCGAGATGTTACCGTCTTGGTATAGTCTGAAGTATCGAGAGATACTAACTATTCCATGGTAGAACACTCACAAATGCCTTCCCTCGAGGTTGCGACGGAATGCCGGCACTGAAGCTGTTACGGCCAAGGCCGGACGCATTGTGGGGGCATGGAGCCGAATCATCCACCAACAGCTCTGTCGACATCGCCGCTTTGGGAAGACAAGGTAGGCCCACGGGGAGAGCCTGCTCAGCTTCGAGACCGCCATGCTAGCTAGAAGGCCCCGGTCAAGGAAGGAGAGGGCAAGCCATGTCCCCGTCGAGAGAGGTCCAGCTCTCCTTCCCGCTCCCTTCTGTTCACCTCGGCCTTGGCTAGACGGATTCGCTTGCTTCCTTCCTCCTTCTGCACGGCCGCCGCCACCGTCTCCTTGTAGGTTTCTAGGCCGCCACACTCGCCTTTCCCACGTGGAATTCCCGCTCAATTGCAACCCTCACGGCAGCAACAGAAGCACCGAGGCGTTTGGAAGTCGCTGCTACTGCCTCTCCTCCCAGGAGTTACTCTTCCGGCCGTGTACAAGTAACACGATCCATCCATAACGACACCGACAGGCCGGTTCCCAATCGGAGCTTCCAAGACATCATTATGCGGCTCATCACAACTACAACGCTCTTGGCATCGATTCTGGGCCATGCTTATGCTGACGATGGTGCCAGCAGCCTGTCAGCGGCTTCGTCCGAAGTAGCGGCCATTCGTACCTTTTTCTACACTGGCGGCGGCTATGCAGACGATGGAGCTGGTGGGCACATCTATCGCGAGCAGATGTACGTCGAGAGGCTTCAGCCGGCCAAGGGAGTCAGCCGAGCAACACCCATTGTCTTCATCCATGGCCAGGCCCAGACAGGCACAGTAAGCTGCTTATATTTCTGTATACATAATCATCATCTTGCATCTGCCACTCGTATTGCGGCACGGGCACTAGCTACTGCTACTACTCTGCCGCTTCGAGCTGAGACGAAATCCTGTTATTACTACGATGTGCTAGCTCTGGCAACTGACCAACCCCTGTACAACGACAAGAGAATCTCGCTAATTCATGACTCGCCTGCATCTAGAATTTCCTAAACAAACCTGATGGCAGTCGAGGTTGGGCATCCCAGTTCCTCGACCAAGGATATGAAGTCTACCTCGTTGACCAGACGCTTCGAGCGCGTTCTCCATGGCAGCCCGCCTACATGGCAGCCTTGCCGTCCACTTACTCAGCTGAGATAATCGAGCAGCGTTTCACCGCCGTCCAAAACTACAATCTGTGGCCACAGGCCGCCTTGCACACGCAGTGGCCAGGCAATGGCTCCATGGGCGATCCCATCTTTGACACTTTCTACAGCTCCAACGTCCAGTTCATCAACAACGCTGTCTACCAGCAGACCACGGTTCAAAATGCTGGTGCTGCGCTGTTGGACAAGATTGGGAAGCCCGTGATTCTCGTTGGCCACAGTCAGGGCGGCATCATGCCCATTGTTATTGCAGATGCTCGTCCCAAGCTCACCAAGGCTTTGATCCTGCTGGAGCCCACCGGACCTCCTTTCCGAGAAGCCATCTTCAGCACCACTCCCGCTCGTGCCTGGGGACTGGCTGACATTAAGCTCACCTACTCACCCCCTGTCACCGTTCCCGCTGTGGACCTCGTGCAGCAGATCTATCCTGCTCCTGATCAGAACCATACCGATTGCGTGCTCCAGGCCTCTTCGCCAGCGCCACGACAGCTCTCGAATCTGGCTAGCAAGCCTATTCTGTTTGTTACCTCCGAGTCATCCTATCACGCGCCTTATGACTACTGCACAGTAAGCTACCTCAAGCAAGCGGGTTGCAATCAAACCACCCACCTTGAACTTGCAAAGGCGGGATTCCACGGTAACGGTCACATGTTTTTCATGGAAAAGAACAGTGACCAGATTCAGCAGACGATACAGAGTTGGATTGCCAAGCTGTCGTGAGAAATATCATGAAATATTTATAGAATGGATTGCTTCGGGCTGTACGGAGTAAGACATCATGAACACTCATGTCATGTTGAATAGACATTACTGCAACTTCTACTATAAATTGACGTTATGAACATCAACGCTATGCGGCTGAGTCGTAGACCCCTAATGGCCTGTGAAATCCCACAAATGTCTAATCAGGGGTACGCATACATATATCTGGTGACAGTAGAGAGACAACGTAAAACAAAAGCTAAAAGGGTACAATTATACGGCGTATTCGAAATGGCTTGCAATGAACTTTGTGGTAAATTTCTTTGGCTCCCCCGCTCTTGTGCTCTCTCGTCCAAAAACCCCCCCTTCTAGTCCACCCAAAAACCCAGTCCCACGCTCAGCTAGCCAACTCATCAATTATATAACACCGTTGGAGCGGTATTCAGCATCCGCTCCCCTTCGCCCTCTCCATTTGTGTGTGTATGTGCTCGTTGTAGTCGTGGTTTTGGGCTCGTCATTTTCATGACACGATGGGCATGCTACCTGGATTGGTTCTTCACCCTTTAGCTTTCCCCCTATACAGCTCCCCCCTGCCTCTGTCCCTCCTTAATTTGCCCATATCTTGACGGTCATGTCGACACTACCCGTCGCAATAACACAGCGTATTTGCGCATCGGATATATCTAATGCAGCAGCCGCCGCTCTTCTAGATGCGTTGTCGTTATCATTATTCGCTGTGCCGTTACCCGTAGGGGTATCTTTGGGCTTCGCTGGAGCCCATCTCAGAGAGGTGATGAAGTGCTCGTGGGCACTGGACAATGTTCTCACGCACTTTCCGTCTTGGCTAAGGTCCCAGCATCGCAGCGACTTGTCGTCTGCTACGGAAAGCAGATACTTGCCTCCAGGATGAAACATGACGCCTGAGACCCAGTTGTCGTGACCGACCAGGGTCTTAATACAGTTACCTCTGGCATCCCACAGCTTGATTGTCTTGTCTCTTGAACCAGTTGCCATGAACTCTGATGTACTGGTCGCTGGCGGAGGCTTCTTTAGGCCCGCTAAAGCAGCCAGGTGCTCATACGCGGCAGGGGGTGCAAAAGCACAGCAGCCGACGACGTGCTCGTGGCCTATCAGAGTGACTTTTGTCTCGGGGTTTGCAACTGTGAGTTCCCACAGCCTGCCAGTATGATCACCACCTGTAGACAGGAGGTAGTTTCCGTCGAGGGATGGGCACACATCTCGCACCCAACCCGCATGCCCGTTCAGTGTCTTTACGCAATATCCCGTGTTGGCGTCCCAGATCTTAAGCGTCTTGTCGCCGCATCCGCTGACGAGCATGTTGCCTGAGGAGAAAAATCCAGTGCCGCCAGAGGGGATGAAACGTACTGCGCTGACGCTGTGTTCATGGCCTGAGAGCGTGCGTATGTTCTTATACCCGTCTGCCGGGTCCCATAGCTTAATCGTCGTGTCGGAGCTGCACGAAGCCAGCAGGATGCCGGTCTTGGGGCCGCCGTAGTCGAGGTCTAAAACTGGTCTTGTGTGTCCCTTGATTGTCTGCTCCAGATCACCGAGCTCCCAGTCCCAGACCTTGATGGTGCAGTCTTCGGAGCCTGAGGCTATCGACGTAAATCTTGGGTGGAAGGCAACACAGGTGACAGACGCCCGATGCGATTCGAGTGTATGTCGTGAGGGGGCTTTCGGAAGCCAGGAAGCGGGGTCCTTGTTTTTCTGTGAGAGCGACGAAGGTGTCGCGTTGTCAACCTCGGACTGAAGCTCCGCGTTTCGAGTCTCAAGGTCCATAATCTGGAGTCGCAACGCCTGTTAGACAGCCGTCGGGTAAGCGCTGGGCAGCCAAGGTGAACGGACATGCCTTTTTCTGTAACCGGACAATACTCGTCCATTTCTTCTCTAGCAGAGTCTCATATTTCTTGGTCATCGCCGCATCGAACACGTCTTCCCCAAGGTCGAGTTCCTCCCTGAGCACTGTGGCGGTATTCGCGAGGTTGTTCGCCGCAAGATACGCTATAATCGACTTGTGCCTACACAGAAGCCTCATGGTTAGCAAAAGCCGCTCTGGCGTCTGATATCTTTGTCTCAAGCCTCTCTCCCCGTCGTCCTGTGCCCCTCCGCCACCCTTGTAAACAGTGGCCATATACCTACAGCTCCTCGGCCTGCCGGGCAGGCAGTGTTCGACTCATGGTGACGGTGTTTGGGGTGCGCCTCTGGCCACGCGTCAGCCTTGCGCAGCTCTAGACAATGGGCTAGAAGCCGCACTCGACGCTCGACATGAATTGGTTGGGCGCGTTTCGAGGAACTACCTAGGCGGTCTGGGCGAAGGTGGGATGGTGGTTTAGCCGTTCAAGTGGGAACTCGTGGCGGCGACTTGGTGCTGGCGCAGCTACGAAGCTCTAGGAAACAGGCGGTAAAATCCGAGGAGTACGTAGGAGAGGGAAATTGAATCTCGTCGAGATCAATCCCCAGATTCAATCGTCGCCAATAAGGAATTGCGGATGCATGTACTTGTACTGTGCTTTTGAATTCATGGCCTTGATTCACGTGACCCGAGTCCCAGCCCAATGATTATGGTGCATCTTGAATGATCTCAAGTGGGCTCTTTAGCTTAGCTAGAATGCCGCTTCCTTGTTACGATATAATATGCGCGAGTAAACAGTGCCCCGATTTTCAGTAGGTAGGTTCAGCTGCCTTTAAATCAACTTTGCTTCATATTTTCGACGCAAGTTCATCGTCAGGTTATTGAACTCATGCTCTCGCCAAATAGCTGTACGAGGCTGTTTCAATTCCCCTTGTAATTCTATATCCTTATATCCAGTCCGACTCTCTAAATTCATAGTAGCATCAGTATCTCCGCAAGTTCCACCCATATCAGAACGCCAGACCATGTACACCACCATATGTGAGGGGCCAAAATTCCCTCCTTGACCCGGGTATCTTTTATTTACCGCCAACCAGCTTCTTCCACGCGTGTGCTGGGCTTATCGATCGACCAGTTCTGTTACCTGGATCTTTCATTCCATCTCCTGTTGTTGCCCTCACTTGTGTGAATCGTGTACCAGCAAAGTCTCATGGTCCCGTTTGGGATCCCTTGGCACTTCAACCATCTCGCCCTCCTCTTCTGGCACCGAAACCAAGACGTGATCGCTGGTGTAGCTCATGGTCTGCGATACACTTGACCCTCTTGAGCGAGAATGGATAGCGCCGATTGCTGTCAATGAATCTCCTAAGGGCGTGTCGCTGGGAGGACTCGAGGAGTTAGGGTCGAATTTATAGCCGCCCGAAGTCTTGCGAACCATGTATTCGTCAAATTGTGTATCTCTCTCGTGGCTATAGCGCCTCGGTCTTTGTTCCGCTGGTGGGACAAGGGTTGGGTTCGAGAGGGATCTCCCGAGAGATCCAATGCTGAGGCGCTCTGATCCAAGCGACCCCCGTTTGTCCGTCGAGGTTCGCAATCCTGTCCGACTTGAAAACGAAGAGTATGATGTGTCGCCATCCAGTCCATCGTTGAAGCCGTATGGCTTGACGTTGACAGGGTGAGAGTAGTCGTCATACTTGGACAGCCGACGATAAGCCATGATGGCATAAATGGCAAGCGAAATGGCAATGATCCTATCCACCTGTCAGCTTTACAAATTCATGTCTCTGTTGCTGCATAAATTGCCTACAGTAACAAGGCGTCCATGCCAAGGCCAACCAGAGAATAACGTGCATCACTTCGTTGCACATATATGACTACGTCGAGAGCGAGGATGGCAGATGCGCATGCCAATTTGACGACGTGCGTGAACAGCATTGTCCATGGGCTCAGCGACTCAGAAAAGTATCTGGCAATCTCGAAGATGGTGCAAAGCGCGACGACGGATGATAATGCGACATTGGTAGCTTCCCAGCTTCGAATCATCAGTATCATATCGTGTTGGATCCCTAGGGTATATGGACTTACACATATTCGATAACGGGAGCTTTACCAGCCTTATCTCGGGCTTCAAAGTGATGGATAGTGTCGCCAAGTCTCCATGAGAAGAGCCCCAGCATTCCAAATGCCAATGTCAGCTGCAACGACCAGGCTGGGGCAAGAAGGAGTAGTCGCCATTTTGCACGCTGGAACTGCGCTTGCGCTCTGTGGCTGGCCATGGTTTGACGTGCAGCTTATAGCTCCTCTATTTGGACGTTTCGACCTATGGTTGGAGATGCAGGAAAGCAGAAGAAGTGTCGAGGCCAGCTGCTGTCTATTAGTATTAGGGCATGTCCGTCAAGTGATGGTTGCTTTGCTTGAGTATGGTAGGGCTGTTTAGGCTCGCAGGTCAGCAGCTTTGGGTCCTCAAGCCTCTTGCGATAGGCGGGCTACCACCATTTTATTTATTGATCGATTATTTATTTAATCATCTTAAGCCTCATCAAGTCTGCCCTGCGGCCCAGCCCCAGCTTCCACTCATTCGAGCCATAACAAGGCGCAAATCCCCACCCACAACATCAGAGACCGCTTGTTTGAAGACGCTAGACGTGGCTAGCCGAGCCGCCCACGGCGCCTCATCCGTCCACCAGACAAGATGGCGACTGAGCCACCGCCGTCTCACGAACCAGGGAAGGACTTTAGGATTTGTCTACGGACTTGGCAGCCTATTATGTGGACACCTAAACGCGCGGGGGACCGGGGCTTTTTGCGGCTGAGGACAGGAGCTGAGCCTGCTTCTCTCTATTGGAGACACTAGGGATTATCCTGTGCCACGACAAGTCAAATAACGCAGCCCCAAGCTTCAATGGCCCTCGCCAACGAAGCGAAGAGCTGCATGAGCCCGAACCCATTCACATGCAGATGTGCTTGCTGGGTGGGCTCCAGCTGGTACGATTACAGAGTAATATTCCTCACGGACTTTAGGAGGGCATCACGCCATTGGTAACTAGGCGTAAGCGCACCTATTCTGTCTCGTCCGAGTCTCGTCCGTCCTCTGCTCAACGGAGCTCGCTATGGAGCAGAGAAGCGTGGGATTCTATTTTTGCCTGATCGAAGTTGCCGGGCGACCCAAGGGCAGAAGCGATCGTCCGCATTCGGTTTCAACAGTCGAGTGAATGTTCACTGGACCAATTGCATGTATGTCAGCATTTAAGATGCGCGGGTTGCAGAGTCTCAATGGAGCCAAATTGTCCAGATCGAACCCACCACTTGGATCCGGCACCCAGGCTGACATGACACCCTTGCGGGCTATTTTGGGCACCCAAAGTGGAGTCGTTCAGCTCATGCTTGAGTCTTGATTGGCAACAGGAATCCAGAGAGGCGGTGGAAGAGCTCCCAAGTTAGGCGTCTACTTTCTCACACGGACGAGTCCCTGTACGGGGTGCATCGCTACAGGCAAATACTTGTACACGTAGTATTGAGTCTTTGGTATTTACAAAGCAACACCTGATGTGTTTGTGATGCCAATGCCAACTACCAACAGCAATGTCATATGAGAATCCTCCAGGCTATATTCTGTACAGGCATTTGCTATAATCCAAGTGATAGCATGGAAATGAAACTGCTCAGGGGACTGTCAGATGGCCTCCCCCTTTCACGATACTGGTGCGAGGCACTAGTTTGGCATGTACATCCGGGTATCTTCATATCTGTTATTTTTTTTCTATTATATGAGAATATAATCTGTTTACATATACACGCGGTATACCGTGTTTAAATCGCGAGTACTCAATACTCGGTTGCCGGCGGATTAACAGCGTCACACCGAAGTATTGTTGTTCCTGAGATATAGGCATGGACATAGCACACACCTGAGATCCGCTGCGGCCATCCGCTTAATATTCCGCTCAAGTGTGCTCAGCCACAGCACATTGCTCCGGAACTGGTTTCTATTGGAGTCGCTCTAAATTAATTTGTTATTTTTTATTCCCGTGGGATCGACGATAGTAATCACTAAATACTATTCTTAAACTGAGAAAGGTGGATACTGACAACGGTGTTGCGGCTCTGCTTATTGCGACTGATGGGCATGAAGTCTGTAATCGACTTCTACAGAAGTTCTATAACGCGTCTACGAGGTCTCGTCACGGGATTTATGAGATAGCCGCCCGAATATATGAAGAAAAATAACGGCACACCCCTGACGAGGTGCGCCGCTGTATTGAAATATTGTTCACACCCTAAGAATAACTATTCACTCCCCCCAAGTGTACATTCGTTGGCTCTCCTTGCACATTCCCCTTCCTTTTCCTAAACAAAGCGATATACGCATATTACCAATGCACCCTAACTGTATCCCAACCCTTAAATGATTCGTTTGATGTTGTTGCATGATGCCCAAGCCCTTTAGTTGGAGGGAGCGACGTAGACGTCCTGGGCCTTGAAGGGAAGCACGTTGCCATTGGCGTCTGTCATAGCAGGGATGTTGGCAGGGATGTTGTTGCTAACAACATCACGCTTAGCAATGCCTATGTAGGAGTTAGAATTCGGATTCATATACCGAGAACCTATATAAAGGATATATATTTTGTCTGGTAGGGTGTCAAGGCTGACATACCTGCGGGGGCGGCGGCAACGGCAACGGCGGCCAGGGCAAAAACGGTCATGATAGAGAACTGCATTTTGAATGATGGAAATATGCTTTTTATCGAAAAAAGAGAAAAGGATTGAGAAAAAGAAAGAAGCGATTGAAAGTCGACCGGCGACAAGAGTCAAGAAGATAGAACCGAAAGAAAGTAACACGAGGAGTGAGTGAAGGATGCTTGAAAGGAATGAAGAAGGAAAAAAGAGACAATCACGAAAGGAGGGCAGACGGACGTTATTTGTACGAGGTCGCGCTCTTGCTACGAAACATGTCAAACGCACTACGCTCCTTGTCATCGGCAAGACGGAAGCATCTCAAACACGGGCGATGTGAGGCCCGAAACAACAGCCTCCAAAGCGCAGCGACACTTGGACCCCGTCCAATCTAGACTATGGGCAAACACCACTGGCGGCCTTGAACAGCGGCAACGTGGGGAGGCGCCGTTGGAATTACAACGCGGCGAAAGTATGTAGAGCAGGGTATTGAAGCATGAATTTGCGGTCGAATTTGTTTCGATCAGAGCCTTGACGGAGAAAGGGGGCAGCGGACCTGAAACGCAGGCGTGCTTCAGGATCCCTCATCCGGGGGCCGGCCAGGGCCAAAATAAGAAAAGAGGGCGATTTGCGCCAGCGCGTAGTGAGAATTCCGGTTACAAAAATGATAAATTAGGAAAGAATAAGGAAACAGGATGAGGGTTGATGGGGTTGCAGTGAGTATGAGGCGACGAATCTGGAAAATGAAGCTGGGAGATATTTGCTATAAGTCGCAGCGTGCGCGGAACTGCAGATTGACTGTGTTTACATGGTAACGGTACTGCAAACACGGCGACTAATTCTGGAGTGGGAAGTCTCTGTTATAAAAAAAAATTCAAAGAATATGAAAGGATGAAGGGAAAGAAATTAGAAGCCAATAAAAGAATATACGTAATAAAGTTTCTCTACCAGCAATCACGAGCATTAGAGGAGCCTTGCCAACAGCCACATACCCCCCGTCTGGATTGTTTGTTGCTGACAACTGTGGGGAGACAGATGAACCACTGCATGGGCCATATCAAACATACTTAGAATACCATGGTAGATTGACAGAAGCACTTCTTAAAAAAATCATGCCTCTCGTACTGCCGGTGCCAAGATTACAAACAGGACGAAAATCATCTCCTGGCCACGGGCGATTGAAACGCAAGTCGAAACAGAAACAGAAACCAACGGAGCGTCACTCCCCGCAGGTGGTTTAGTGCGGCACTTGATGTCAAAGACTGCATGCGCCACACCAATCCGCGCGCTGCGCCTCATCCTCCTCCGTGGCTAGTGCTCGGAATATCTCGTCATGCAAGGCACTCGGACTCTACCAGGAATCCTTTGACTCCTCTTCCGCAACCAACCTTGGATTCCTGTTCAGCCACCTCAGCCAGGCATCGCGGGGTATTTCAGTCAGTCCAGGTGGGGGTGCTTGCTCGGGAAGAGCGCCAGCACCGCCAGCCGGTTTCCGAAGTCCTGAATCACGAACTCATTCCCCCGTTTGCATGTGCTTCTACTTCCCCGCCTTGTCTTGCGGGTGGGCTTTTGCTTCTCCCTTTGCTTTTGCCTCTGGTTTTGTGGTTCCGATCCTCTCTTTAGTCAACCAAGTGGCCCCTACTGATTCTCGCCGCCTCCTCTGGCCTCTCGTGACATTCTTCTTCCGTGCCTCTTCCGTGTCCGTGTCTCCGCTGCAGCCCAGTATGGCAACCGTCGAGCATTGTGTTGTATGTTTCGAGGCTCTTGACGCCGACCTCAACAACCGCAAGCCCCTCTCCCTTGAACAGATCCAGTCTTCGTGGGCCGCATACAAGGCCAGCTCCGCTTCCGTGACCGGCCCCTCAGAGGCTCCCTTGAACCCGGCCCTCCGGCGCCTTGCTGCCGACGGCGTCTTGTCCTCGTCGTCCTCGTCGTCTTCTACGTCGCTCTCGGCAGCAGGAGCTGCCACTCCCGCAACATCCACATCCTCCCTGCCCGACACCCCGCCAACAGCGGCTCCTCTGTTTGTCACCTGGAACACAGTCGACCCAGATGACGACGACGTCTCCCTCCGCGGCTGCATCGGCACCTTTGAGTCCCAGCCACTGTCCGAGGGCATTCATGAATACGCCCTAATCTCCGCCCTGCAAGACACACGCTTCAACCCGATTTCCAAGCGCGAGCTTCCCACACTCCAAGCCGCTGTGACGCTGCTCACAGACTTTGAAGAGGCGGACGACACGCACGATTGGGAAATTGGCACTCACGGCATCCGAATCTCTTTTTTGGATCGCGGCCGCCGCTACGGTGCGACATATTTGCCCGATGTAGCGCTAGAGCAAGGATGGACCAAGGACGAGACACTGTTTAGCTTGATCCGCAAAGCAGGCTGGATGGGCAGCCGTTCCAAGTGGCAGGACTTGGACGTCAAAGTGACTCGATACCAGGGCAAGAAGGTCAGCCTCAACTATCCAGAGTTCAAGAAGTGGAGGGACTGGGTCCAAAGCAAGCAGTAATGAAGGTCCCATCTATTGTGATGTAGCTCGGCCGGGCGTTCTAATAGACAGAGAGGACACACAGGATTTCATTGGGTACTGGTATTATGTGGGATTATTTGGGATGTTAATGGATGATATACAACGAATCTTGCGGCGCTTATAGACGTGTGTCGTGCAAGGAAGAGTGGAGGAGAAAATTTTCCCAGCTCAGATTTTTCTTTACTTTGCTTTTTTGATACACTTTTCTTAATAAAATAAGAATCTTTTGATATACCTGATAGCCGGGCCCAGAACTAAACTAGCTGAATCGTTTACATCGGGAACCGAAAAGAATGAAGACTGATGATTATATTTCAGAGATGCAAGTTCACAAGGCTCTTAAGAACACCTTGATATTTGCTTCGAGTAATTAAGCCCATAAAGAGGCAATATGCTGCATACACGTGAAACTTTTTATACATGACGCTTTCAATAGTAAAAATACAGACTCTTGTCCACCAAATCTCCACTCGCGATGCTTTTTATTCCATATCATATTTCTCCCTGACGCCCGCCATACATATCCATGGTATCTGTGAACAACGACAAAGAAAAACAAAGGAGAATATGCCCAGTTGTGTAAGCAAATAGCAGGAATTCAGACACTGAAAAAGGAAAACTATTAAAACGGAAAACGAAAGACATTGGCTCTTTTCTTCTCTTACTCCCCCTTCCCCTTCTCGTTTGGCATCCGACCTCATCATCGTCATCATATAGCCTACCAACAACGCAGCTTCTTCCAGAAACCACCTTGTCCGCGGCCGACTTTGTCTCCACTGAGAATAGGGCCACGAACTCCTGGCCCGCGCTTCTCGTCCTCCTCGGTGCCAGCGGGCAGGGGAGTTAGCGGCTTCGTCATGCCCCGCGCGCTCATCTCGGTGTTGTCCAGGACGCCCTCCTCTGCGAGGCGACGGCGTTCGACTACACGTTTGACGATAAGGGCAAACGTCTCCTCAATATTAACCTCAAGGCGAGCGCTCGTCTCCATGAATCCGGAGCCGTGCTTGCGCGCCCACTCGAGACCTGTGGCAGCTGGAACAGTCCTGCTGTCCTGCAGGTCGCACTTATTGCCGGCGACAATCTTGACCGGTGGGACGGTGCGGGAGCCGGCGCCGGAGCCAGTGTAGGCTGGGCTGATGCCGGCAGCGCGGGCTCGCTCGGCATTGTCGAGGCGGACCTCAGCCTCCATGTCGATGAGCTCGTCAAAGTGCTGCAGGGCATCGAGCGAGTCGCGCGATGTGATGTCGTAGACCATAAGGAAGGCATCGGCGCCAAGATTGGAAGACGCCCACATGCCGCGGTACTCTTCCTGGCCGGCGGTGTCTGTGAGACAAAGGTGGTAGGTGACACCATCGATGACGCGAGTAACACTGTAGTTGTCCTCGATTGTAGGGTCGTAGTCGGAGGTCCAGGCTGAGCGTACAAGCCGCAGGGTGATTGAGGACTTGCCACAGCCTCCATCGCCGCAGATGGTGATGGAGATGGGCACGGGGGTTTGTGTCTGTGCTGCCATGGCGAAGGATGTTGTGCGCTTGCTTTGCGCCGAAGAGGGGGAGGAAGGAGAGAAGTTTGCTTTGCTGATTTCCGGTATAGGTAGACCACCTATTGACAACTAAGCCGAGTCTCAGTTTTGAAATATCGCGATGCGATCTGATCTATGCAAGCGCAAAGAGAAGAGACCGAGGGCAATGTGCTTTCAGAGGACAGGGTGTCGTTGGCGTGGGCAGACGAAATGTGATATTGGCTCGAGATGCAAAACCCGGAACATGCAAAGCAGCGTCACAATTGTCCGCTTACTCAACTCAGAACTCGCTCGCTCGCTGCAGTAAGAAAAACGGGAAGCAGGTAACAAGAGAAGCAAGAAATTTTGCTGAGAAAAAAAAAAGATAGTTTGCGCCAACACGAGAAGATGGGTGTACTCGTACATACGCGAGACCGCGTTCTGGATCGAGCAACAAATTGGACGAACCAACCACCCAGCTGGCAGCTATCGCGGGCTAGACACCCTCGCAACCCACTTCGCCGGCAGATAATTGATGAGAGGAGAAAATCAAAAGCGGCCGACAGGGCCTGCACCGCACCTAGCTTAGTGGTAAGCAGGGCAATTTGTCAAAGGCGGAAGAGGGCAGGGATTTCGCGAGAGCTATGGGCGTTGCCGGGTGTTGGCGCCTGTGGAGGCGAAATTTTGCACGGCCGAGAGAGGACAAGGTCCGCCCAGGGGCCCGGGGGAAGCGATGCCAGGGATCAGGGGATGCTCGTGGCAGCTTTGGATATTGGACGATTGCTAGGGCACAATGCGAGCTGAAGATTTACTGGTACGGCTATAGAGCATGCATCATGCAGACAGACATCAAGGGGGGGGAGGGCAAAAAGACATCGAGATGGTGATGATATGGAGTGGTGAGGTTTTAAGGTTTTGGGTTTGGGGTCTTGATGGTGCTCACAAGGCCACGCTACTGCGAGTACTTGGGACATACAGGTATAGAGCAAGCCATGGCAGAGAGGGGGAAAAGAGAGAAAAAGGATCAAATGCAACCTGAGCGCCCGCGGCCAGCGGAGAGGGATGCAGACCAGGGGTTCTGATGATGGCATCTCCCAGTGCGGCTTTCTGGCTTTCTGCATCCCCGGGCAATTTCGCTCGTCGCCGATAGGACAGGGTCCGGAGCTGCTAGGCGAGAGACACTCGGGGCACGTCCCCGCCATTGTCCAGTGAACCTTAACGGGGCCTGTAGGGAGGGATTGGCTGATGAAATGCTCCGTGTGTGGATATGGATATGGGCATATGATGCTGGCGTTTGGCGTGGTGGTGGTGAGTTGCGATGGGGGAACTCAGGGCGTCATTTCCAACCATGCAGGCTGGGAGAAGAGAGGGGGGAGACGGATCCTTTGCGATAATTCAGGTAGGTGGCATTGTTGTTGCCATTGTCGCCTTGTATTACCTGGTTTCATCTTTCACAGGCTGACCCTTACAGTATTCCAGTCGGCGACATCTGGTGGCTGTGCGGCGCTCGGCGGTTGTGGTTGTGATACCGAACCTCCCTGCTGCATACAAACAGCCCTCGACCTCGACTTTTTGGCCAAACGGAGCACGGGCACGGGCTCCAGCACTAGCACACGCTTGAACGTGCCCGCCCGTGTGGAGCTTCAGGGGGGCTGCAAGTCATGAGTCTTCTGCATCATCAAGCAGATGCCGCAGTCAAAGCACATCGCCCTCGGCCCTATCAGAATCTCATCAAGATGATGCAACGCTGATATTTGCCACCACTAACCTATTCCACGCCTAGGTAGGTTGCATTCATGAGGAAGGGGAGGAGAAGATGGATGACATGGATGTTATATCTAAATAATGGAGAGGACAAGACTCCAACGAAACAATATGCTGGATCGCGGAGGCATAATCAAAGCAGATGAGCCCCCTTGAGAAACGACCGTTTACGGATCATAGCTGGTTGACATGCATGCTTCCGTAGAGAAAGAGTTATCTTTGCGTCTCATAACATTCCTAATCAAATTTTGGCAATAAACTCAAGAGAAAAAATGCCTGGATATTACCACAACTCCAAATTTTCCTACCCTACATTATTCAGGTAAGGGACTAAGCACTTTTAATTACTCTAATCCGAGAGCGCAGCGAATACACAGACCGATAATATTTATACTAGATGCTTGATAGTTATTTCGATGCAACCCTTCTGCCAAAGAAACGTAGAGGAAATTTGAAATCTTGAAACTACTGTCTATGCATGAGAGCAATAGCTTGCTCACTTTTGCCAATACCATCTTTCCACGCGGGATATCGGGAGTCGTACCAAGTTGTAATACCTCCTTGTCCAAATTCTGAGATGCACTTTGCAAGCTCCATGCCATCTACAATAGCATTGTTTGCACCTTCACCACCTAGAATAGGCTCTGCATGAACTGAATCACCTATAAAGAAGACGCCCTTGTTTGCAAGCGTACAAAGTTCCAAGACTGTCCGCATAAGCCAATGCAAAGCCCGTTCCAGCCTTAGCTTCTCTGCATCGAACACGTCCTTGAAAGGCTGGTCTAGTCCATGGAGTGTTTCTATCTCATCGAAAAAATCTTTTGGAATATCCGCTGCCTCTGAAACTGACCTGTTGGGCCGATGAAGCGGATCGTTGAAACGTCTGGCTGGGCGCGAAAATATCCAACTAATGCTCACTGCGTCTGTCTGCTGCTCATCGATGGAAATATTTAGGAACATATCGCCTTGTTTCTTCTCTATAACGTTGGAGCCTTTAAAAGCTGGAGCATAAAGACTGTCGTAGAGATCACGTTCCACCCGTCGCTTGCCATTGAAGGCAACAAAGGGAAGAACGTTGAATGACGTATCAGGGGAGAGAGACTTTCGAGTATTGGAGTGAGGTCCATCAGCTCCAATAATACATGTGCTCTCCAATTTCTGCCCATTTTGCATGTGAAGAATCATCCCCGAAGGTGCCTCTTCCACTTTTTCGAGGGAGTTTCCCCATTGGATATCAAGCCCTTCGCAGAGCAATTTTTCAAATTTCCCGCGATGAGCACGAAACGATGTTGAGTTCACTCTCCTAGGAGTAGCGAAGGATCCTGGTTCGATGTTACCGCTTCCGCCTAAAAATCCATCTACCGCTATGCGGCGTCTGAAGGTAAACTCGTCCATGCCTAGGATGTCCAGAAGAGGCAGATATGACGAAGCATAGAGCGTGATTCCGTAATCGTGACGGGGACTTGAGGGCTTTCTCTCGTAGAGAACCGCAGGGATTCCATATTTGAGCAGACAACGGCCGAGAGTCAGTCCCCCGATTCCCGCTCCTATGATACGGACTGGTGTCTGTGGCATTCTCATGACGTGTCACTGCGAAGCATTTGAGTTGTTCTCGCGACTTGAATAGAGAGCGGGGGACGGAATTTAACAGCATGATTTGGCTGTCGGACATCTGGACCGTGCTTGCTCGCGTGCACTGATGTTTCGATTCACAGAGAGAGGCAAGGCTCTTGGGATCGGCTACAACAGGTATGCACACAAATTTTTGCATTATTAGTGCAAATATACGTCTGATCAGCAGACAGAGAGAGAAAACAAGGGGGAACACATCAACACGCTAATCAGTTTCAATAAACACTATGTAAGTGACTCGATACAATGACGATCTAAATCGGTGTTGCTTGTGAACCGTCATTTAACTACGGGGAATAAAACGTGGGGATACACGAGCAGACATGCCCCACAGTCCACCGCATGTAATGTCGTGTATCAGCGTCTGCTGGGATGATGGTAATGATTTATTAAAAGAGCGGCGGCAGTGTTGATTCGGCTTGGCTGTTTTATTTCGCCTCGTAGAATTGGTATAGTGCTTTCATACTGATGTGGGATTGTTGACTCCATTAGGTGTCTTGGTATCGGTTTATTGGAGCGGAATCCGCAAGCATTCATCAATTACTGTAGGTAAAATGAGGCTTTGGTATAGTCATGGCGCACAGCTTTGTAGCCATTGATCGTCATACATGCAATTGCGTCATGGCTGGTTGCAATGCCAGTTCATTTACGAATCATCATGCAGTAGAAGTATCCCAATTTATTTCCTCGACTAGCGTGATGCAGCCTGACATTCGATACAGGTGAGCCTCTATGCTTACGATGTAGATGCCTTTCTCTTTTGAGAACTGGACTGCGATATCACTGGTCGCCTTATTTCTTCTGTTATCTCACTGATATTGCGAGAGGCTAGAGCTGAGATGCTTGTCATCCCCCAGAAAGGCAACCTCATCGCTACTTATGCGGCTTATTACCCAGTACATGATTCAGTGTCTTACTCGCGTTTATATCGATGATGGCCAAGCACTGAAGCCTCGTACTAAGGCACTTTTACAGTCTTCAGGCAGGGCTGTTATCATCGCAAGTCATTTCACCGGCGCCCAATGCGATCCACTGGCACGGCAATTGGAATTCGGAACATCGCTTCAAGAGTGTCCCTGTACTTTGGTAGTGTGGGTTAGCTGGTGTTAGCGGCGTCTTTAACCGCCAATTACCAAGGGTATCAACACATCCGCGCAGCCCCAAAGTGAGAAAAAATTCCCGACAGGCCGAACGACAAGCCGAAGAAAAACGACAGACGGCCGCTCAATGGCGCAATTGGCATAGCGATTCTGCCGAGAGGCTAAAACCCTTCGGACGCCCATTTCTACTTGGTTTTGAAGGCGTGCTTTGGCTGTCGATGCGGTAAAGATTCGGTTGACTATTTTTTTCTCTCAATTTTCACCCTAGTGCTGATATAAGGATCTGTCTGCGTGGGATATCAATCTGTGATCCTTCTCTTCGTAGAGACATTTGGCCGACATTCGGAGCCTTGTATCCCTCGTAAGCCCTGTGAACTGTGACAGACAGGGTTTCCATTTTTCCCTGACTAGATTCTGTCATCTTCGTTGCTTCTCTTCGAGTGAGGCTGAGCGATTTAATCCAAGTAAATAAAGAGGGTGGCTCTTTTTGTTATCTTAGTGTCTACGCTCTTGAACTTTTTCTCAACATCATTTTCCCTCTCTGGCTCCGTAAAACCACCCACCATGACCGCCACTAGCAACGGTTTCATTAGCAATGGCGGACCTCAACTCCAGCTTAACAGGGCTGTGGAGACGGCCGATGTGCGTACATGTTTTGGGTCATTTGAACCTTTCGTTTACTAAGTCTTTCTTATAGCTCTTAGAGTCCGTTCAGCAGCTCATTATTCCCTTCATCAAGGCCGCCGATGATGCCGCGGCTCACAAGGCTACGGGGAATCTGGGGTTGAATGCGAATGGAGAACCTCACAATGTCTTGATTGACTCAAAAAAGCCTTCAGACCTCGTTGCTAGGTTGAAGTTCCTTCTCCCAGAAGAGGGACTAGGCAAAGATGGCCTCCTGCAGGGAATTGAGAGGCTGCTCAAATACAGCGTTAACACATGGGATCAAGGCTTCATGGATAAGCTGTACGCAAGTAATACACCAGTATGTGCTAACCTTGTCAGAATGGCTTATGAATTCGAAGTTGACAGGAGACTGTGCTAGGTGGGAGTTGTAGCTGATCTCTTACTCTCTGTTTTGAACACCAATGTAGGAGACTCCTTCCAAGTTGTGGTTTAAATATCCTAACATTTCTCAAGCTACATGTTTACCACGTCTCTCCGGCGTTGACTATCATTGAAAAGACGACTACTAAGGCATTTGCTAACCTGCTCGGATTTGGCGGACACTACGCTGGCGGTGTATCATGTCCCGGAGGCAGTGGATCCAATCTCACATCTCTAATCGTAGCTCGCAATACGCTATACCCTGAAAGCAAGACGGAAGGAAACGGCAAGCATGATTTCGTCGTCTTCACAAGTGCACATGGCCACTATTCCGTGGAAAAGGCCGCAATGACAACCGGCATGGGCTCATCCGCCGTGTGGGCGGTTCCTGTGGACGACGAGGGCAGGATGAAGTCAGAAGCTCTCCGGGAATTGGTTTTGCTTGCCAAACAACAGGGGAAGACGCCGTTCTATGTTAACGCGACGGCCGGCACTACGGTCAAGGGCTCCTTTGACCCATTTGAAGAGATCTCCAAGATTTGCAAAGAGTTTGGCCTGTGGATGCACATCGACGCAAGCTGGGGCGGCAGCGTCATCTTTTCAAAGGCGCAGAGCTGGAAGATGAAAGGTTCGCATCTGGCCGACTCGCTGACTGTTAACCCGCACAAGATGCTCAATGCACCGGTCACCTGTTCCTTGCTCCTGGGCCCGGATATGCGTATCTTTCAACAGGCAAACAGCACATCGGCAGGATATCTCTTCCACGGAAGCGACGATGGCGAAATCTGGGATTTGGCTGACTTGACGCTGCAATGCGGCCGGCGAGGAGACACGCTCAAGGTTGCTTTGGCCTGGCTATATTATGGCGCCAACGGATTCGAGCGGCAAATCGACCACGCTTTCGATATGGCTAGCTATCTATTCAGGCTTCTGCAAGAAACCGGTAATTTTGTCATGGTTTCATCGTATCCTACACCCTGTCTCCAGGTCTGCTTCTACTCGGCTCCTGGGGGCCAGCTGCCTTCTGATAGCAAGGTGAACACCTCCAGAACGCAGCAGATTGCTCATGCGCTTGTTGGGAGAGGGTTCATGGTTGATTACGCTCCAGGTGACCACGGTAGCTTCTTGCGTGTCGTGGTCAATGTGCAGACCCTGGAGGGAACCGTTGAAGGCCTTGTCAAGGCCATGAACGAGGTAGGGCAAGGAATTACCCTGTGAAGCAAGGGCCATATCATCCATCAGACATAGATGGCATCCATTAGATAGATTCTCAGATTGTGTGGCCCGATCCATTTTTACATGTACACTGTACACTCACAAGGATGATTTATTGTAAGAAACCATAGATGTTTTTTTTTGACATAAGTTTACACAGGCATTTTTATCAAGATAATCTTCAACGCGAACAATGGCAATCATTCTCATTCAAAAGTTGTAGCATTTTTGACAAAGTCATTAAGAATATATAACCTACTGAGTTTTCTATTTTTATTATTAAAAATTTTTTTTTTTAAAAAAAAGTATTCTCCCCAAACGTTTATTACTGCAAGCTGCTCGTACCTATGGTTGACATATTCTCGAAATTCATGCACCGATTTCCCCACTTTGACGCCTCTCAAATCCCTGCCAATTGCGCTAGCCATGATAAGATCTTATCGGTGATAATCTTCGTCCAAGAGAAAAAAAAGTTCCAAAGCTCATCGCAGCTCTCTAAACCAAGCAAACTGTCCCCTGTATTGCCACCGACACAATGCCGAAACCACGAACAAAACGAGGAGGGGATCGCGACGAGCGCAAGAGGAAGCGATACGACGACACCGAAGCGAATTTCGATGCCGACACCAAGCGCCAGCGTCGAGATGACGAGGGCAACGGCAACGACTACGGATATGGTGACGAAGAATTCTCACAACACCAAGGCGGTGCCGGCGAAAGGGAATTCTTCGGCATGCTGGCTGATGACGAGCAAGAGTACTTCCGACGAGCTGATGAGATGCTGGAACTGAACCAATTCCCGACCCCCGAAGAGCGAGACATCTTTCTGCAGAGCGTCTACCGTGAAGCGAAAGGCAAGGAGCTCAAGGTCGCCAGTAGCCAGTCTTGCTCTCGGCTGATGGAGCGACTGATACAACTCGCCTCCACAGCCCAGAAAAAGCAATTGTTCGAAGCCTTTGGTGGCCACTTTTTGTCTTTGGTGCAGCACCGCTTTGCTAGCCACTGCTGCGAGGCGCTCTTCCTCCGATCTGCCGGTGTTGTCACGCAAGAGCTTGCTGGTTTTACCGGCTTTGTGATGGATACCAAGGGTGCAGATGTCGATGCGCAGCAACCTGAAGCTTCCATGGAGCATCTATTCTTGGCAACACTGGATGAGCTTGAGGGTAGCCTGGGTTATCTCATCACCGACCGATTCGCTTCACATACACTACGAGTCTTGCTACTAGTTTTATCCGGAATGCCTCTCGAAGAACAGTCATCGCGTACGCTACTAAAGAGCAAGAGGAAGGAGAAGATTACAGTCGTTGGATCTACAGCAGCAGATGCGCAGAACCACGGCAAGCGAGCAGTGCCGGCATCTTTTACTATGGCAGCCAACAAGATCATGCGAGACTCAGTAGCAGGGATGGATGCTACTGGAATCCAGGTCCTGGCCAAACACCCCATTGGCAACCCGATTTTGCAGCTCATCCTGGAACTTGATTTAACGCTCAACAAGGGCGAGCCCAAGGGTGACGGGAAAGCCGAAGATGCTTCCCCTTCCCTTCTACAGCTGCTTCTTCCCGACGCTCCCCGATCACTGTCTGATGGCTCTTCTGCGGCTTCCGAGTTCGTCAACGGCATGATATACGACCAAATTGGCTCGCGACTTATCGAAACGCTCGTCGCGCATGCGCCAGGAAAGATTTTCAAGGCCCTTAACCAGAATATATTCCTACCCAGAATACAAGGCTATGTCCGTAACGACATCTCATGCTACCCTGCTATCAAGGTGCTTCAACGGCTGGGCAAAGATGACCTCGCAAAGGCTGTCGATCAAATTGCGCCGACTATTCCTCAGTTAGTCTCAAAAGCAAGATATAATGTCTTGTCGACTCTTTTCGAACGATGCGCGGCTAGAAACATCAATGACGAAATTAAGAAGTTGATGAAGGGTTTGAAAGAGGGATGCGGCAGCCAACCCGCTGATCTAGTTATGACCTTGTGTTCATTTTCAGCCAGCGAAGAGGAAGAGAAGAAAAAGAAGAAGGACGTACAGCAATTAACCAAGAACGAATATGCCGTCCAATCCCACGGCGCCAATCTACTTACCACTTTGCTCTCAATATCCGGCCCATCAAAGGGTGTTCAAGAATCAATAAATGCTTTGCCGTCCGACATTGTCCTTCGCCTAGCCAATACGTCTCTACCAACCGTCACCGTCCTCACTACCGCCATCAACACGCCGTCCACCAACTCTATTTTCCAAAAGAGTCTCATTAACACACTGATGCCACACATACCCGACCTGGCAACATCTCAGTATGGCCACAACCTTATCAATGCCATCGCCGAAATCCCTAGCAAGGGTAAGGATTGGAGCATCCCTCAGCATATGAAGGATAGGATCATGACTGCCCTCGGGGCGCACGAATCCCAGCTGAGGGAGTCATGGATGGGCAGGAGCGTCTGGCGGACGTGGAAGGGAGATATGTGGAAAACACGGCGGTTTGACTGGAAGAACTGGATGAAGGAGTTGGATGAGATCAAGGCCCCAGCTGCGGCTGCGCCTAAGAATAAGGGGGAGGCAAAGGCGAATGGCGAAAAGAAGGCTGTCAAGGACGACAAGGATGTTGAGCAGATTCATGAAAACGCCAAGGACGACGAGGATGTTGAGCAGATTCATGTAAAGGCAGACGAAAATGAGGAGGCAATCGGCGGAGATGGCGACGAAAAAGAAGAGAAGAAGGAGAAGAAGGAGAAGAAAGAAAAGAAAGACAAGAAAGACAAGAAGGAAAAGAAAGAGAAAAAGGAGAAGAAAGAGAAAAAAGTGAAAGAAGATGGTGAGGAACAGGAAAAGAAGAAAAAGAAGAAGAAGTCAAAGAACGAGGATGTCGAGATGGCTGATGCCGAAGAGTGAATCGACACACCGTCTTTGTAGACCGAAGCTGTCAGCATCTGTTTGTTTTATAGATTCCTCTCTTAGCAGGAGCTCAGTATATATCGCGTACCTAGTAGACAAACTTTCATTGTGGTTTTGGGTGGTAATGAAGGGTGCCGCCTATCTGGATAGTTTATTTGTAGCCCAATAGATACTGAGTATTTATAATTCTTTTTTAAGAAAATAGATATCGAACGGCTAGCACATTCAGATACTTCTCAGAGATGATGCTCCCTCCTTCACTTCGCTCCGTTGAGGTTTCCTCGAAGCAAACCGACAGATACCCGTTCCGTCCCGTTGTAATTAAACGAGCATTGTCACTTTCTTCTCAGTTATCTTTTGGTTGGCCGGTTAATGGCCTTTGCAAACTGATCAATAAGTGATTCTTCTATCTGCAACAAGGAACCGCGCATATTCTCCTGACGCAACTTTCGGGAGCTTGGCATCATGTCATTAACTCTGTAGCGTTTTACTTCATCAAACGCATTTGGTTCACTACTTCATCCGTTATTCCGTAACAGTACCATTCTATCCATAACATAAATATAGTGAGGCGCGTCCCATACCAATCTCGTCCCCGAAATCGCAGCTTGCTTCCGGTTTTTGTTTCTCCTTGTGCATGACTAATCTTTCTCAGGCATTTCTTTCAGTATCTTTAGCGAACAACAAGAAGGATGCCTCGAAAGGGATACGATGTAACTGGGTGCGCTCCAGGTACTCCCGCTGCCGAAGCTGCGGCTCGGGCCAGGCAGAGGGCTGCCCCTGGAAACCGCACTCCTCGTGCCGGAACTCCTATCAATCCGACCCGCCACGATGGAGATGATCAAGAGACCCCTCGAGCTTCTCGTACTGGTACTGGTGTCTTCACGGGAGCTGCACCTGGTGGCCCTCCCACCTACTCCCAGACGAACGTAATGCAGGATGATCGAGGATTTCAGACTCAGCGTCTCCTGCCAGGACAGGAGCTGTTCCAGAACCCTTTGAACGTCAGTTCAATTCAGGCAGCTAATAACTTCATGGCGAGGCCCATTAGTGGTACGCATGGTCATCCTGTTCCTTTCCAAGCGCAGTCGTCGTCGATATTCCCCGGAGTTGCCTCGTCAGCTTCTACAGGCCAAAGCGTTGGGTTTGTAAACGCTCCAGCACAGTTCAATACGGCCACCTTTGGGACTGCCGAATTCGGAGCACAGCAACAGCGGCAATATTGGAATAACAACCAGTTCTATGCTTTGCCCGCCAGCCAGCATGGAATCCAGAGTTTTCCCATGTCCCATCCTGGTCCAGAGTCGTTTGTCCGCTACCCAGCGGCTGGAGAGACCGCGCAATATCCGGCACCAACCACCAACACTGGGACTTCAGCAGCCCAGAGTCACGATGAAGACACCGAGATGACGGGCACCAATCGCTGAGAGAAAACGAGATAGAGGTTCACAATGTTCGATGATACAACTTTGCTGCAAAGGAGTACGTATGTTATCGTTTCCGTACGGCTGGGGGCATGAGATGCTGATGCTTTATTAGTCATGAGTCAAGCCTGTTATTTCAAGGTATCATACCGAGTTTAAATGTTCTAGAAGAGAGAGAGAGCAGATAGAGGCCGTTTGTCAAACACTGGTAGCTTGCTTGACATTGTCAGTGATGCCGTCCCTGTCTGGCTGTTTGCTTTGTTAGAGTCTAACCTGGAATAGATATACTGGAGAGGCCACAGAGAGACCATTCCAAGGGTTATGAAGAGGTTTCATGAATTTGCTTTTAGAAACTATTAGAGAGACGGTCAAAGAGGGTACGCGATATGCGCAGGAGAGAGTCACTAATTGAAAAAGTAAAAGTTGAGTTCATCGATTTCTTGCTTGGCGAACGTGCATGCCTGTATATGTACCTGAGGCATCACTTTTTCCCTTAGGTGTTGTTGTATCAGCACCAGGATGAAGCAAGCAGCACCGGAATCTACGAGAAACTTTACCTACCTAGTACCTACCTAGTATAGAATAGAGAGAAACTGAAAGTGCTTTCTACCATAGGTGCTATCACTTAAAATACCTACCTCTACGTAAGGCAGTCGTATTTCCAATAGTATATGAACCAACTTTTGAAGCATCAATAAAGGCTTATCAAGAAGATAACAGAGGGGTATGTTATTGGTACTCTTGAATTCGAGATAATATATACGTAAGGCGCATTTGCTAGTTTGCGACGTCTAAATGCGCAGAGAAACCGTTTGTTCTAGATGATTTCACCAAATGCTAGGAAGAAGAAATATAGAGAAGCACCAAGTGGAATATAATCACCTATTATCGAGAAATCTAGCAAGGGGTATCATAGGTAGTGCGCCAATCTATTAACCAAATCCATATCCAAAATCATGTCTCCAACTATTAGCAAATTTAAATATTGCGATACTATTTGAACACCGCCGTTGTCAAACGAAACCCAACAAACACTCCATGGAAAGAATACAGGATTTGAGCCAGGCCTGTCTCCCAGTGGCTCGAAGTGAAAACATCATCAACCCGAACCGTTATCACGTAACAGAAGAGTGCCGTGTGATAGCCGGATGTGGATTCCATGGCAGATTGCCTAAGTGCTGGAGGTAATTCTAGAGCGTGGTCTTGTCGCTGGCATCAGGCTGACCGAGGGAAAGGCCCTCCGTATCATTCCCGCCCCTAGTTTCGATTTCACCGACTCTTTTTCCGTTTATACCTTGAACTTTTCTTCTAATCTTCTTTATCGTCTTCTTGACTCGGAGGTGATCATGACCTGTCATCCTTTCTCTCACGATTGGTTGAGGCGTCCTAAAGAGCCTACATGAGTCCAAATTGATTTCTGAGGCATCCAAAGGAGACTCACATGGATTTTTCTTTCCCATCATTTCCATTACCGTCAGAATTACCATTGGCGTGTCCACTACCTTTGTCGCGGTTCACTAAGTGGGCTGGTAATTGGACATCCCTCCAAGAAGGCGCTGTGTCAATGTCCATCTCTTGTCCGCTTGGGGTAGTCAGCATAATCGTTGGGATTGACGAGACTTCCGAGTGAGACAGGTCATGTTCGGAATCTAATAGCTGTAGTAGCTTGGTCGAGAGCTCAACGAGTTCTGATAATTCGGCATCCGATATGGATGGCATTCTGAAGTCGAGGTGGAGGGCTGTTAGTGTATAAACGATTATAAGCGGTCTCCCGCGAAGAAGCTTTTGGTCTGTCTCCAGGAAGTTGGAGCAGATTGGGAAATATGCTATAGATTGTGAGAAATTTCAAAGAGCAATTCAACATTGGATGGGTTATTTAATTTTTGGTGCCATGCCGCGTAGCTCATACGTTTTCTTTAGATTCTCCCAAACCTTCACATATGAGCCGACCAGCTGAAATATACTTCCAAAGGGACCTGTGGGTGCTTCATTTTTCACAAAGCGCAGCTTTATTAAGGCCAAGTTACCCCAAGGACGTCGCGCCTGGCCAGGAACACGCAGCTTGATAGCTTAAAGTTACTGATGAAAAACTAGAGCAAGCCCCTTTCGAGGCGTACCGCAATCGATGGCACATGCTTCGAGGATCAATTCTCAAGAAAACCATATTTCTTTGGGTTTTCTTCTTCTTCTAATCTCTTGACCTAGTTCTACCAAACCCTGTTGGCCGTTTACCCCCGTTCTGCAACGCGGGAATATTTGGTAAATGAAACGGCTTCTTCTGGGGAATGTCGATTTCCATATTCACTGCCCGCCACATCTCCCACACAGTCGCTCTCCTCGCTGGCAACATGCTGTACTGTAAACTATACAGATTTTTTCTGTTAATCGGAGGGACAAACTGTCCAGTCACCAAACAAAGCAACACTCGCGGTGATAGGTAGTGCTTGCGTATGCGGTGAGCCATTTGAAAATATTGGTGGAACATGTCGTGGAAGGGAAGGGGAATGTTCTGTATAGATCAGTCAGGGTCACATTTTCCTACCAGTCTTGAGGTAGAAGGGTTCATACCTTGAGATAGATAATGGAAGTAGGGGGCTCATTAAAAAGTTTATCATTAGTGTCGGGAATTTTAGATTCATGGGTATCTCGAAGTTCAAAATGAATGCCACCTAGTCCGAGTTAATCTCTGTGGCTGTCTTTCATGTCGCTCTGTGTCATTTTGTACTCACCAGGTAATCTACTTGGGTCCTTCAACCTCAACATTAAGGCAAAAAGTGGGAAATGATTCAAACATGATAGCAACGTATCAAAGCCTGCCTTGAGTGATATGATAATCATCCTAGCAATGGCAAAATTGAGATAGAAAACCATCACGGTGGGCAGAAGAAAGAACAAAAGGGTGAATAGAATTGTCCCAACAAGCAGCTGGTCGAGGTCATAATCGCACGAATCGATACGATTGCGGAGGACGTTGTGTTTTTTCCCTCGAAACAGATGGAAGAGAGACCGCAAAATGGTGAGCTGCCAGTGGTATATCCTTGCAGACGCGAGATAGAACGAGTAGATGTGCATGGTGAGGACCGATAATAAGTCTGAAAACATTGCGATAGGCATGCTTGCGCCTGCAAAAGACGAAAACCCAATGAACCAAATGATGTGTGGCAGCATGGGGCTTAGAGTCTCGATGCAACCTACGACGCGACGCCATGTCAGTTTGCAGAACTTCTGCGGGGGCAGCGAATTGCAACTTACTTGACCAATAGTCAATGACCCAGAGAAACAAATCGCCAAGAAAGGCAGCCAATTCACCGTTCAGTTTCAGGCCTGCGGGCCATCCCATAAGCCACGATATGCCGCGTTGGAGTGCCTCTACCGTGTATGTACGCAGGAGATCTCGAATTTGATCCGCAACCCAGTCCTTGTGCTCAATGATGTACGAGCCTACAGCCATGCCGATAATCACATCGTTGGCAACAAGCCAAAGGCTGTTGTAGAAACGAATGTAGTCCGGATGGCTAGTAGTGACACTTGCCCAGTTGGCTTTCCGCTGGCGGAGAGTAACATATTGCATTGGCCAATAGCAGAATTGCTGGAGACGAATCTCAATCTGCTGGGCGGTCGCAGAGATATCCTTGAGGGCGGCATACCCTGGTTTGGCTCGAAATTCCAAGACAATGAGGAGGATTTCCGCCACCATCCTATGGAAGAGCAGCACCAGAATGAAAGCCTTTTGCACAATTGGGAAGAGGTATACTGAAAACAGAGTCCACAACTGCACGAGCACATAGTTCCGCATTGTCGTAGCCGACTCCACTACCCTCTCGGAGACACTGAGGCCTCGCTTCGGTCTTGGTCCAAGCCGTCCCACGTTCTGCTGCAACGCCTGCTCCAGCTCCCAGGACCAATTGACCTGATTGACAATTTTGGGCAGCGCTTTGTCTCTGGCGGAGGCAATTCGCCTAACGATGCTGTGCTGCTTCAGCTTCTCGGCTAGTTTACGGCGATTTTCCTTGATTGCCTTTTCCTGCTTGGTCTCTTCGCTGTCATCTTCACTACTCGCAACATCCTCGGGGAGCGATCCTTTGTCCCCTAAAGCCAACGCTATCGGATTAAGGGATATGTACTGCATGCCTTTTGGGTGAGGCCTGTCGTAGAGGATGAGCTGGATACTGGAGGCCTTGGCGCAGGAAATCCGGGGGTAACGGCTGTTAGTGCTTGTCTTGGCGCATACCCACGAAGGGTCAACCGCGCTTTGACTTGCCGCATTGGAAATACCTAGAACATGCATCGACGAGTGCCCACAGAGGTCATAAATCCGGCTCGGAGAGTGGGGACCACTCCGGAAGAAAGTACCGGACCTGAGATGGAACTCGACATTATGCGCCTAGAACTGTTAGCAATGGGCTCACTTCAGGAGGAAAGGGGGAGTAATGAAAAAGCTAACATCAACATCTTCGAGAATGGTGACGACGAAAACATCGAGCGTTGAGTTCCTCCATCCAACGACAACACCAGTGCGATCAGATTTGCGAATGTCTGTCGGCCAAAACACTCTCATCAACCCATCATGCTCTACCATGACAAAGGATGGTTATCGACAGGACGAGGCACAGCACTCAGAAGGAGCCTCGTCGCCTAAGCTGCTCTCGCGCAGATATTCCAGCTCCTTGTTCTCGTGGGTGCTGTAGTTACTTTACGTTAGCCTGGAGATCAGCTCGAGCGATGGCGTTTCGCAATTCAATCTCGGGGGTTTTATATAGCAACATACAAGTCTTGTTTCCCTCCTTGCGACTAGGGCTACTGGCACAAAGATGGCGAGGAAGAAGGCACTCAAGACCACGATGCCGCGGGCTGCACGCAACTAGAAGCAGAGACAATAAAAGATGGACGTTAGACATGCCCAGACAGGCTCAGGCGTGGCGGGCGCAAAGGTGCAGGGCATTGCGACTTACAACAACTCCGTATTCCGCGGCAAATATTGCCAGCTCATAGAGGCGAGTAACGAGGTCCCAACGCGCGGTGATGTAGCCAGCGACGAAGATGCCGAGGGTGACGGTCGAGAAGGGGTGCATAGAGCGTTACTGCTGCTTGTAGGACATGCCGCTGGCCAAGGAGCAAAGGGTCGATGTGATTTGTCGCCTCGAACTCAAGGTGGGATGCCGGAGCGATGGTCGGCGGTGCGCGCGTCACGTCGGCGTCGGCGATTGGCAGGAATAAGCTCGGCAGTAGCAACAGACGTCTCTGGAGGGTGGACAAGCCCAGCAGAAGCCCGAGCCGCAAGCTGGATTATATGCTGAGGCCGCAATGCGAGGTTTCGAGAGGTTTGGCGAGCTATCCCTGATGGCACGTAGCCAAAAGTGCAAGGCGAGCAGCAGCTCCTCCACTAAAAAGCCAACCGCCCGCCAAGAGTGGAGGCTTTCGAGGTGCGTTCGCGCCTCGCAGCGAATCACGTGGCTTGCAATTGACGACCATCCCCTCTGCTTGCGTGTATTTCACGATGCTGCGGCCCGGATATGCATGTTTGCGTCGTGCTCGCGCCAGGAGTACGTAGGCTTTCGACTTACAAACCACCAAAAAAACGACGTTGCGATATTTATATGTACGGATCTAAGCTGCAAATACGAGGTTACAAGTCTAAGCCTCTCCGCATGCCAACGCATCTGCGGGCATGCCCTTCTCCCCTGCCAATAATCGAGCCAAACATTGCTACTCTGGCCAATCATTAATAAACCATAACGTCTTTCTTAGACTTGATTCGTGGACTTACTCTTCGGGGCCGTTAACCTTACATCGTTTTCCTTGTTGTCCTCCCGGGCTTCATCGAGAAGCTTATCTATGCCTCTGTTCTTTAGTGCAACCTAAATCGAAGTGTCAGCACGATATCGTAGTGTCTTTTGCCTCTCCCCTGGCAAGTTCGTACGCTTAGGCACTTCTGATACTCGTTGAACAAGCCAGCACACTCTTTGTTGTCCTTTTCGGCCCCACGAAGATATTCTGTGTAGGTGTAAGTTCAAATAGCAGCTTTGAGCATCATCATGGGAAATATCTCTCACTTTCGCTATACCATTTTAAAAAGCATGTGTCGTAGCGCCTTGATTCTTGTATAAGTGGAATGTAGAGAGTCTGTTGGAGGCCATGAGCACACTTACTCCTTCACCTCATTGCACTCCGGTGCAAGCGATGCCGACATTTTGGTTTGGCTTAAATCTGGATCGATCTCTCAAAAGGTTGGAGATTGGGCACTCAATAAATCCGGTATGCTCGGATGTGTAGCGACAATCTCAGTACTACTAGATTAAATACTGATATTGATATGCAAATTTCTTCAATAGATGCCGAGTTCAAGACTTGATTCAACTCTTTGCTCACTGTAGGAGCTTAAAGTATTCCAATTTCTTACAGCCACCAACTACGCAGTGCAAACCTCAGGCCGTAGTTCCATAAAAAAGTCGAGCTTCAAACATCATTGGTCGCAGTGACACATCTGGCCTAGTCTGATTGGCGGACGGAACCTTGTCTGCCCAACCCAGAGACCCATATTGACTGCAGGCTGGAGCTTCAGCTTCAATTGAAACTCTCCAATCACAGTTCGATCGCGTCACAGACGCGCTTCTTGAAGGTCGACAGCAGCAAGTGCAGCTTCATCGGATCCCGCGTGCATCACGTGCTGTAGCTGCAGCTGAAATACCAAAAGACGCAGAATCAATTCGTCTGAATTATCTGGCTGCCATGGCCCCTTCGGCAGCTCAACTGAAGGAAGCGCTCATTGAGGGGACCCGCGAGGTGTATAGCGCAGAGCCCGATGGTACTTCCGTCAACAAGGTGCGCCGGCGTGTCGAAGAAAAGCTCGGCCTAGAAGACGGCTTTTTCACCAGCGAGACGTGGAAACAGAAAAGCAAGACAATCATCAAGGAGCAAGTTGTGAGTATCAATAATTTCCAAACAAACCGCCTATGCCTCTCTTCTGACCTACCCCGCTAATGTCATCTTTTTCTTTAAAGGATAAACTGCTGGATGAAGATGCTTCTGAGCCAAAATATGAATCGGATTCAAAAGTTGGCATCAAGCGGCAATCGTCTGAAATCGAATCTCCGCAGCCCAAGCGACGAAAGAAGACATCAGGAGCTGCCAAGAAGAAAGAGGAGTCGGACGTTGATGAAGCTCCCAAGAAGGAATCCAGCACAAAATCCAAGAAGCTTGTATCTCGCCGCAAGGCTGAAGTCGATGATTCCGATGATCAAGATGCCAAGCTAGGAGGAAGCCCGTCACCTGCCAGAAATCGGAAACGAAGCACGAAAGAAGAATCTAAAGACGAATTAAAGCACACTCTTTCCAGCGAGGGAGGTAATGCGACCATAAAAAAACAGGAGACCCCAGGTGACGAGATCATACCACCAGTAAAAGACCAGCCCGATTCAGGAGCAGAGGAGGGGAAAGCAGATGTTAAGGATGAATCGAAACCAGAGGTGAACGAGGAGGATGAGTATTCTGATGTAATCGACGAGCCACCACCTACAAAACGCAAGAGAGGCGAAAAGAAAGAGACCTCATCGAAGCAAAAAGCCTCCAAACCAGCAGCTAAAAAAGACGCCACGCCGGATGATCCTAAGGATGCGGAAATCAAGAAGCTTCAATCACAGCTTACTAAATGCGGCATTCGGAAGTTGTGGCACATAGAACTAAAGCAGTACGGAGACAATGCCGGAGCAAAGATTCGTCATCTGAAGAAAATGCTGGCAGATATTGGCATGGATGGGCGTTTCTCAGAGTCCAAGGCTCGTGAGATCAAGGAAATGCGAGAGTTGCAGGCAGATGTTGAGGCTGCTCAAGAAATGGACCGTCTTTGGGGAACCAGCTCTGGTGGAAGGGCTAGCAGAAGCAAGGCCAAAACTACCGCCCAAGAAGCCAAAGTGGAGAGTGCAGAGGAGACCGGGGATGAGGAAGACGATGAACCTACTTCGTTTGCTGCGAGGCGACGGGGAGCCCACGCGGATCTGGCGTTTCTGGGAGACGAGAGCGATTCCGACTAGGCGAGCTGCTGGTCAGTTTTTGATTTACTCAGTAAGCGGTTTCTGAAATGTACGGATCATGCGGCATGGCGTTGAGTTTGTGACCACTGGGAATATCACTGAACGAGCTAACGTAATTTCTTTTAATGTATTATCTTTGTCTTTTCTTCTTCTTCATTTCATACGGATATTCATGTTGGGGTGCAGGGACGGGCAACGGAGCTTCAAAAATAAGTCAAAAAAGTTTCATTACTAAACGCTAGCCGATTGCTTTTTCCTCCCTCTACTCTGACCAAGCCTTGTACACAATTCTTGAACCATAAGTCTCGCCCTTCTTCACAATGACCATGGCCTTCCATTCTGGGACGTTGACTGCGTTGATCCAACGGCCGGGCTCGCAGCAGAAAGCACTTCGTGCGCCTCTCGCCGGTAGGCCCTCCGCAGCGGGGACGTTGGTCAATTCGCCTGTGTAAAATTGATAAGACGGCTCCGTGCTCAGGACTTCCAAGTGGATGCCGGACTTGGGGTGGAACGCAGCGAGGTTAAGAGCAAGAGGCTGTGTTCGGGTATCGATCGGTACGGAGGATGGGTCGGAGGTGGTTGTAAAGCAGCGGTCGACTGCTGGTTCGACGGGGCCAAGGACGAAAGGCTTGGTGGTCTCGACACCAGGGAAGGGAACAGGGCTGCCAATGGGGATAGAGTCTTCCTTAGCAGGGAGGTGCTGGTCGGTCGAAAGAGTGACGGTGGTGCCGGTGATGTTGTCATCGCCAGTGAGATTGAAGTAGGAGTGGTTGGTCAGGTTGATGATGGTCTCATCGGCGCCCTCGACCAGTGTCGCTTCGTACTCGATGCCCAGAATGATGACCTCCTTTCCGTCCACCACCTGGTTTCCAGAAGTGTAGATGACCTTGGCCTCGACGGCGCCGGGATAGCCTTCGTCACCATCTTCGCTGCGGAGAGTGAACTCAACGCTTTCACCACCCTTCAAGCCTTCTACGCCGGGGATTTCCTTGATTCCCACAGGCGTCGGGCCTTTCCAGATGCGCTTGCCCCAACCCTCGTTACCGCCGTGCAAGCTGTGGAGGTCATGATCGTTGGCTGCAAGCGGGTACGACTGGCCGTTGAGGCTGTTGATTTTGGCGTCCTTGATACGGTTGGCAATACGGCCGATTGTCTCTCCGAAGTACGCTGAGTTATACTTGACATACTGCTCCTGCTCAGGGAATCCAAGCACAATATTTGTGTCCTTGACCTTGAAAGACTGGATGATGGCCCCGAGGGGCAGGAACTTGAACGCAGCGTCAGTCATGGTAATGTGATGAAACGGTTGGATTGAATGTGCTGTATATCGGAAGGGCCAGCCCCAGATGTTTATATTTCGAAAATAAGAATGCGATGACGCCGCCTATGGAGATATTATGGGTATTAATGGCGATTATCTCGGATATATTGTGGTCTCGAATTTCCCCATTTCTTTGTAGAATCGCATTCAGCCTGTTTATCCGTCGCGAGAGCCGTTTGAGCGGATATGTGACGCTCCACAGTCACACAGGCAAGCTTCGATGACGGCGGGGCAATGGCGGGGTAATTGGGGGTTCTGTTGGAGACTGCTGTTAAATTTCGGAGCTCAGACAGGGAATTTCTCCAAGCGCAGGGTCCTGATCCGACGCCTGGAAAAGCAATATAGCCGGAATGTGTTTGTTGATCCGTCCTTACTTGGCGATATGGGACTATTTGACTATGAAACTAGTAACAGCTATTCAGCACTACCTAGTAGCTGCTTTTCTTAAACCCCTCACACCATTTGAGGTGACAAAGTAGGTAGGGAACTGGAGTAATTGAGAGCGACCTGCATCTCAAGCCTAACAATCTGGATGTAGGTACGCGGAATACCGTGCCCAGTCCAAATTATCTCACAATATCGCAGTCATTCAATTGCACTACTTAGGTGTCTTCTTCGTTCGATATAGGCTTTCTATCTCTTTTAGCAGCACGTCAAGTCTTCTCTCAATTGCCTGTGCATTCACCTGAGGCAGAGGGCGAACATATGCTCACGGCTTTAACGCCGGCAGAATACAGGCAAATGCGCTGGACCTCTCAGCCTAGGAGAGCTTCAAAGCATCATGTCTAAAACCTCTGTCTACTAAAATTACCATGGAAGGCTTTGGGTATCTACCCAAATTTCTCAACAATTATTGCTGCTACTCTTGAGTGTGAAACTTTTCCACCCTTTTATACCCTTGGGCTTTATAACTCCGCTGAGGCTGTACCTTACAGCGGGCTTATGCCTCCCCCACAGCCCGCTTTCGCCCTGTTGCAGAGTGCCATCAGATCTCTCTCGCTTCCCACGTGGCGCTGTATTGAACTCGCAGCGGCGTCGCTGGTCTTGTGACGCTGCTCTGCAGGTTAGCCAGCGCAGCCCAATCAGGTGCAAACGACAATTCATGTCGCTCATGTTGCTGATCCAGCCTTTCATCCGAACACTCGTAGGCCTCGTCCTTGTTTTCGGAATCTGCCTTCCGGCAGCACAAGTTGCCTGACCGCTTTCCGGACCCCAGTTCACGATAGCCGCCGACACGCCATAGCGCTGTTCTTCAGCACTCTCCACCTGCTCCTTGTCACCCTTGCTCTCGCTCTCGCACCTCACACCACCGAGCTGAGGATCCTAGGACCATGGCAGACCTCGTAAACGTTACGCCTAAGCGAAAAAGAGGAGCAGATGTCTCTTTTTCGCCGTTGAAGTTTTCATTTGATCTCTCCGCGACCGGCGCTCCAGAGGAAGGGGGCAACAGCCCTCGCTCGGCGACAGTCGTACACAGATTCCGCGGCCTTGCGCTTGGGAACGGCGCGATAGTCGAGGATACTGATGAGATGGACGTAGAATCCGATGCATCTACGAGGAAACGACATAAGCTAGATCAAGATGCTGCGGTGGTGCAGCCTCAACCAGAGTCCAAGCTGGTGTCGGGACCGGAGATGGAAACTACCGCAGTGGTTGAAATGACCGATCGCGCTGTGCTACAGCCCGAAGTCCCGCCCCCCTCGTCCGAAGGCCTCCTCCAGAGGGCATATCCTTCCATCAACCGCTTATCCGAGTCCCAGTCAAGAAAGAAGAGAGCTGGCACTCCTCCCCTCCGATCTAAGAAAGGGCATCCTCAAGAAGGACTGTCTGACGCCGATGACGAGGCGGAAATCGTAGATCCTTTGCGTGCGTCACTAACCTGGCATGAGGATGAAATTACAATATACGATCCCAACGACAAGGATGACGACGGCACCGGTATCAATGGCGTTGGGTTCAAGCCCACCCCGGCACTTGCGCATGCGCGGGTCATGAAGAGGCGACAGCAAATGGCAGAATACAGAAAGCGGGAAGAGAATGAAGCCAGAAACAGGAGAAGTCAGAGGCGCCGAGGAGAGCTAGCTGCATCAGCTAGGCGAGATCACAAGTCACCACCTTCGAGGAAAGTCAGATTTATGGATGCTGAGAGCAGGAACATTACTATGACGGCATGATTATGAATATCTACTATTGACGATTGGCGAAATTGGAACGTATACTGGGAATGAGTATGGGCACAGGCATGGGTATGGGCAAGGGCAAAGATATCAGAAATATGCCCGACTAACGACGGCGTTTGGGCGCGATCTCTTTTTAACACGAGCGAAATAATTCGGCAACGATCTTGGGGAGGCGGAGAAAGGGTATGAAATGATGGGCGGCATCTACGGACTGGACTGCCTGGCGTTGTGATTCCCCTCTGCCACTTTTACTCTTTTCTCATTTCTTCCTTCATTTCCTTCTTTCTTCTTGTTTTTCGTTTCTCAAGAATTCACAAGGTTGCTTGCCTATGGTTAGAAGATAATAACCACAGTCTGGCCAACGGTTCCATTGGCACTTAGAGAGCTTCAATATACGACCTATACTCTTCTCTCGTACATTTAATCGAAGTAAAGATTGCTGTAGCATCCAAAATAGAGTCTTTATTCATACATATAATTGTACATGGCAGCTTATCTGCCTTGGCTTTCACCAAAACTTATACCAGGCCTTATTTCGGGCTCTTTGTTCTTCCTCTATCCTCAACTGCTCCCGCCTCTCTTCGGCTAGTTTCTTTGCCTGCTCTTTTCTGTTCTGCGTGACCACTTCGATGTGCCTCTTCATCTGAATCTTCTCGGCCCGCCGTTGATACTGGCAGTACTCGTACGAGGCTATGCTACCCAAGAGGAAGAAGCCAACCGCCCAGTTGGCAGATTTGGCAGCATTACCTATCGACAAGCTAAGCGTTAGCCACCAGAACTGACACTTGATATGCAGTATAAGTAGATGCTCGGCATGGAAAATACCTTGAATCACAAATTTCAAGCCGCCCAAGCCAGCTCCCGCCCCAATTCCCGTCAGTAATCCTTGCCGTGAGCAGGGCGTGTTTGCTACGTTCGCAAAATCATCCTTCTTGATCATTGAGACAGCCTCTGCAAAGGCAGACCTTGAACCTCTCGGAGTCCCATCTGGATTCTTGTCCGGCCCTTGGAGACCGGGAACCTGATCGCCCTCTGCTATCGGTTTCGACCACACGTGCAGCACCTTTTCGTTCGCATTGGGCCGTTCATTGTCGTTGGTCGGAGCCATTTCTGGCTACCTTGCTTGTCGAATTGGTGGCATGGACGGCGCTGGCCCAGCTATTTATTCACTGGCAGCAGTCATGACGCTCGAACGATTTATCCCAGAATTGTAGCTCTTAGTGGGATGTGGCTGTGCAAAGCGTTTTTGTGGCTAAAATCAATTAAAGATGTGGCGTTTGCTAGCCAGGTCCATTCGCGTATCACGCGTAGCGGCGCGTCTCCCTGACACACATCTTCACGAAACATCCTTGCAGGCCAATTGTTGCTTGGTCAGGGCTCTGCTTGACCTTGTTTGCCAGCCCAAACAGCTGCTGTGCGTTTTGCACTGCACTATCAACCACAACGACAGATAGCTGCTTCACACGATCCTTAATATCATAGCAGCTAGTGCAAAACGCCATAACCCATGACGGGCCTATTAACCGATTAAGTTCGAGTTCTCTTATTGCCAGCTCGGCAGCGGTCCCGCCTAATAAACCGTCTTCCAAAATGCCAAACACATCTCTTCGCCGCCCAGCAAAGGGCTATAAAAGAGGAGGGAAAACTGCATACCATGGCGCAAAAACCCGGACTTTCGCTGCGTCCTCAAGGGCTGAAGGTACCTCTGCTGACGAAAAGTGGGAGCGTACTCGCTTGGCCCAGAGCATTGACGACAAGATGGGTTTTGCACGGTATGAAAGCGGAAAGAAGAAGGAAGGATGGCTGGTAAACGTTCAACCAACTTCTGTCGAAGATGAAAGGATACCGGGCGGTCGAGCAGCATTAGACTGCTACTTCATCGAACTGGACGGAAGCACTTTCAAGGCTACGGTCGAATATGATCCTTATATCGTAATTGCCGTCAAAAAGGGTCGCGAGTCTGAGGTTGAAGAGTGGCTGAAGAGAGTGCCAGGTGGTGGCGTTGTGAAATCACTTAGGAGGGTAGAAAAAGAGGATCTCAGCATGCCGAATCACTTAATGGGCTACCGACGGACGTTCATTGAGATCCGGTTCGCCAATGTCGGCGATCTGATGGCAGCGAAAAGAGACATCATGCCAATTGCGGAGAAGAATAGGAAAAACATGAATGCCATGGATGCCTATGCTGAGGTTGCTACGTGAGTATCACAGCCTGCTGTCGAGGATATCTTTTGGGATGTTGGTTGGATTCTAACACTTATAATTGCAGGACTAATGGTGACTTCGACCTTTTTGATAACGATGATGATGATCGAAACACGAGCACTTCTGTTTCTGAAGCAAGCGACTTTATCGTCGATATACGCGAATATGATGTTCCATACCACGTTAGAGTAATGATAGACTTGGGTATATATCCATGCTTGTGGCAACAAACCTAGGCTTGACTAACTGAGACTTTAGATATAAGAGTCGGAAAGTGGTATTTTGTTGAAGCAAAACATGGCGTCACAAAAATCACATTAAACGAGGACAGATCTTTGCCGGCTGATCCCGTAGTTATGGCATATGATATCGAGACATCAAAACTGCCCTTGAAGTTTCCCGATGCTGCTACCGATCAGATCATGATGATATCATACATGATTGACGGACAAGGTTTTTTGATCACAAACCGAGAAATCATTTCCGAAGACATTGGCGATTTCGATTATACACCTAAGCCCGAATACCCCGGTCCTTTCATGATTTTCAATGAACCGGACGAGAAGTCGGTCATTGAGAGGTTCTTTCTTCACATCAAGGAGGCACGTCCTACTGTCATTGCAACTTACAACGGTGACTTTTTCGATTGGCCATTCGTTGAGGCAAGAGCAAGCGTAAACGGTATCGACATGTACCAAGAGATTGGTTGGAAGAGAGACAGCGAAGACCAGTTCAAGTGCAACTATAGTGTTCATATGGATTGCTTTCACTGGGTCAATCGAGACTCTTACTTGCCTCAAGGATCTCGAGGCTTGAAGGCTGTCACAGTTGCCAAGCTGGGATATGACCCCGACGAACTCGATCCGGAATTGATGACACCATATGCAGCGGAGCGACCGCAGACGTTGGCCGAGTACTCAGTTTCCGATGCCGTCGCAACTTACTATTTGTACATGAAATATGTACACCCCTTCATCTTCTCTCTCTGCACGATCTTGCCATTGGGAGGAGACGACGTCCTCAGAAAAGGCACTGGCACACTCTGCGAAATGCTTCTGATGGTGCAAGCATACCAGCAGGAGATTGTGCTGCCAAATAAGCATGTCACCCCGAAGGAATCCTTCTGGGATGGCCATTTACTCGACTCTGAGACCTATGTCGGTGGTCACGTCGAGAGTATCGAAGCTGGAGTCTTTCGGTCTGACATCCCTGTCAATTTCGCCGTTGATCCTGCTGCAGTTGACGAGCTCTTAGGGGATATAGACAATGCACTCAAGTTCGTCATTACAGTTGAAGAGAAGAAGTCTCTAGACGATGTTACCAACTATGATGAAGTCAAGCAGCAGATTGTGAGCAAGCTTATGAGCCTAAAAGAAACCCCTAATCGTAACGAAAGGCCGCTCATATACCATTTGGATGTCGCCTCTATGTACCCAAATATCATGACGACAAACAGACTGCAACCGGACTCGATGATTTCGGAATCAGACTGCGCGGCCTGCGACTTTAATCGGCCAGGCAAGACATGTGATCGACGACTGCCTTGGGCCTGGAGAGGAGAGTACATACCTGCGAAAAGGGACGAGTATAATATGATTCGACATGCACTCGAAAATGAAAAGTTTCCTGGTAAAACACCACATGCCCCGCCGAGAACATTTCAAGATTTAAGCGCGGATGAACAGGCAAACCTAGTGAGGAAGCGTCTTCAACTCTATTCTCAGAAAGTGTACCACAAAATCCACGACTCCACGACTATTGTTCGCGAGGCAATCATTTGTCAGCGAGAAAATCCCTTCTATATCAACACTGTCCGTGATTTCCGTGATCGCCGATATGACTATAAGGGCAAAGCAAAAGTCTGGAAAGGAAAGACGGAGGCGCTAAAGTCATCTGGTGCCCCTGGCAATGAAATTGACGATGCGAAAAAGATGATTATCTTGTATGATTCTTTGCAGCTTGCGCACAAGGTCATTTTGAACTCTTTCTACGGATATGTCATGAGAAAAGGCTCTCGTTGGTACTCCATGGAGATGGCGGGTGTTACTTGCTTGACGGGAGCCACGATTATTCAACTCGCTCGTCAGCTTGTTGAACGCCTTGGCCGACCTCTTGAACTGGACACCGATGGTATCTGGTGTATGCTTCCCGCTACTTTCCCCGAGAATTTTGCCTTCAAATTGAAGAATGGCAAGAAGATGAACATATCTTATCCTTGTGTCATGCTCAACCACCTTGTGCACGACAAGTTCACCAACCACCAATATCAGACTTTGGTGGACCCCAAAACTTTCAAGTACGAAACTCATAGCGACAATTCCATCTTCTTCGAGGTTGACGGCCCGTACAAGGCAATGATTCTGCCCACCTCAAAAGAAGAAGATAAAAACCTGAAGAAGCGATATGCCGTGTTCAACGATGACGGCAGTCTGGCAGAATTGAAGGGATTCGAAGTGAAGCGCCGTGGTGAGCTTAAGCTGATCAAGATCTTCCAGCAGCAAATCTTCAAGTTCTTCCTAGAAGGAGAAGATTTGACACAATGCTACACTGCCGTGGCCAAAGTTGCAAATCAATGGCTAGATGTATTGCATAACAAAGGATCTACGCTTGCAGACGAAGAGCTGATGGAGCTGATTTCCGAAAACCGAAGCATGTCCAAGACGCTGGAGGAGTACGGTAGTCAGAAGTCTACCAGTATCACGACTGCACGACGTCTTGCCGATTTTTTGGGTGAACAAATGGTCAAGGACAAAGGTCTGAATTGTAAATTCATTATTTGTTCTCGGCCGCGAAATGCACCCGTCACGGAGCGAGCCGTTCCAGTCGCCATCTTCTCTGCAGAAGAAACCGTGAAACGCGCATATCTGAAGAAGTGGCTCAAGGAAGAACCTGTAGATACCGACCCTCGAGCTCTTTTGGACTGGGATTATTACTTGGAACGTCTAGGATCCGTTATTCAAAAACTCATCACCATTCCCGCCGCGTTGCAAAAAGTCCGCAATCCCGTTCCTCGAGTACCTCATCCCGACTGGCTTCAACGAAGGATAAACATAAAGGACGACAAGATGAAGCAAAAGAAGCTCACGGACCTCTTCAGCACCAAAGAACCGCTAGCAGACATTACGAATATTAACGGTTCTCGGACGGAAGACATGGAGGACTTTGGTTCCAAGCTGCTGAAGCCCAAACAGCTCGGCGCGCTCATCGCATCATCCCAGCCACCAGCTACCTCTCAAAAGCGCAAGTCTCCTGAACCAGCAGAAGAGCCAGACCCTATGGCCGCTTTGCCGAATGCCATACCTGATCCATCTGAAGACTATGTTGATTTCTTGCAATATCAGAAAATGAAGTGGAAGTTGCAGAAACAAGCACGTATTCGGAGAAGGCAGCTGTTTGGCGAGAGAAGAGGCAATGTGAGCAGCAACATTCAGCAAACATTTATGAAGCAGGCACATCTTACGTTTATGAATACGTGGCAACTGCTTCATCTGAAAGCCACCGACACTCCTGGCATCGTGACGGCGCACGTCTTAATTGATGCGAAGATCCATACGCTGAAAATCAACGTTCCTCGACAAGTCTTTCTCAATCTTAAAAAGGAGGAACTGCCAGATGTCGAGATTGCGGGGTGCCAGGTTGAACAAGTAAACTATACTCTCCCCAACGGGCATCAGTCTAAGCATCTCTTCAAACTCACCGTTCCGGAAGACGTCTACTTTAACGAAGCAGAAAAATTCTCGCTCTTGTTCAACCACCCCAGTGTAGAGGGTGTGTATGAAAAACAAGTACCCCTGAATATTCGCGCAGTGCTTCGGCTGGGCAATCTCTGTGCCATCGACGAGGAGCAAGAAGCTGTTCTTGGCAGGGGTCTCGAGCAAGCATTCGATCTGATGGGCCTTAAACGACCAACCAAGCCAAGGACGTATCTGGAGTCATCTCCGTTGGCTTATATATACATATCTCACATCACCGCAGGGGATCGCCAAATATTTGGTCTATTCTCAACCACAAGTGATCAGGCCTACGTTGTGATACTGCAAAAGGGAAGAGATTCTGGCTCGGATCTTCCGAATATCACCAAGCTGTACTCTGAACTGCTAGCCAAAAGAGCAGAGGAAGCTGCAGGCACGAATTGGCAGGATTGTTTCAAATATCAAGAGAAGATCACCTTCAAGATTACCCAAGTGACAACACGGCGCAAGGCCCACTTAGAGGTCGCTGATGTCGTCCGAAAACTTCGCAAGGATGAATCGCGGCCACAAATGATGGTTATTCAGTCGTCGCAAAGAAACCTTTTGGTTCATGATATTCCTATTCTGGGCGAATTTCCCGTGTTGCCCCTCAAGTACGATGCTTCCGACAGCTCACTGCCGCCCTTGGGTTGGCAAGCAGTTGTTGCGCGACGTCTGGTCGGCCATTACCTAGGGCTTGGATCCTGGATCTTGCACCTTACAGCCTTGGCGCGTTATGGCGACGTTCCTCTGTGCAACCTAGAGCGTGATGATCCTCGTTTCCTGATTGACATTGCCTATGCCAGACGGCTCCAGGCAAACGGTGTGGTGCTATGGTGGTCTCCTGACCCCCGACCAGACCATGCTGGTTATGAAAAGGATGACATTGTCGGATCACTCGACACTGTCAAGATGCCTAGCATCAACAACCCCGGAACGTATTCTTCGGTTTGTATTGACTTGGATGTTCGCAATCTTGCCATCAACACTATATTGACCTCGTCCTTGATCAACGAGCTTGAAGGCGCTGAATCAATATCATTCAATCCTACGGCCGATGGATCAGAGATTCTTGCCTCAGAGAATGGGTTTGCCAACGCCGGAGTCTTAGTTCTTCGTGAGATGGTCAAAGCCTGGTGGGCAGAAGCTTGCAAAGGCAGTACGATGGCCGATGTGCTTGTTCAGCATCTCGTCCGGTGGGTTGAGAACCCAGATTCCTTCATGTACGACCGAGCGCTGCACTACTATGTGCAAATGATGTCTCGAAAGGCATTCCAACAGCTCATGGCAGACTTCAGGCGGGTCGGTTCGCAGGTCATCTTTGCTAGCGCAAATCGACTGATCCTACAGACGACGAAAGCTGAAGTTGGCAATGCGTTTGCGTATAGTCAGTACATTATCAAGTCGATCAAAAGCAAGTCTCTATTCCACTTCATTGACTTGGAGATCAAGGAGTACTGGGACTACTTGGTGTGGTATGACGAGTTTAACTACGGTGGCCGAGCCTGTCAGGAGGTTGCCGAGTCTGACGAACAGAACCTGGAGACCATTATGCATTGGCAGATGGCCACGTTCCTGCCCGTTCGTCTGCAGTCTACTTTCCAAGACTGGGTGATTGAGTTTATCCAACTTATGCATAAACTAAAACGACCGGAAAACAATGACCCTGACTCAACCCCACGACTCACTCAGCTGCCGAATAGGAACCAAGAGCCCAACGGCGACGATCAAATCATCTTGGGTAAAGCTTTTGAGAAGCCAATGAAGAAAGTCATCGTCGGTCTCATTAACCAGCAGAAGCGCGAACTCATGCATCCAGAGCTGGCAGAGGACTATAGCTTCCCCACGCTGCCTGGCTCGCACCTTTCACTACGCAACCCGATTCTTGAACTCGTCAAGTCAATCACACAGGTGTTGTCTCTGGATAAGAACATCACTCTTGAGGCAAGATTATTGCGTAAAGAGTTGCTTGCGCTCTTCGAAATCCGCGAGTTTTCCAAGGAGGGAGCGTTTACGAATCCCTCAGAGAGCTTGAAACTACTGCAAGTGTCGTGTGACAGCTGTACGATGGCGCGAGATTTGGATCTCTGCCGCGACGAAGATCTGTTTGGCTCTCCTGGAGAGAACGGCGGACAGAGCTGGCACTGTGGCTTCTGCAACAGCGAGTACGATAGGGTGAGCATCGAGGAGCGGCTGCTTGCCATGGTGGAAGGCTGGACGACAGAGTGGGCTAGTCAGGATCTCAAGTGTGAGCGGTGCGGTGCTCTGAGGGTGAATGACTTTATGGAGCATTGCACTTGCAGTGGTGAGTGGAAAGAGGTGTTGTCACGGGATGAGGTGGTGCGCAAGTTGGCCGTTATGAAGCGGGTGGCCCAATATTATGGCTTGAAGATGCTTGGAAATGTGGTCGAGGGGCTGTATGAGGGACTATAAAGTTGTAAATATGGAGGCGTGTTGGCTTTTAGAAGCATTGATTCGGCGTTGTCTTTTTCCGGGGGCACTTGGTTTTATAGCAGTTATATGTCGATATATTCATGAATCCATAAGTCCATAAATCTCAAGATATTTGATGTTTTTTGCATAGCAAAGGCTTTCCGCAGTGAGTCGTCAAACACAATTTTACCATGCAAATATGAAAGAAAAATAATAGTCAAGCTTATACGCCCCTGACTTTTCCTTTCCATTATTCATATTCTTTGACCCGTTCTCATAAGCTTCCACATTCTTCTTATGCCAGAATAAGACCATTCCTATATTCCTTTCACCCCGCAAACCCTCCACGAGCCATCTTCTTAGCCCTTGCATCCCGTCTATGGTGATTCGCTCTCGCTCCTTTATGAGCCTCTTTATTCTTCCTAGCCATTTCCGTATCCTTCTCTCCCGTCGGCCCGGCAACATTCCCTCCTCTGCCACGACCTCCTCGACCGCGTCCTCCTCTCGCACGCCCGCCTCGTCCGCCCCTATTCGAGCCTCCATCCGGATCACTCTCCTCTGCACCTGAACCGGCAGGACTGGCTCTCCATGAAGTGCGTTCGAGCTGTGATTGCTGGCCGCTCCATGCATATTTAGCCTCCAGACGCTTCATCTGGGTAGGATTCCTCTGCAGCATGACTGCCCATCCTTCGATAGCCTCATCAGCCATGCCTGTTTCATCCCGCAGTTTTGTGCGGGTAGCGCTCCTCCTCGTTTCTGCATCTCTTGCAAAGATCCTAAGATCCGCCTGGAAAGCACGGAAGAGAAGCTCCTCGTTGCTATCGTTGACACCATCGGCCTCCTGGTTGCGTGCGTCCACGGTACCTCCCACGTCGGCGGCATCATAGGTGTCGTCACGCTCATCGTCGTCTGGGTCAAGTGATGCGAGAGCGGATAGGATGGCTGCCTTGTTTGGAGCTGTTGACTTGTCCCTGAGGACGTCGTCAGCCGTCTTCTCGGGGTTCTTGCCAAACGAGATTTTGGAAGTGTCGACTGCCAGCCGATCAAACTCATCGTCGTCGAAAACGTTGCGTCTAATGGGTAGCTGTGTCGGTGTTGAGCGAGGCGCCAGGTCTTTATGTGCTTGAGTATCTGGTTGCGTATGTGACCTTCTCAGAAGAAATTGTTAGCTGAGTCACAAGAAGTTCACTTTGTAAAAAGAAGGAGATATTGAGAAACTCACAATGGCTCTGTCCTGTCCGCAGTGGCAAGATGCGGCGGTAGCGTTTCATCAAACAGATTCGCAATCACTTGCTCCACATGGCCATTATACTCATCCAAGCATTTCGCAATGAAACCGGCCCCCATGTCCGGAAAAATGTCCTGAACATGGGTGATCTGGCTCATCTGGTGGACATGTATCTCCGCATGTACATCCTCAGCTGATTCTACTCCCTTTCCTTTATCCACCTTTCGCTTTATCAACTTCTTCGGCCGGACAATGATGCCCGTCTTGAAAGATTCCAGGGTAGTGATGCGATTCTTAAGATTCGACGGTGCTGCTGTCGATGACTCTATTTTTCGAAGCAAGGCCTTCAGTATTGGTGTATTCGTCACGAGATCAGCGCCTAGGGAGTCGTTAGGATTCAGGGTCCCCTTCTTGTGTGCCTCCGCAGCAACCTGAATAGCGTATAATTGATCGCTAATCATAGACCACTTGGGAGGCTCTACTTCTATCAACCCAATGAGGCATAGGTAGACGGTAGTAACGATGGTCTTGCGCAGAGGTGGATTGATGACCCGGAAGCAGGTGACTAGACCGTCGAAGAAGTCGGATCCAGCGAGAAGAAGTATACATGCGTTAGGGGAAGCATGCAGCAGCGGATTCAGACGCGTGAGTTCTAGCTCGACAAGTTTGAGGTCACCCTTACTTCCGGCGTCGAGCTGCGGGATAAGCAGCTTTTTGAGAGAAAGTAATGAAGATTCGATGGGGGCAGCGTGACTGGCGAATAGCCGCGCAAGCAGCGGAGCAGTGTGTTTCTTTGGAAACATCCTGGCTAAGCCGGCCAGAAAATGAACGTCTAACAACCGAGGTGAAGGACATATTGTCAAGAGCCGTGAGATGAGGCGGAAGATCGTCTTTAACAACCGCGGTGATATTGTCTTTGCGCCAGATTCGACTGCGGTCTCCTCCACGAATGTTGATACAAATACTGTCAGAGCCTCATTGTCTGCAGCTGCCTGCTTGAATGCGGCATCGTCCAGGTCCAGATAAGCTTGTGATAGTGCAATCCATGCTTCCGATAGAGCATCCCAGTCTTCGGGTGAGATACGCTGCCGCCACGAGGCCTTTGGAAACGGGGCAAAGGGCGGTAGAGAAACCATGACGTCTTTTCTTCTGGTTTATGTATGATGGGGTAAAACTTGGTCTATTATGGCTTGTGGGATAGACGGAATGATCAGCTACTGTAAGACAGGGGAAAGGAGCAGCTTTTGGATATAGATATAAATAAACACTCTCATCTGAAGCCTCTCACAGGCATCTGCCCCCATCATCGCCGAATGATTCATTGGAGATCTCGTTCCGGTTAGCACAAATCTGACCCACCAACTCCCCGGGCGAGGCAGTTGCATCTGCCAATCGCAACGCTTAGTTTAAGCTCGCACCATCACCGCAACAGGACTAGCGCAGCGCACAGCGAAAGCCCTAGCTGGACAATTTGCAACCCCACCAAAAAGTTCCGCGATTTCTGCTACTTGCAAAAAACATCACCATCCGCATCAATCGCCAACTATCCCGGCCTCATCACTTTGCCGATACGAAGATCGTCCCCTTTCAATCCAATTATAACGATCCGTTCGAGTCGTGAAGCCGTTCAAAATGTCTTACCAGAAGAACGACAAGGATGTTCAGGAGCCGGCTGTTAGTTTCCTTCTCCTTTGCGACTTGCGTCGACCGCAGAGCATAGCACAGCACAGCTCCCCTTGAAGCATCAGCAGCCGCTAACGTACCGTCCAATGTACAGAAGAGCCACAAGATCCGCATCACCCTTTCTTCTCGCAAGGTCCAGGTCCTCGAGAAGGTCTGCTCCGAGATCATCGACCGTGCCAAGAACAAGGACCTCCGCGCCAAGGGCCCTGTCCGTCTGCCTACCAAGTGCCTGACCGTCACTCCCCGCAAGACCCCTTGCGGTGAGGGTTCCAAGACCTGGGACCGCTTCGAGATGCGCATTCACAAGCGTCTCATCGAGTGCGTTTACTACCCTTTTTCGAGACTTGCGCTTCGTACGCAGTTTGCTAACCGTGTCTCGTCTGTAGCCTCCACGCCCCCACTGAGGTCGTCAAGCAGATCATTGTCAACATCGACGCTGGTGTCGAGGTTGAGGTCACCATCGCTGCTTAAGCGAATTTCCAATTTCGTAAAGATGTTGGAGTGGCCGAGACCCTGACGTCGAGGGAGATTAAAACAGCCCTCGCAGCAGATAGGCACAAAATAAACTGGTTCAAGACATATACCCAATTGGTCTCTTTATATAATCCTTGTGACTGTGTTTTCCTCTCTTCCAAAGCAGCCCGTTAACGCCGTAGTTTGTCTGCGTTATGTTCAGAACATGGAACCACATCGATAAACGCCCATATTGATCCATTACTTAACTCCATCTCATATCCGTTCGATTTCCAAACATACTGGACATCCTTCTATTCTAGTTAAAAATCCCATTGCGTACATTCTCGCGGCGGGGGCAGCTCCGGCATCAAGCCATCGGCGAATCCTCCCGTCTCAGCAAAGGCAGCCCATTGGGTTTTCAATTGGTCACTGTATTGTTCAATGGGCAGTTCTGTATCCTTGTTGTAGCCTGGAGGACCTTTGGGGAACCAAATCCGTGTCCATGTGCCGTCAAATGCGAGGATCCCAGGCACATCACCGACATAAGTTACTGGCTTCCCTTTGAACATGGTCAGCCGCCCATCCATAGCCCTTGAGCTGTAACTTTCGACATTTGGGTGCTGTTTCGAACTGCCTGGAGGGTAAGGGTTGTTGCTGCCCACACCAGCTCCCGCTGACGGAGGTTGCTGAGCCCCTGAAAAGGGATTAGCCTGAGAAGATGTGCCGTTTGTCTGATTTTGGGCGAAAGGATTGACGGTGGGCTGTTGCTGTTGTTGTGGTTGTGGTTGTTGCCCAAATGGGCTCGCATTATTCTGCGCAAAGGTTTGGTTTGCCGGCGCCCCAAACGGTGACTGGTTCTGAACAGGCTGTTGAGAAAATGAACTATTTGTGTTTTGAGCTGGAGCTGGAGCTGCGAATGGATTGGCAGCAGGGGCGGATGGTTGTCCAAAGGGACTTGGGCTGGCGCCTGCAGCAGAGCTGAAAGGGTTCGGCTTCTGTCCAAGCGCAGACGGCTGGCCAAATGCACTTCCTTGCGCCTGAGGTTGTCCAAATGGACTAGATTGTGTGTTTGGCTGAGAAGGTTGGCCAAAAGCAGGGGCACCAAATGGACTAGGCTTGGCCCCAAGCGCAGACGGTTGACCAAATGCCGAGGCCGGTTGTGATGGTTGAGAGAACGGAGAAGCTGTTTGCGTTGGCTGTCCAAATGCTGATGTGGGCTGAGATGGTTGACCAAACGCAGGTTGTGATGGTTGACCAAAGGGGTTGGGCTTCTGTCCTAGAGCAGACGGCTGGCCAAATGCGCCTGTCGTGGACGCCATAGTAGCAGGGTTCCCGCCGAACGGATTTGTAGTAGCAGTGTTCGCACCAAATGGATTTGTAGCATTGGGCCTTCTCCCCACTTGAAACTCGCCAAATGGTGCGCCTTGGGTTCCCTCTTTGCATATATCATGTCGGTTGGGATGCCGGTTTTCCGCTTCTGCAATGAATCGTGCCGCTTCCATCGGGTTTCGCGCCGCGGCTTCCATTTGCTGCTTTGCATTTTGGTACAATTGTTGTGCTTCGTTGAGCTGCGCGCACCTTGGTTAGAACAATCATGAAATAGTTTATTTGTAATGGATATCCTCACAGCCTGCTGCTCATTGCCTGAAGCTTTGCCTATGAGGTAATGAAGTCTGAGTTCTTCAAAGCTCTGTTCGCGAGGATACCCTCCAAAGAGCTGTTCTGGAGCGTCTCGCCCTGGAGCATACGCAGACAGAATCCATTGGGGCGCCTCTATCGTCAAGTCTTTCTCGATCACATCAGGACCTAAACCGTATTTTGCTGTTCCCGAGGTCAGCGCCATCAAGAACAATCGGCTTCATGCATCTTACTCAACGGGCTCTCACTCCCACCCGTGTTAGTTCCTCCCAAAGCTCCGAAGCGGTTCGAGGACTGGTTGCGATTGCCACCGGCATTGGGGTGCTCGTAGCGACAGCTGTCTACCAAAGGGCGTTAGCACCTCTTGCAAGGGGGATGTCGAAGTCGAAGTGAAAAAGGTGAACGTACTGCCGAACTTGCAATAGCCCTGCTGGTAGAATCGGCACACCGCCATAGTGGGCAGTCAGCGGAAGATGATGATTATAAGATGGTTACAGCAGCTATGCCATCGCGAAATATCGTCGTTCCAACGTCGTCTCACGATGTTGTCGCGAGAAAGGTGGAAGAAACGAAGGAATCCTGGGCAATTGAAGGTTGGCGATTAGATAGGCCGGAAAGATAAAAGCAAATGCCTAGTAGGCAGCCTTGTGCAGCCTTGGGGCGGTTTAGTGGTTCTCCAGCGCCTACAGAAACCTGCTGGCCAATCATGTCCGCCATACCCGTCCCCTGCATCGTCTCTAATGTCAGTTGTTTCTGAAGCCATCAAACGGATTCATCGGTGCTTATGAATAGATAGATGCCTTGGGTGAATTTGAGCTGAATTGAGTCTGAGGCTTTGTAAACTTATAAAACCCCTTGAGTCTAGCCTCTAGATTCCTGATAACCTTGTAGAAATCTATATTTTCGGACTTGTAGAGGTACCTAAGATGTTACTGAAGAGTGCAATGCCGAGCAGAAGTACCTCCCTTAGTATTTTATGTGGAAAATACCTTTTTTACTCGTAGCTCAGACTGAACTTGCCCAAAATCGCATCGTTGATATCCTTACTATACCATACCTACCTACGTAGCCTCTCTTGCTTTTTCCCTTTACAATTACTCTCAGGGCTTAGAAAATTCCGCTACTCTACGTTCGGCTGTTTAAGTCCGTTGAGCTCGTGTTACGTGCGCCCAGTAAAATAACATCAAATGCGCCAGGTCAGATACATCGCGAAACACGATCACAAACCGACTTCGATTTAGAAATTTTATTGCATTTTTATTTGTGTTTTTTATATCATTGTGTAATTCATGAAAATTGGTCGTAAATCTCCAATGCCGCCCTCATGCCTTGTACATGGTCTCATTCTTACCTGTGGAATTTCAGTCCGACTTGTAAAAGCGAGCAATCTGCCTCGCTCATCATCTCTTCACCAATATCATAACGTACACGACGCAACCACCAGTTTAGTACTTTTCGGCCAACTTGAACTCAACAATGGGTCCCTTCTTGGCGCTGGTGAAAATATCCGCCAGCTGGAATTCCTCGGGGCGGTGTCGGCCCCATTCCAGATCAGCGCGGCCCTCGCTAGGGTCGGCAACACCAATGGCTCTTCTCATGTCATAGAGGTAGAAGGCTCGAGCAAGAGTCAGGGTCATCTCAACATAGGCCAAACCCTTGCCAATGCATCCACGAGGTCCAATGCTAAAGGGGCAGAAGGCGGCCTGCGCCTGTGAAACGTCTTCCACGGTTGATACCCTCTTGGTGGCAGGGTTGATAGCGTCCTTGATCCATCGCTCAGGAGCATAAGTGAATGGCTGGGGGTAGTACTCCTCGTTGTGGTGGATGTTGTAGTGGGGAGTTCCGACGACAATTCCGGCAGGGACGAAATGGCCATCGATGGTGATGCCACCGGGCAAGACCTCACGAGGCAGGATACCGCCAACAGAAGGAGACATACGCATGGCCTCATCGATACAGGCACGAAGATAGGTGCAAGATGCAAGAGTAGGTCCTTGAACAATCTCTTCAACGTCGGAAAACTTGCCTCGGATTTCGTCAACAACCTTCTGCATAGCGTGGGGGTTGCGAGTCAGGTAAAACAGGGTAGAGGCCATGGCAGTCGAGGTGGTATCAGATCCGGCAATAATGCTGGTTGTTTTATGTCAGTATGAGGGGTTCATAAGAGCGTATTAGATGTATATCTTCGGAGATGGCTTACAGCAGGTTGGACTCTCCCCACAGCTCGGGGGTAGAGAAGCCCTGGCCGGTCTCAGGATCACGAGCCTTTAGGAGGTAGTAGAAAAAGTCGCGGCGGTCAGTCTCTTCTCCGAGCTTGGTTCTCTCGGTCAGCTGGGCCTTGCTGTAGGCCATGTAGCGGGCACGTCCAGCAGCGAGCTTGGGGAACATGATCTTGTCGAACTTGAGCTTGTCGACAATGGGCATGGTACCGCACTGGCTCAATCGTCAGCACACCGTGTTGTTAACTCTTTTGGCAATTCAATGGCTTACAAGAAGATGTCTAGTAGTGGCAGCTTCAACCAGGTCCAGGGCGAAGCGGTTGTCTGGGCTTTCCAGCATGTGGAAAGCCTTGCCGTAGCTCAAATCACCAAGGATATCCATAGCAAGGTAGTTGCACCAGTGGGCCATGTTTCGCGGCTGAGTCCAGCCCTTGGATTCGGCATTTCCGTCCTGGAGGCCAATCTGCTCGCAGAAAGTGCGGACGTTGTTGAGGATGTATCGCTGCATCTCCTTCATGGCACTCTCGGAAAAGGCATGGGAGAGCACACGTCGCTTGCGGGCGTGGACCTCCTTGTCGCGAGTGTTGTGGGTATTGGCGACGGGGTGAGCAAAAGAGTTGTAGAATTCAGCCTTGCGAACATTGGACTTGAAGCCATAGATGTCCTTCAGGGACTGCTGGGTGCTAAATGAGAGGGAGTTGGGGCCATAGCGAACAACCTTGCCTATGAATCAAAACATGTTAGCTACAACTATTGGCAATCTCGCAATTGACTTTAGAGCGCCACGTCTTGCGACTAACCATATTTCTGGTGCAGTCGCCAGAATTGAAGGTGGCGGTCTCCCTTCCAGGCGTGGTAGAGCTGGTAGCCATCCGTGAGCTTAGCGATAAAAGGGCCCGGATATTTCGCCAGAGGGTGGAAGAAGACGCGGTAGACGACAAAGGAAAAGAGCTTGATTTCACGTTAGCTCTGCCAGCTTCATATTCCCGGTTCATCCAAATCGTCCGTCTCGTGTTTTCATCCCATATCCTTTCCTATCATCAGGGAACAACTTACATAAAGAGCTCCCGCTGCTAGCAGGAGCCCCAGCCATGCGACAGGGTGTTGATTGCTGAGCGACAGCATTTCTGCACAGTTCAAACCAGCCAAAGTCGAGTATAGACCTCTGCTGAGAAAGAAGAATGACTGAAGAAGAGAAACGAAACAAAAAAACAAGAGCGAAGATAAGCTACAAATAAAAAAAAAAAGCCAATCCATCCGGCCCTCTGCATCCGCTCCAAGCTTACCCGCAAGACCCCCCAGTCCAACAGTGTTTCACTCGTCGAGTCTGCATCATCGGCTTCCCACGGCACACAGCGTGCCCAGGCTTATCGATTACACAATCATGAATGCTGTCGATGCTGGTTTTGTAGGCAAAAGTTTTATGACATCGGTGGCCCAATCAGCCCTACTGGCGCTTAGATTCGGCGGGGACGTTTGAGGTCTGGCGCGCCCGCCATTCTGGGGGGCCTGTGCGGGGAGAGCCCAGCATTATCTTGCATTCGCTTTGAATTGCGCCGTGTGCAATTGGGGGCAGATGTGGAGGAGGATGAGGAGATCTAGATTCCGTCGGCATCAACCCCTTTCCGCCGGCTTCGAAGGGGCGCGTCATGGTCACGGGGACAGCCATGGAGAAGTACCTACACGAATCGGTGAGAGGGAGACGTCCATGCAATACTACTACAGTTGAACGAGAGCAATGTTCGGGCTGTCTTATCAGTATTACACGGATGTCTCAAAAGCTTCAAAGCCAAAAATGCGGCTTCAGGTTGCACACCTTCGCACCACAGCACGTGGCCACCAATAATCTTTGACAATCCAAATTCAAATTGAAAAAAAAGTGTCCGAGCAATAACCAACCACGGAAGAGAACAAACGTCATCCTCTCCGACGAAACCGATAACGAATGGGTTGCATAAGCCCCCTTCCCGCTTCCGTCCAACTATCCCGTTGCATAATCGTCCTCGTAACAATACACAACAGGCGGCAGAAGAAGGTACAACAAAAGAAAGTTAAAAATAAAAAATAGCTAAAATAAAAACGAGTGCCAGAGGCGATTGAAGCCGCACCTTGGAATCAATTCCGCCCCGTTTCCGCATCTCTGAATCGCGCCGAAAAGCGTCTCCAAGGCAAAAGCGGATGCCGCCGGTAACCAAAGCTGCGAACAGCCCTCTTCGCTCCCCACTTTATCGGACCGGAGAGGAGTGGAGTTTTGCGGTTCGCGTCCACTTACAGTATTCAAGGACCCAAGTGAGCGAGGCATGGGCAAGGGCTGGATTGCATGATTGCTCCGTGCATTGCCTGTGAGGCTGTCGTGATAGGCTACCTGCAAAGAGGGATTAGTATTTGAATAGGTGGCCCGGCAGGGCGATACCGGAGACAGTCCGCGGGAATCAGAGACTGTTCCACGGCGCCGAACCGATTTACCACGTCCAATTGCCGTTATCAAGACAGGCCTACTTGCCTAAACAAGAAAACACTACAGGTTTGAAATCAAGAAGGAATTCGCAATTATTTTTACAGCTACACAAGATATATCACAGAATTAATTCCTCCCCAATCATTCGTTAATCAATAAACAGCCGTGTCCGTATCAAGTACATTTTTCCCTTGTCCCTCGCTCCTTCGAAAGCGAGAAGAAAAAAAAAAAGCCAAAATCAACCGCCCCATCACCGCCAAATAACTCCGTCCAGACAAGTTTACAATCCCGCCGGCACCGAAATTAGTTGTAGTAACGTGGTTCGTCAAAGACGTGGTATCGATGATCTCTCACACCCTCTCCCCTGAACATGGCAGGATAGCGCCATCCCTCCGGCACGTCCTCCTCCTCTACGCGATGATCCCGCTCTTCGGCCGTCTGGGCTGCTAGCTCCTGAATCTCGGCATCTGAACGCGGAATCACAAACTTCGCAGTCTGTAGCTCTGTGTCGGTGATTGTGCTACGGCTAACGCGGGCATAACCAACACGCTTGATGTTCTTGAACAATATGTATTCGCACCACCGGTCCCAGTCGGTTGGGTCAACATCATGCATGCCAGAAATCTCGCTCACATAAGTGTTGTAGTTGCCCTCAAGCGGCTCCGTCACCAAGTAGCTTAGTAAGAATGCTGGCCGATCCGTTGAGCCCATAAGTTTCGCAAGGTACTCAGACTGAAGTCGTCGGTCCTCCGGATCTTCTTCCTGGCCAGAGTGGAAAACGAATACGTCAACGAGTTGGCCGTAGACGTCCAGAGTAGCATGGATTGCTGGCGCTAGCTCACCCACGGGACTGGGAAGGAGATGGTGCTTGGATTCCACAATAGGGAACTTGGACAAGAGGGCAGCACCCCACGTGTGCTTGTTGGGGCCGGGACCATAGTCGACGTACATGCCTAGATCCTCGGCGAGGAACTGGGTGGTATCTCGGTTACCCATAATGATACGCTGCAGATCCGACTCCAAAAGACCAATGACATCGACCTCCATTTCTTTGATCAGATCACGCATACGATACTCAGAAGACCACATGTCGTTATCCAGAGAAAAGTGGATCGTCCAGATACCTGCTGTCAGGACCCGATCTTCAGGATGGTAAGGCTTATAATCATTAGTAGGGAACCGCCTGAAGGCCGCACACATGAACAGGACGTTGACGATGATAGCTGACAACCCAAAGTATTTCTTATGTTGCGAGGGCGATGGGCGGCGAGCAGGTTGGTGTCGAGGCCGCGACGTGTTGAAATCGTGTACACCGGCAGCAATCATCAGCATTGTAGTAAGCATGACCCAATCAGTGTGCTCACGAACCAGCGGGCCACCAGGGACGAACGCGTAGGCGACAACCCATACGTGAAACAGCACCATGAGGTTGTAGAACATGAAGCCCAGGCCAAACGTCACTGCCGGGTCCTTCTTTGCGGCATTAGAGATGAGTGGCACAGAGACTGCCATGAGATATGCCGCCAGACCGAGACCACCGTAGTAACCGAACCAATGGCTGAAAAACGTCAAGACGATAGCACTGACGAATCCCACTGCATACTGAGGCCAACTTCCCGCAAGGCCAGGCCTGTTGATGCCCAAGAAGATGCCCACAGACATGGCAGCGACTGTGAACCAGCCGTGAGTGGAGAAATATGGCCCTCGAATCGGGTAGCCCTCCCATACCCAGAGAATCATGGTGCTCGTGTCGGACAGCAATGAATGTAAGCCGAAGAACAAACCACCAATACCAAAAGCAGCCAGGAGGTTTGAGCCTTGCTGCTTTGGCTCATCTGATAGAGAGCCGCCGGTGAGAGGGCCCTTTCTGGTAAATCGGAGAGCCGACAAGATGCCGAGCACGAGTCCCACACCATTCCATCCGCCGTTGGCGGCATGCATAATGGGCCAGATAGGGTTGTTCGTAAACCAGGCAAACTTCAACGTAGACGACAAAATCAGTCCAATCATCCATCCAAGCAGCTTGGTCTCCAGTCGGACATTGTGAACTGAGTCTGCATGCAGAGAGCTAGCCCAGCCAAGACACGAAAGTCCAACGCCGAGGCCAACTGTACACAGACGAAGCACTGGGTCGAGAACAAGGTATGCAGCAACACCACATAGCGACAAAAGGTGAACCAGTCGCAGATTGTTCACAACAAATGATCGGAAGACTCCAATTCCCAAAAGCGACGGCGCAACTGTCACCATCACGAAAGCTTCGAAGCCGGAGATACCCATGTGCCAGAGTGGGAAGTCTGATGCATGTCAGAGCAGGGGTCTCAAGAGAAAAAAAAAGAGGGCAGAGAAATGGGGAGCTTACACCACACGACAAGACCAAGACTGGTAAGCATTGACCAGAAGACAAACTGAAAACGAATTAGTATCCAAGAGATCGAGCATAGAAAATTCCTCAATCAAGTAACTAACCCCATGGTATACACTGGCAGCAGTGTCGAGAGCGTCGGCTGATGTAAATCGGATGGAGAAGAAGCCACCCGTAATCTGTTCCTTTCTGAATGAACCCACTCGTAAGCGACTGCAAAATCAAATGCCTAGGCGTGGAGGAACTTACTCCTTCTCCAAAACTGCAGATGGGACCGAGGAAAGGTTTTCACTATCGAGGAAAAAAGGCTTATTAGAAATGTTCTCGTAGAATAGTTACATTGGACAAAATTGACAAAGACAAGTTTCTATCTGGGAAGCCATTGCACGTACCCCTTGCTGATTCCCTTGACATCCTTTACCGAAATCTCAAATGTATTGAAATCGAGGGCCGTAACCGCATCGAAGGCCACGTCAAAGAGAATCAAGGCCCATTCAAAAAACGCATACGTCGTATAAGCTAGATTATCGTTAGATCCAATCCGTCGTCTCCCAATTAATGGACTTGGGGGGAAATACCTCCAGCTACACGGTGTACTTTGTGTTGGATGAAGAAATAGATCAGAGGAACCAGAGTTCCAAAGAAAAGGCCTGCCAAGCGCTTGCGCCACCTGATAGCGGAAGGGTTTGGCGGACTTAAAGCAATGCAGCCAGTTGTCCACGGCAGAGTGCAAACGATGTATGATATCATGAGAATATCGTGCCAATCGTGATCGTCCGTAGATGTGATGTACGTCCAGCCACCACATGTCAAGGTCCGCAGTAGGCCCATAGAAGCGACGAAGCCCGGAAGCTTGGAACCGGATCTACGAGTCAGAATGTACCATAGACCGACGAGCGCAAATCGAGGTCCTACAGGCGGCAAATCAAGTCAGTCTCCTCTCCGTACAATGCTCTTCGGCCGCATCTACCTGATGTGATTGCAATAAAGATCATGAAAAATGAGCGCTCCGGGTATCGGTCGCCGATCGTCGCAGAGACAGATGGGAACCACTCATCTGGGTATCCGTAGAATTCATTCTGTACGATCTTGTGGTAATGCAGAGAAACGCCGACTATCAATGCACTGATGAATGCAGCTGCGACAAGTTAGCAGGCAAAAACATGACATCGGCCTCTAGTTGCGCAATTCTCGAGCTCCCAGCTCATAGCGACTTACTATAAGCTACAGCCGTATGCGCCCAGCTAACCCACTGTCCATTAAAGCTGAGGACAACGCCGCCGTCCTTGTCCTTGTATCTCGACGACATCGCGACAAAAGAAAGAAACGCAGGTCGCAATCAAAAGAGCGTCCGGAGCATCCGGAAATAAGGACTGGGAGAGTTGAACGAGGGGAGGTTTGAAATCATAAGAGACTGGATTTTTAGTCGCCCGTGCCGAGGGCCTTTCGCGATCGTGTCAACAGGCGACTTGCCCCCCTGTGCCCTGCCGTCTGTGGGGATGACAAGGATTGGATGGGCATAACACGTCTCGGCGCGAGCTTTTTGTGGTTGAAACGAAAATTAAATGTCGCCCACAGCTTGAGAATACACAGCCTACTAGTCCGTTTTCAGCTGTCACGACAAAATTCCCCAGGCTGCCTTGCAGTGATAAACGACATTGCGCATGCAGGTCAGCTTTGCCGCAGCAGTTGCAGTGACTAGCATCATCTAGATTATTTACAGTGTTTGATTGGGCAAAAATAAGACGAGTAAATTAGCAAGCGACTCTTGAAAATGCGCAAGCATCAGTCGGATTCACCTGGACAGATGCTCGAACGGTTTTAAATCGGCTCTCCCCAAAGGGACTAGCTGCTGTGCGGCTCCCGGCTTGATCACGTAAAGGGACTTAACAGTGCAAGTAAGCTTGATGATGGAAGGCGAGCAAAAGCCCCGCCAAAATTTCATAGGCCCGCCGCTCGTTGGAGAGCGTTCAAACGGGCTCCACTAAAATTTCTGGCAGCCTCATGAAAACTTCGGCCAACGCCAGGTGCAGCTTTTGCTAGGAGACTACGCAAAAACCAAGCTCAACTAATATCGGGAGAGGTCGACATGGCTGGAGTCGCAGACAAGGCGAGGTTCTATCTCGAACGCTCCGTCCCCCAACTGCGAGAGTGGGAGGAGAAATCGATATTTTCAAAGGTGGGCATGGTTCCTGAGAAACTTTTCAGTAGGGAAACGGCTGTGAGTACTGGACTAACGCTACGAATCAGGATGAGATTCGCTCAATCGTCCAAAAACGAAACGATTTCGAACACAGAGTGCTTTCCCCGGGCAACACGCCTTCCGAATGGTCGTCCTATGCCCAGTGGGAGCAGTCAGTCGAGTCTCTCCGCTCCAAGCGCTGCCAGAGACTGAAGCTCCGCAACCTCAATTCTGCCCACGCCGGTCAGACTCGCGTCTTGTCAATCTACGACAGAAGTGTCGCCAAACACCCCGCATGCGGTGCGTTATGGCGTGAATACCTCGCGTACATGGCAAAGGTCAAGGCGGCGAAACGTTGGCGGAAAACCATGACCAGGGCCCTTCGAATGATGCCCAAGGATCCCGAGATGTGGGTGGTTGCGGCCAATCGATTCGCAAGCGACGGTGACATGGCGGCTGCGAGAAATTGCTTCATGAGAGGCTGTCGGTTCTGCTCCTCAGACTGCACGCTGTGGCTCGAGTACGCAAGATGCGAGATGAAGTGGTTGGAGAGGATGGAGAAAAAGAAGGCCAAGGGTGAAAAGGTGGTGGCGCCTCGTCCGGCAAATGAAGATGATGACCTTCTTCTGCTGGGTGATAGTGACGACGAGGATGAGGATAACGACCTGTCTCTTCCGGAGCCGTCGAAGGCACAGGGCAGTGTCATCGACAAGGAGACGACGCAGGAGCTTCGGTCAAACCCTGCCATGGACGGTGCCATTCCGATGGCCATATTCGATATATCGCGGAGGCAGCCGTTCTTCAAGGCCGAGGTTGCAGAGCAGTTCTACTTCATGTTCGCTTCCTTTAGCAAGCTCTCGGTCCAGCCAAGGATATCTCAGCACGCATTGGATACTCTCGATGAGCAATTCCCCAACGATCCATCTACCTGCAACTGCCATATCCGACAGCCACTTTTGGGCGTTTCGCCATACACGGCAGAGTTTCCTCGAAGCCTGGGTGTGGTTCTGCAGCGGTTAGGATCTTATTTGGAGACCACCACAAACAAGACCCTGTTGGAGAAGAAGACTGTTGCCTGGATAGACGCATATCTGCAGTTGGAAGACTTGGACCAGGCGCTTAGAACGGTGCTGGAGCATACCAAGGAGAAATTGGGTGGGGAGACAGCGGCGGCGGCGGCTTAGACTAGTAGACTTGTACATATTAATGCTACCCTGTATGTTTTGCTAGCTTATGACGTATTTTTGCGTTGGTTTCTTAATAGATTTCTCTCTATGGTGTGGTTTATCGCAGCGTGCATGTTTATTCCTTTTGCCTTTAACATTTAACAGATTTGTCAATGTTTCCTTGGTCAACATAGATGTTACACATCACACTGAGAGGACAAATTTCTACTAGGTATGGATGCAAATCAATGTAAGCCAAGGGGTGGTGGTCCAAGCGTACAGGTAGTATTTTCAACCTGGCGCCAGCCACAAGCAAAGTCCCAGACATTGGACAACTTATAAGCACAGGAATAACAGGTGAAGACGCACGCGTTCCAGCCAGTTCTTATCTCCAAGGTGATCCTACCCCTAGCTAGGTGATACATCGTATTCGCAGGTCATGGCTTAGGTAGGGCCACTTGTCAGGTAGCCACGCGAGGAGCAATGGCGCCTCTTGGTGCGTGGGCTAGCCCTGGACAAGCATTAGTTCCCGTGCACACCACACTCTGCCGTTGGAGTTTAACATGGATGACCCAGGAGACTCTGTCCGGGAGAGTGATTTGCCCACAGGATTTTAACTACGGAGAACTAGGTAACAAGCAAATGGAGGCGTCTTTATGCTCGGTGGCCACGGCGGTGCTAATACGCAGCGATGCAATTGCGGATGGTTCGGTATGTTCCATTGGCCCAATTCCAAGCGGCGCTGTCTGTGGTTGTATGTAAGAGGGATGGATGGATGATCACACTGCCCCATAGGCAGATTTGCCGGTAGTATTACGAAAACCGTACTTTTAGAAACCTTCCCAACCCGGCGGCCGTTATAACACTCGCTTCCACGTGCCTGTACGGAGCCGCCATTTGTCAAGGCAAATAAGCAGATGTCGCACATTCCGTTGTAGGTTTTCATGTGTAGTAAGACTCTAGGATTGTCAAGAACGGTGAGGTTCGCGGCGGCCAAGGCTCAAGGGCCTGCTTGAAGAACCCTTAGACACGGGAGTGCTATGTTGGTGGTATGCGGGGGCTTGTGCGATTGGACACTTATCCTTGACCGTCTCTTTCGACGATGGGCAAATGTCGGGCTTGCAGACGCGTGCCTAGTGCAGGAATTGGCCGGCACGTTTGGTGACAGGACAGTCGTGGTGCTTTGGATTGGATGATACCTGACGCCTCCGCTGACGGTGAATGGCCTCTTGCCAGGCATCCCATCGCCAGGATTCGGGATGCTATGTAACAGCATTCGCTTCCAGGCAAGTGCTCCTCGTAAAATCGTCCAAGAGAACCGACCAGAGAATACAGACGGCGGTTTGCCGATGGGATTGGCTGCGAACGCGGGCACAAAAGCGAGGCCTCGCGGAGGTAATCTCGGCTGGTTGTATGTAGCAACAGACTTGGAGCATCAAAGCGCTCGCAAAACTCCTTCTTAGCGCCGGGATGGGGGTCTTTGGTCTCCATCTATACTTTCCACCTCGGGAGCAGCTCGCAGAGAGGTTGCATAAAAAAACCCAGAAAAGAAAAGACAGGCAGTGAGTCAGATCCATGACGAAATCAGCCTGCTGTTTCATAGCGTTCTGAGATGTCACCGCATCATGCAGCATCCTCTGTCTTTGCCGACACACTTGAGGCTCATGCCGTTGGCGGTAGCACGTTTCGAAATCGAGTGGAAAAGCACCGAATGGATGGTCCAGCCCAGGTATTATGGTGCAGCGTCGGCGAGATAAAACTCGTTAGTTAATGCTAATATCGTCCCATCCCTTCTTCCTCTTCTTCCGCTTCCTCTTTCTTTGCTTCTTTTGATTAAGTGGGTGGCGAGAGAACGGAATGGCGGGAGCGTGGTTAGGCCCAGCCCAGGCCACGCATGATGGCACACAACTTAGTAGCTCGACCAGCCCAAAAGGACGCCGTGCAAAAAAGGAGGGGGAAACCTTGGTCGGACAGAGCGATTGAATATAAACAAGAGGGAGGTGATATAAAAGGTTCTGCGTTATGCGCGGTAAGCGATTGGTGGCTGGTTTGCCATCGGCTCTTCGGGTCATGATTAAAGCGCGCTTTGTGACAGAGATGATGGCATACATTACTTGCCGTTACGGTATTCGTACAGACAGCCGTCAAGCTGTGATCAGCAAACGGTGCTTCCAGAGACGCACACTAAAGCGGCGGGCTCACGAGAACGACCGGAGCGAGTCTGCCATTATCCGCACGCTTGTCAAACAAAGGCCCATGCCGTTTGGCCAATTTTCTTTTTCTTTCTTCTTCTCCCTCTAATTATTTCTTACAGGGAAGGGGGGATGGTGCGTCAAGCCGGGCAGGCGGTTGGTGGTGTTCGGTTGGGCGGTCCATACAAGTACTCGTACATGATACGTGCTGGGCTTTGTGGGGGGGGGTAAAGGACCGCGTGAGGAGCTTCAGTTGACGGGCTCCAGGGGAGAGAAAAATGAGCGAATATAGTGAGGCGACCTGTTCCCCCCTTTGGGCTGCGGAGCGCTGCCACGGCAAACGAGCTGCTTAGGGGCAAAATAAGATTTTAAACAGACTTGCCCTTCTTCCTTCAGGTTTCTTGCGGCGCGACGCGGATGACGAAGGAACTCCAAGTGAGGACAATGCTGATTTGATGCTCTCAGTGGCGGCGGGCGGGTTTGTCGCTGGCAGCGGAGAATTTAATTGTGTGCCAGATTCGTGCGCTGTGTTGTAGGTACATGTACCGTTGACCTGTAGCTGTAGCTGGAGCTAATGGCAGGCCCAGGTCCGAGGCAGGTACCAGATTATAGGCAGGCTATTAGGCCTTCTGCCTCTCTCACCCATAACTACCCCCCCTTCCCCCGTTTCTCGCCGGCTTTCCTCCCATTTCAATCTTTTCATGAACTCCTCTCCCCTCCTCCCAGCCCTATTTAGCTCGATTTCGACGCCATTTTCTTTGCGCGTTGCCGTGCGTGGCTCATTTTTGCTTCACGGGCTCACTTACATGGCTAGGATCTGATTACCTCACCCAGCTTGTGTGGAGGACCCCCCACGGCTGGTGTCAGTCGGGAAAAGCAAAAGCGGCCAGCGAAATACTCAGCACGGAGGCAGTGACGGATCGCCAACAGCAAAGGAAAAGGCGACAAGTGCTCGTCAAAGCCCGGATTCGCCCTTGGAAAATCACGATGGCCAGACAAAAAACATCACGATGCGAGAACCGGTCATGTCGGAGGGGCCGCTGAGAGACTCGACCAAGGCCCAGCGGCGCTGCCATCAGAGCGCTGTGGCAGGGGTGGCTGACCCTGTGGAGACTGGACAGCGGCATCAAACGGTGTCACAAGGCGACACGACGACCCCAGGATTCGTACCATCCCAGTCGACTCGGAGCAGGCTGGCGCCATGCCCACTCTCTCATGCTGGATTTGTTCAGCTTTGATGCCGCTGCGAGGCCTTAGCGGCTGCGAAACGCAAATTGGAATTGCCTGGAGCAACTGAAGCGAAGCGAGCGTCGAAGCCAAACAAAATGCGCTGGACAAGCCGAAGCCTGGTTCGTGGCTTGTGGTGGGGCCGCTCTGGGCACCTATTCTGGTCAGCCTGCAGTCAATTCCTATCAACAAAGTAACACCGGAGGCAAGCTGAGTCGTTGGGAAGGCGATGCAACATCCATTGGCTCGGCACACTGGACAGGAGCTTGGCTCGGAATTGGATGTGTTTTTCTGGATTCCAAAGTGCGCGCGGTCACTCGTTACCCTGCGTGGCATATATGGTGGCAATGAAATCACCAGAGCCACATTCGCGCCACATTAACGCCAGTACCGCTGCATTTCGAGCTGCAGCAAATGAGCCAAAGCAATGATGCAGCTAGGAGTCGAGCCAAAGCAATGATGCAGCTAGGAGTCGAGCCAAAGCAATGATGCAGCTAGGAGTCGAGCCTAATCCTCTTCAACACACCCGCATTGGCAGCATTGGGATATGATGTCGACTTCACGGCAAGGACCAGTGGTTGAGTTCCGCGATCATGTTTCTCACTTGTCTTATCGCAAACTGGCCTGGGCCAGGGCGAGAGCATGCACCTGTTGGAACTGGAGTGGTATCCGGAGAGAGTGCACCCCGAGGGGAGCCGCTTGCTCGACAGAATGTGCTTCACTACTGGATTTAGTCGAAGTCAGCATTGCGTCGCAGCAGGCTTATGGTCAGCGCCTGTTGATGCTGCTCCTTCGCGGCTTGAAGATGGATGCAGCCATACCCATATTATTGAGCCATCCAATCGCTGTATCGAAGCAAGCGAGGGGAAAACGAGGAAGGCGTCATATAGCCTGTGAAAGCCGGAAAAGCAATGGCTGCAGTCTATTTGCAGTGCTCCAAAAGATGTTGGCTTTCAGTGCGACCTTTTGGAGATCGATCACAGCAATTGCTCTGTTTTACTTGTGGTGACGACATCTGCATTCGTTTCACAATACATTCTGCACCAACGGAAGAAGGAAGGGGAAACACTAGACTGCTGCTCGCTGCCTCATTGATACAACGAGCAGTTTAGCGGTGCTTGCGATGCAGGTATTCGCTTTTGGCTAGGCCTCGGTCTGAATTTCTCATCCCAAGTCTTATTCACAACCAACGACGAAGTAGCTGCGTCTCTCAAAAAAGCTACTTGAGCGCGACAAAATCCTATTCCGATTGCAAAATAGGGAACTGATAGCAGCATCAGTCGATCTTGTTAGTGGATCAGCTGCAGATATAGCACTTCTGCTAATACGGAGAGCAAAGGCTACTATCGCGACACTAACGCAGCGCGTCCATTGGCCGGCGGTCCACTTGGCTTATTCGCGCCCGTCAGCGCTAATCCATAACAGGCTAGTGATCTCAGGAAGGGAGCATTTCACATCGGCCTGAAACTAATCTGCCAATCCAGCGAGGACTCGCAGTCATCCACCTCAACGCGCCTTAGGTAAGACCTGGCTCTCCATTCACTTCACGTTGCCTGCACCTCCTTGCCTTCTGCTGCCCCCCAGGCGACATACCGAGTTGTCTCTATCGCATCGCGACGGCTAGCGAACGCTTCTGCCCCGAGCTGTCGATAGTCTGGGCGCTGCGTGGGTGCCGCTGAGGTGGCTCTTTGTTACTGCATCGGCGCTGATCCGACACCTGCACCGAAAATTTCTCTTCCAGCACGCGCTCGCTGCCCCTGCGCTACATCCACTGGAACTGGTGGCCATAATTTTATAGGCTGGACGGCTGTACCGGTACCTCGACACGCCCAACTCGCGGCGGCTGACCTACCCAGCGCAAAGTATCCGTACACGAGCGCCGCTACTTCGTCTCCTAATCTCCTGCACCAAGTAGCAGCCATTGGACACCCTCGGACCCGTCGCGGGTATCACTAGGTACGTCCGTTTGCTAGCGTCTGCCGCCCTTCCGCGAGGTACCTCGATTAGAGGCCGCTCCCCCTCTCGAGGCCCTGGGTGTCTGGGTTTCTGCCGGCTTCAGCGCCTGCTGCGCCGCTCCCAGCACGCAGGTGGCCCAACAGCCTGCCTGGCCAGCCTGCTATGGCTAGTGCTACCTGCCCAGCGCCCACCCGAAGCCCCCCAGCCAGCGCTCTTTGTCTGGCTGTCTGCCATTTCCCACCCGACACCACACGCACACACACACATACACATACATTCTCTCCGCCAACCCGCGACGCGACTCAACGTTGTCGTCCATCAAACCACCCACTGTGCCGTGTTACGGCCCCGTCTCCATCCATCCCTGCGCCCATCAATGGGCTCTTGGCCGCCGTGCCTGCTGATTTCGCTGACGTCGCCGCGCACAGCTTGTCGGGCTCATCGCCATGAGCACCTGGATGAACGACGCAGTCCCGAACCACAATGGCAACGGCTTCCCGCACATGAATGACCCCAGCGCTGCCAGTGCCATGATGGACCCTTCTGCCTTCATGGCCAACCCGGGCCAGTTCAATCCGGCCGCCCAATTTTCCAATCAACAGCAGATGGCCCTGCAAAACGGCCCGATGCGCCACGCCTCGCCCGCCGGCTACCAGGCATCTCAGGTCTACCAGACCAATTCTGTCATTCCATCAAAGCGGCCTCGGCCCCGTGAGGATTCCATCTCCAGCTCTCCCAGGCAGAATCCGGGCATGCTTCCGACGTCGCGCTCCGAAACGCCGCAGCAGCAGAGCTTCCCCGGCTTCCAGCCTGGCGCTATGCCGCAGCAGAATGCTGGCCAATTCTCCCACCTCCAGACCAACGGCTCGGCTAACGCAAGCCCCTCGCCTATCATGGGCAACCAAATGCGCCCAGGTAGTGTCCCTCAGAGGGTGGCGACGGCCTCGCCTCACCCGTTTTCCCCGGGCGCTCAGCAGTTTGCTTCTCAGACGTCGCCCATCACCTCGGAACATGGCACACCCCAGCCGAATCCATACATGCAGAACATGCCTCAAGGCTACAACCCGGCTTTCGCGCAGTCCCCATCGAATCCGCGCCCATCACCAAATCCAAATGCGATGGCGGGCAATCCCATGATGGCCCAACAAATGGCTCAGATGGGACAACCCATGGGCCAAATGCCAGCTGGCATGTATGCTCAGTTGCAGCAACAGCAGCAGATTCAACAGCAACAGCAACAGCAACACCAGCAACAGCCTCAACAACCCCAACAACAGCAACAGCGACCCCAGAACCTGACTGAAGGGCAGAAAATGGCCGCGTATCAGATGCGGCTCCAACAGCAACTCCAAGGCAACATGCAAATGCAGGCTCAAATGCAGGCCCAAGGCATGGGCCGCGGAATGATGGCGAAGCAGCCGCAGATGCCTGGTGTACCAAATGGCCAGATACCTCAAGGACCGATGCGACCTCAACACCGACCAACTGGCAGCATTAACGGAGAACAGTTTATGAAGAATTTGACCGGGCTCATGAATGCTAAAGGCCTTCCATTAGATCCAAATCCCATGATTGGGGACCGGCTGGTCAATCTGATGATCCTGTTCCAAGCTGTTCAGCAAAAGGGCGGTTCGAAGTCGGTGACCGTTGCCAATGGCTGGGGCCATGTCGCTCAGGCTATGGGACTTCCGGCGCAGCAGCCTAACGTTCCCTTTTCGCTCAAACAAATCTACGAGCGTAATTTGTCCAAGTTTGAAGAAGTCTGGATAGCCCAGCAGAAGCAGAGAATGATGCAGCAGCAACAAGCGAACCTTGCGAACCAAGTCGCGCCGCAAAAACAGGCGCCGCCGCCTCAACATATGAATCAGGGTCAAATGCAGCCGGTGCAACAACAGCAGCCGCAGCCGCAGCAACAACAACAACAACAACAACAGCAACAGCAACAGCAACCGCCGCCCCAGCCCCATGTACAGCAACATACTCCTGTGAAATCTGGTCAACCCTCAGTCAACGGCTTCTCCACTCCTCAAACTCCACAGCAGCTTCAGCAGCCAAACGCTATCCCTGGCCACAATAGGAACAGCTTATCGCGCGGCATTGATCCAGCTGGACCGAATGACTTTTCAATACCATCGCCAGCTCACTCGCGGGCGGGAAGTATGCTTATGGGGCCAGCCGACGGCAGACCGGTTGGTGTCATGAATGCCGAGCAGCAAATGCCACGGCCTCCCCAGAAGTCGGATAGCTATAATCCTTGCGCGCGAGAGCTTTCCACGTATGGCGGTGTCGACCTCCACGCAGCGAATTTGTTAGGCGCAGAGCTGGAGCGGTGGAAGCCAACTGTTCCTCCAGTAAACGACCTTGGTAACATTGATATAGCTGCGCTGACGCGTAGCCTGCAAAGTGGTATACACGGAGAAGTTCGTCTTGCTCTGGACACGCTTGCGACAGTATCCCATTCGCCGAACCAGGCACATTTCCTGCAGCTGCGATACTGCGATGACTTGGTGGATGCGCTCATCGATTGTGCGGAGGAGCAGCTGGAGCTATTAACAGAGCACACGGCAGAAGTATCCGATGATATCCAGCTCACCCCATACGAGGAAGTTGTCAGAGCATGCCGGATTGAGCGATGGGCAATTCGGGACGTTCCCGCCTTTGGCACCGACGAATATGAACTTGACCGAGCCGTCGATCGATTAGTGTGCATCTCAACCATTTTACGAAACGTGTCTTTCCCGGGAGAGCAGAACGACAACCATAATATACTCGCCGATGAGTCCGTCATCAAGTTTCTCTGCACTGCCATTCGGTATCTCGGCACCAGGACAATGCTTCTCCGAACTCATAACAATACTCTTGACTTCATGAAGGATGTGGTCGTCCTCCTCTCTAATATTGCTAGTTCGGTCGAAATACCCGGCCGAGAACAGGCATTGTGTCTTTTGCAGTTCTTGCTATCATTTGCTCCGGTTCCCAGTCCAGTATTGACCAATGATACACTTTTCTTCACCAATTATGACCCAAGCGTTCATACTTACCTTCCCCATGCGGTTGATGCATTGGCAAAGCTTCTTGCTCGCGACGAGCCCAATAGAGGTCATTACAAAAACCTTTTCGCTTTCGATGCTGCCAACGCCACTCCGCACGAGCTTCTTACCCGGACATTTGCACTGGCAATCTCACCAATTCCAGACAAAGTTCGGGAGCGCGATCGACCGGCAAATTTCCCCTCACTCGTTGAGGTACGGAAGCCATACCTGATGCAAGGCTTGTTGTCAGCAGAAATTCTTGCGTCTTTAGCACCCGGCGCTGAGTCAAATCTCGTCAGGAGCTGGTTGAATGCGGGTAACGGCCTGGCGAACAATCTGTTCCGTCTCGGTCAAGATCTGAGTCGCACGTATGAACAGCCACAACAAGCCTTTGGTCGTGGAGCAGGACGAACCCCGCCGAGGAAAGATCCTGAGCTTGTCTACATCTCTGTCCTTGCGATTGCTTTGCTTAGGCGGTTGGTGGAAAAGTCGAGAGACCCGAATAACCCAGCCTTTTCAGCTGCCGGAGCCTTCTTACCGACCGGGCAGGCGCTACTGGAGGCCCTATCTATGCATAGCCCTGAATGGTCGAAGGAGGGCTTATTGCAGCATTTGTCAACAATCACAACTCTGGCAGGCTAAGCCCTGATTTTGAACGTTTTAATGTTTTTTTTTTGAAAAGGTCTAAAATATGAGCATTTGCGGGATAATCGTCCCGTTCACTTTGAAAAGAAAAGAAAGAAAAAGCAGGAGGCGAAGGCTGAAGGAGGAGGTTAGGGTTTACAGTTGACGGTGTCGACAATGATCAAACGTGTAAATGTTATGTCTGGGGTTGATAATGTTTGTTTTAAACCACCCATCACAATTGCGATGGTGCATAGGTGTTCAATATCAGCGGGTTTTGGAAAGGCGGAATTCTCGCGGACTCATCGCGGCGTCTGTGTCCATAGGAGTAGGGATGTTACATACACTGATACCTCTTTTTGGTGGCCTGGATTATTCGTTTATTGAATTTGTTGTACATATATATGTTAAGTCATAAAATGCGCCACATCTTACAAATGAGCGTCAAGCTCGGGTCATCTCTTGCCAACGCTCACCATCTCAGTCTCAGAAGTTTGGTTCTTCCTCCTCTATACACGGGCTTAGAAACCACGCTCAAGCAGCCACCCCCTAGCCTTGTCGAAATAATCACCCTAGAACAGAGAAACGAGTTGTCAGCCACTGTGTCGTCGGCCTTAATTGCCAGCAGGAAGGTCCACCCATTATTACCTTTAATTCTATGTGCTGTGTTGTTGGGTTGATCCGCACATCCTCTCTAGCGACACCAAGGCCACCAACTAGATCCTCTAATAGCCGTACACGATCACCGTCGACCTTCTTAATCAAAACCACCTGGCGTGTGCCGCCTGACTGCCACCTCCGGTATATAGGCAGCTGGACAGAAGGTGTGCGGCGCACTATATAGCCAAGGCTAACAAGCTCTTCTGGTGTTTTGGTTGGCGGAGGTACAGGAGCGCGACTCAATTGACGTAAATGAGGGGGAATCTTGAGCTTCTGGTTGGGGTTTTGTCGAGACGAGGGCTTTGTCGAGATGGATGCTGCTTGGAGGGGGGAAAGGAATGGAGTTCTTGATGCGAAGGCGTTGATTTGCGTCTGTACTGCAGGCCTATAGAGACTTGCACTCCTCAGAGGGAGAGCTCTAGGCACAAGGTAACTCATGTTGAGTGTAGTGATACAATAGTAGACAACGACTTGCGCCGTTAGAGTTCGTGATTCGGATCGAGTTTGGAGACAGTCGATCTACTGGCGGAGATGGATCCTTGCAACGGGGTCCTATTTGATCGTCTTGTTGGGTAATGAAAGAGTAAAAGATCCGAATGAACTAATGGACAAGGAAAGTCACTGTCCCAGCGACGCACGAGCTTTCAATTCAGCCCGGTTGCTGTCTTGCGCCTCTGCTTTCGAGCCTTCAAAGTTCCTTTTTGCTTCAAATCTCCAGATCACATGATGCGCCGCAAAACTTTGGTTCTTTGGCGACAGGAATCGGCGGATATTCGGGTAAAAAAGCGCAAACCCCCCCACACCACTTTGTGTATTCGCGAAATTCACCAAAAATCTGCCCCTCCATTTACAGGTGACCCTTTTGCAGAATTAGCGACGAAATCCTCCTCATTTTCGACCGACCAAAGGAAACACCCCAATACCCCCGTTTACCTCGCCGCGGTCAGACTCTTCACCTACGAAAAAAAAATTTCATCATGGAGGATATTCTGAAGGCCCTGCCAGCCGATGGCGCCTCAATCATGCCCAAGGTTGCGCCGCACCTGAGCCGTCACTTGCTCTTCCCGCTTATCCAGTTCGAGGGCGACCAGGCCGAGGAGAAGGGCGATTCCGAGCTGGCCAAGAAGATCCTGTCAGGCAAGATTCAGCTGCTGGACGATACCAACATGACGGACTACGTAGCGTCGCTGTACTGTGAGCTGCACGGAGTTGCTGAGGCCCCGGCCGAGTACACCAAGAAGAGACAGGATGTGCTGGCACAGCTGGACAAGTACGAGAAGGCGACGGAGCAGATTGCAAACCTCCTAACCCAGGACGAGGTCGTCAACGGGCTGAGAAGCGACAAGGTGGCCAACTTGGAGTTTCTCAAGAACCAGCACGGAGTAGGTGGAAATCCTGGCACAAGCAAACCAATGAAAATGCCTTGCGTGTCCGAAAATGCTAACGCTGTTGTCTCCTTTTTTCCCCCCTAGGTCACTATTGAGATGGTAAATGCTCTCTATGACTTTGGACAGTTCCAGTTCCGATGCGGTCAATATGGCCCTGCTGCCGATATGCTCTACCAATTCCGAGTTCTCTCCACCGACAATGACAAGGTGGCCGCTGCTACATGGGGAAAGCTTGCTTCCGAAATCCTCTCTACAAACTGGGAGTCTGCTGTTGATGAGCTTAAGAACGTCCGAGAGGGTATCGATACGAGACTCTTCAACAACCCTCGAGCTCAGCTTGACCACCGGACCATGCTTATTCACTGGTCTCTCTTCCCCCTGTTCAACTTTGAGGGTGCCCGGGAACCCATCCTGGACATGTTCTTCTCTGCTTCCTACATCAACACCATCCAGACCTCTTGCCCCTGGATCCTGCGGTACTTGATTGCCGCCGTTATCACCGGCCGCACACGTGCACGCAACAGCTCTGTCCAGCAAAAGCAGCTCAAAGACATCGTTCGATATGTTCGACAGGAAGCCTACGAGTATGCTGACCCCATTACCCAGTTTGTCAACGCCCTCTACATTGCCCACGACTTTAACGCTGCTCGTGAGGCTCTCCGCATGGCCGAGGAGGTGTGCCGCGGCGATTTCTTCCTGGCTGCGTCCACTGATGCCTTTGTCAACGCTGCCCGACACCTCATTTGCGAGAGCTACTGCAAGATCTTCAGCCGAATGAACATCAGGGACCTGAGCGCCAAGCTTGGCTTGAACCCTGATGATGGAGAGAAGTGGATCGTGAACCTGATCCGAGAGACGCGCCTGGATGCCAAGATTGACAGCCAGGATGGCACTGTCATTATGAACCACCCTCCCAACAACGTTTACCAGCAGGTCATTGAGAAGACCAAGGGCGGATTCTTCAGGACACAAGTCCTCAACGCTGCTGTCTCCAAATAAAGTACCGAGACTGCTAGCAGATGTATTCGTAACAATCAAATAGCAAAGCGATAACTCGTCTAGAGATCGACCTGTTTTTTGAAGAAGGGGAAGAGGGGGGGTTTGGGAACGATGATGCTCATGCCTCACTTTAAAAATCCGAGATTTGAAGAGGCAAAGGAGGACATACCTTTGGGCTCACGGACGGGATGGGTTTATTGAAGACACCAAAAAGAACCGGCGATTTTCACATTTCGAGGCTCCTCCAAAAAGAAAAGGGGAAATGAAAAAGAGCAAAGAGCAAAGAAAACGGTAGACCGGCCCTGTTTTGTTTATATTCTTATCTCTCTCTCTATCTCTGTAGTGATGCGGTTTGCATTGCTTGGCGTTTATTCGGATAAGACAGGGACAGGGAGGATGTCTTCTTGAGGGAGGGAGCAGGGCTGTAATGAAATTATTCCTTTGTGCAATGATGAGAAGTTTTTAAATATTGTCGATTCTTTTGCTGCGTGTTATGATGTAATGTGAAGGCTGTGTACGTATTATGTTTCTCTCTGAGTTGCTCACATCCAAGTAATATTTGGGTGCTGGTTAAACATTACCATAAAGTAATTCTCGTGTTTCTCAGGCATGTCTATCATCATTTTCTGCTCTACCTGATTATATGCCACTGATATTCATAACGCTACCATGATCATGATTTAATTGCCACAACATTCCAATAACAAAACGTCCACACACTCCAGCCAAATCTACTACTGCTCATGTTGTCGGGCCACCATCCATACTTTCCCCTTCAAAGCCTCAATAGCACTGTCTCTCATCCACCAAACGCCCTCCGCCTCATCCTCCGTCTCTTCATGCTGTGCGGGAGCATCCTCTTTCGACTCGCCCTGAGAGTTTGCCGGCTTTATGGTGCTCTGGCTATCCGTCATGGCCGTCAACGAGGATTGGCGGAGGTTATCGCGAGAGTCGCCCCATTCGAAGAGCAATCTCGCACCTTCGAGGCGCTCTCTATCGCCGCCTTCCATGACACCCCGCTCCATCTCGAGCCTTGCGTCCACGGCGCTCCCCATACCACCTTGCTGTTCGTCACTGGCATCCAACAAGGCTGCTTTCTCTGCGTAGCTGAGATCTTGCAAAGCATCCAGGCTGAGGATCCACTCTAGCGGATTCTCGCCCTTCTCTTGCTCGCCGAGCGCTCTCAGGGTTGACGTAAAGGTGCCCTCGCGCGGTGGCCGTCTACGGAGATAGAGATTCTGCGTCTGCGCGAATGTTCGTCTGAGTTTCTCGTTTGAGAAGTCAAGTTCAACATCCCAGTATTGTGGACCGCCGGCAGTGGTTACGCTGGATATCTGGTCGAGAGGAGGCAGCAAACATGGGGTTGTTCTCGACAACACCGACTCAATAGACGAACTGCCTCGCATCTTGATATGTACAGGTACAGAGACGGGTTGCCCTGTGAGTGCATCCTTGGCGACAAGACAGCGTTGTTCAGCCGCCAGGACCCAAAAGTGTCTAAAGGCCTGAAGATGCGATCGGTTGTCCATAACGTTTACCGGGAAAATCGGATAAAAGGCCACTAGCAATGCTGCAATTGCTTTATTACTGGATCCAAAAGTAGCGGTGCCACAGCCAAGAAATAACGCTCCAATGGCAAGATGGGCTGCGAGATGTGAGCCATAAGGCGTGTCAGGATCATCCCTTCCGTGCAGAGCCCGAAGTCGACGGAGGACAGGGATGTCACCTGTGCCAGCCATGACAATGGAGCAAGAAACTGCGAGAATATCCTGGCACATTCGGGCATTTGTTCTAGCTAGCTCTTCATCGTAGAGGGGAGCAGCGTCAGGATGCATTCTAGGCGTTGCCGGCAGCCCAGTAATACGCATGAACTGGTCTAGATAATGCAACAGTAAATCTCGCACTTTGGGAGAGGCACTTCCGGAGAAACGAAGAGCGATAGCAAAACAGAGGCCTGTCAAAATACTGAAAAAGGGCAAGTCGGATGATCTCAGCTTGGTCGTGTTGTGTAGTTTGTGCCGTGAGCGATACGGAGCAGGAAGGCTTTTCTGAATCCAGTCAAACGTGGGTTCAATTTGAGACCAAAGAATGAGATTTTTTGTCATAGTTCGTAGGAGAAGAATATCGGGGCGAACGTAGTCAAACTGAAGCACCGAATCGGGAATATCGATCTTTCGCGCAACGATCTGATCCTCCGATTTCATGAAGATAAGTGCAATGGCCATTACTGCGCCGGCGGAGGCTCGGTCCAGAACATGCACGATCTCAACATTCTTTGTTGCGGTGGCGTGTGTGATAAGTTTCTCTGTGAGACGCATGTCGTGTAAGCCCTTGAGATCGTTTCCCTTGCCAAGATTGATGAAGCCAAGTGCTAAACCGGCTGCAAGGCGATAACATTCACTCCTCAGGGGCTCTTCTTCATCTTCGTCGTCGACATGCTCAATTT